TCGCTTGCAAAAGGCCGAGGAGAAGTTGCTGGATGGAGATGACGACGATGCGGCCGACAAGAAAAAGAAGGACAAATACAAGGGCGGTCTCGTCTTCGAGCCCGAGAAGGGTCTCTATGACAGATTCATCTTAGTCATGGACTTCAACAGTTTGTATCCCAGTATCATTCAGGAATACAACATCTGCTTCACAACCGTCGACCGTCAAGCAACTGTAAGTGTTAAATGTCGGAAACCCCAGAAATATCCTATGCTGACAAGGTCTTTTTTTAGTCTGAAAATGAGAATGAGGAGAAGGTTCCCGAGGTTCCCACCTCTGATCAAGAGCAAGGAATTCTGCCTCGACTCATTGCAACCTTGGTTGGTCGTCGTCGTGAGGTTAAGAAGCTTATGAAGGACAAGCGGGCTACGCCCGAACAGCTTGCTTTGTGGGATACCAAGCAACTTGCGTTCAAGCTCACGGCCAACTCCATGTACGGATGTTTGGGTTACACGCAGAGTCGATTCTACGCTCGTCCACTAGCCATGCTCACCACATTCAAGGGACGTGAGATTCTCCGGAGTACCAAGGAACTCGCTGAGAGTAAGCAATTGCGTGTTATCTATGGTGATACTGACTCCGTCATGATCAACACCAACATGGACACCATCAGCGAGGCCCTCAAGGTCGGAGAAGACTTTAAGAAATCAGTCAACGAGCGATACCGTTTACTTGAAATTGATATCGATAATGTCTTCCGTCGACTCCTGCTGCACGCTAAGAAAAAGTATGCTGCTGTCAACCTGACGGAGGTCAACGGCAAGTACATTGAGAAGCTAGAGGTCAAGGGTCTTGATATGAAGCGTCGTGAATACTGTGCTCTGTCAAAGGAGGTATCGCAACGGCTCCTGAACGAGATTCTCTCCGGTGAGGATCAGGAAGTTGTTCTCAACAAGGTTCACGACTACCTGCGTGAGCTTGCGGAGAAGATGAAAGAGTTTGCGGTTCCCGTTCAGAAATACGTTATCTATACGAAACTGTCCAAGAGCCCAGACCAGTACCCCAACAAAGAGACAATGCCTCCAGCGCAGGTTGCTCTCCGCGATATTGCTCGGGGTAAGAACGTGCGACCGAACGACGTCATCTCATATATCGTCACGAGTGGAGACGCAGAGACATCCTCCCTGCCGCCAGCCAAGCGATCATACAGCCCACAAGACGTCCTCAAGGCCAATTCCGGACTCAAGCCCGATGTCGAGTTCTACCTGCTCAAGCAGATCTTCCCTCCTATCGAACGACTGTGTGCTCCCATCCCCGGTACCGACGCCGTTCGACTAGCTGAATGCCTTGGTCTTGATGCTCGCAAGTATCAGATCAACACATCCAGTTCGAGCAAGCAGCAGGACACCGAGATTTTCCCTCTAGAGTCGCAGATTCCGGATTCTGTCCGCTTCGCTAATTCCGCGCGGTTGACCCTGAAATGTCGCTTCTGCAAGGAGCAATCTGTCTTTGAAGGCCTGACTGACTCCCCTCAGATGTGCTCAGCAAACGGCGTCATTTGCTCTAATGAGAGCTGCCAAAAGCCATTCGCCGTGTTGACCATCATCTCCCAGCTAGAGAACCAGATCCGCGAGCAGACCGCCCGATACTATGAGGGCTGGCTCGTCTGCGATGATTCGGCTTGTGGCAATCGTACACGGCAAATCAGCGTATATGGCCACCGCTGCATGGGTCCCCGCGGTCGCGCCGAAGGTTGTCTGGGACGGATGGCCTACGAGTATAGCGAGAAGCAAATGTACAACCAGCTTCTATACTTTGCCGGTCTCTGGGATGTGGATAAGGCCAAGGCTGCTTCCGCCAAGGAATCTGGAGAAAAGAAAGATAGCTTGGCGGCTCTTGCGGAGTTCAACCGGATTCGGTTTGGCACAATCAAGACCGTGGTGGATGGCTACCTGAAGAAGTGTGGTCGGCAGTGGGTTGAGATGGATACGCTTTTCCGATTCATGATACCACAATAGCCCCAGTGGCGTATGACTTTTTTGGGAATTTGTACATAGGGATAGCACTTTTCTGGGCATGGTTTACGAGGAATTAAGTTTGCGTCATGTTGAGCTTTTGCATCAACGTTCGGGGTTTCTAGCATTATTGACTCATTCCTGTCTTCCGACCGCTTTTCTGTAGCATTGATGTCCTACAGTATAATTATTTTTCCGTTATGTGATGGTTACATGATCGGAATCGCCCGCCTGCAGCACGCCCTGCATGTTGTCCACTGGCTCCATCCACGCCCTAGTTTCCACTGCTGGTGCGGCCAATCACAACGACGGCCTTCAACTCAGGAACCCATCGGTCCCAGTCCAGCCAACGCGGGATGGAACTTTTCAGCCTGTTATATCGCCGATTTTGATTTCCTTCAGAAAATTCGTGGCAGCCGGCTCCACTCAGAATGCCATTCACCAGATTTTCTTGAAGATCAAAGAGCGTTGAAACGCTACATCTATAACTTCCTATGGCTCCTTCAATTCAATCGGTTCCTACCTGAAATTCTCGTTACAGCGTGGGAGACCCGATAGTCTTTCATCAGTATGGCAACAACACAGACCGTCACGGTCAAGCATACAGGCTCCGAGACCATTGGCGACCGCCGTGTCTCGATGATTCGCCTTGAGACAACCAGCGTTCATTCTTCCGAAAGCGAACGTCATGGAAATGACCAACACGCCACGCAGATTTCCAAGCTGCGCAGCATGATTATCGTGTTTCAAATGAGCGGCAATACCATGCTCTCGAGTATTATCAACGGTCTTGTCACCGTTGGACTTCCTACGATTACAAAGGACCTCCACCTACCCCCCTCGCTGTCTTTCTGGCCAGTATCTGTATCAGGACTCGCGACTGCCTCTACTCTATTATTGGCAGGATCATTGGCCGACGTCGTTGGTCCACGCTGGGTCGACCTAGTTGGCACTTTTGCCAGCGGTGCGTTGATGCTTGGAATGGGCTTTGTGAAGGAAGGTACTCAATTGGTTGCGATGCGTGCCATTCAAGGTGTCGGTCTTGCACTTCATCTTGCATCTGCCGTGGGCATTGTTACTCAGGTTTTCCCGCAAGGTAAAAGCAGGAATATGGCTTTCGCTTGTCTTGGTATGTCCCAGCCCTTTGGATTCTGTCTTGGTCTCGTTCTGGGCGGAGTCTTCGTGGACACTGTCGGCTGGCGAGTTGGTTGGTATATTGCTGGTGGAGCGGCCTTGTTCCTTTCGTTTGTTGGATTGTGGGCGCTTCCGGGGAGTCAGCATCCTCGGAAAATGGAGAATATTCTTCATGATTTGAAATATAAGGTTGATTGGGTTGGCGCACTACTGGCGTCCGCTTTCATGGCACTGCTTTGCTACTTGCTTGCGTAAGTTGAAGATCGAGCTTGGTGAGAGAGCTATCTGCTAACTCTCTGAACAGAATCCTCAGTTCAAATGTGTATCGCATCAAGGAGACTGCCAGCATCGTGATCCTTTGTCTAGCCGCACTTGCGCTGCCTTCGTTCATCATATGGATCCATTATCAGGTTCGCCGTGGACGGCCAGCACTTATTCCCAATGCCTTCTGGAGAAATGCAACTTTCTCGAGCATCTGTGCCACCATTGCGCTTTCGTTCGCGGTGATCAACTCCATGGAGCTCTTCGCAAGTCTGTTGTAAGTACCCTTCAGTCACTTCAATGACAAGACACCGCTAATCTCCTCCCAGTTTCCAAGAAATTCAGCAACTTTCTGCCCTCCAAGCATCCATCCGCATCCTTCCAAGTCTCGTTGTCGGCGTCCTCGTCCAGGTCACTGCAGGCTTCTTCGTCGATAGAGTGCCGGCGGTCGGGATTGTAGTTCTCACTGCCGTTCTATCCTCACTTTCCCCTCTCCTCATGGCCACAGCTCAGCCGTCTTGGCCATACTGGGCAAACACCTTTGTGGCTCAGCTCTTGCAGCCGGTGAACTGCAATGCTCTGTTCACCGTCGGTCTTATCATTATCACGGATATTTTTCCAGAGGATACGAAAGCACTTGCGGGCGCTGTGTTCAACACTGCTGCGCAATTTGGCACAGCTCTTGGATTTGCAATTTTGCAGGTCATCTCTTCAGTCGTTACTGAGAAAAAAGAAGTCAGTGAGGATGAAATCCCTGCGCTGCTGGCGGGGTACCGAGCAAGCTTTTGGACCATGTTCGCTTTTATGATCCTTTGTATTGCGATTTCAGGGCTAGGTCTTCGGAAGACTGGGCGAATTGGATTGAAGCGGGATTAAGTTAGATGTAGCTGGTTCACCCACTACCCTCGACCATATGCAATTCACAAGCTTCCTATGTCTACTTAGCTTGTTCATCCGGAGGTGACCCTCTCTACTCACACCCGTCCCTAGGTTGGTGAAGGGATGCTCACCCGTCATCCGCCGCTGGTGGGTAATATAGTACCTCGTGCTACTCGTAGCCGACTGATCACTGTGAGCAGGATCTTGGGGTTTGAATGTACCGGGTTTCTACTGCGGATCCCGGGAGTATCTCGCAACCGTACCATTGCTGCGCGAGCCTTACCCAGACTCGAGACCTTTTGGCTATGTTACAGGACGTGCCGGTTGTGCGCGCTAAGTAGGTATTGCCGACTAGTCGTAATCGACGAGGATATCATTTGTTCAGTGGACGGCTTGTTTTCCAGCGTGAAGATGGCCGGCGTTCTTTCCGGTCAACATTTGGAGGTAGAATGCATTTTTTGGAAATGCATCACGGCTTGCACAGGGGCATGGTGTGGATGTTCCAAGGCTGAAAACGACCTACTATTTGGCGAAGGGGCTTGATATGAATCCTAGATTCCAGAGGCGCTACTGGGAGAATCAAACATCTAGGTTCGATATAGACGGTTCATCGAATAAGCGATCATAAAGTCATGTATATGAAATAGAGCCTTCCCAAAAGAAGACCAAATCAAGCCAGTAACAAAGTAGCGCATTGCCAAGTCCGATATTCAGCACATTGTTCCCTTGGACTATTTGGTCTTCAGCAGGACAGTACGCAGGACTCTCGGAGAGACGCTAACTGCATTGCCTTTCCTATCCAAGTGGAACACAAACTCATCAATACCCACATTACCGTATACCTGTGCATTCACTGTCACCCAGGAAATGCAAGATGAGCTAAATGGCCCAATGCCAGATGGCAGCGGGGGCGGAATTACAGCCCGGAAGGAAAGCTGTCCAGGGTTCTCAAGGCGCGTGGGATACAGACGGATACTAAGCATAGAGGGATCAGCGATTCCACTCAGTGCCATATAGCTCCGGAACATATTAGTGCCATTGTTGACCCAGCTAGTGATGACTAGAGCGAGTCCGTCGTCCGTAGTAATGGTAATGGAGGAATTTACGGTACCCAAGGCATATGTTCCTGCAAAGCGGGTGTGTGCCTGGTTCTTGGCAGCTTGTTCCAGTGCAGGTAGCAGGCTTTCTGAAACGAGATCGGATGCGAGAGCTAGAGATACGTGGGTGTTATTCCCGGCTCCAAGAAGCACAAAGCCAGCTTTATGGTCGAATCTAGAGATAGCACACAGGAGTATGTGCCAATATCTCCAGACTTGGTATAGAGATCGATAGGGCGCTCATTGCCGAATGATAGAATCTCCCAAGGCGCGCCGACGGCGTAGTCAATGGATGATGTGCGGGCGAGGGGTTTCAGCCACCGTCTCGTTGTTGATCGAGGGAGAAGACTGCTGTTGAGAATTGCACGACCAAAAGTAGACATATCCTTTGTGGATGAGAAAATGCCACCAGCGCTATGGGAATGTGAGATCGATGAACGGAAATGAGAGAGTGGACGGGATTACTCACGGTGCCTTTTCACCAATATCGAAATTCCACCAGTATTCACCCTGGTAGCTAGGAATCACACCGAGAGATGGATTTGGTGTAGTATGAAACGTGTGAGCCATGCTTAGTGGCTTTATAATTTTCTCTTTCAAGACCTTTTCAAAGTCTTCACCATTCGAGAAGGTTTCTACAACAGTTCGGAGGACTTGGAAAGCTGCGTTGGAGTAGATGGGTGTAGATGATGCTGGAACAATAGGATGAGATTTTAGCAGCCCATCAAAGAATTCTGGCAAAGGCTCAATTAGTTGGGGCGTATGTCAGGAAGTGACATCAACTAACGCATTCGGCTACACGGCTTTGGCACACCACAGGATGGAATCTGCGCGAGGGGAAGAGCGGGAAATCCCAATGACTGAAGCAACGAGGCCTGCTCAGTAAGATCGAAAACACCATCTAGGAGGTGTTAAAATAACATAAATGAAGGTATAAGGATACTGAATGACTTACAATCTCTGGCTATATCAGCCAAATGACTCGCTAGTTCCCCAACTGTGATTTCATTCCACTTGGTATAGTCAATCCCATCGTTTATCTTTGTGGCATTCGGCAGAAGATCATCAGCAGCCGCTTTGATCTCGGGGATATACTTTGAGATTGGATCTTGCAGGGGGCTAATGCCGCCCTGGATGAGGAGCAGAAGCATAGGAAACAGTTTGGAGGTGCTCCCAATACGGAAAACGGTGTTCTCGTCGACCTTTCTCACGCCGAGGATATTATTGATTTCCTTGGCAGTATGAACATATGTGAGCAAGGCGCTGGAACTACTTGTGTCAAAGATCTCCAAAGACAAAGAAGCCGCAGAAAAGTCTCCCGCATCGCTAGCATTCTGGATGGTTTGGTAATGTTCTTAAGTGCCGATTGGACCGTGACGTCGTTGGAGAGACCCGTGGGAGCAGGCAAAGTAGGTCCTTGGAGAGGGCAAAGATGAACTGCATCTATCGCAGCGATGTGAAAGAGTAACAACAGTAGCAGATTATGGAGTGACATTCTGAGCTAGGCCATAGATCAAAGGTCATGGAGGTAGGTGTGTGAAGGCAATGTACTCATAGGCAAATTGAAATACTGACTAGCTGCGCTGGGGGAGTAGCAGGAATAGCTGATACAACTACCGGGATAAGACAAGCCCATAAGTAGCAAACCTGTTCAATCTGCTCTGAATGAAATTTGTAATTAATAGGTTTCAGGCTACATAACTACCCTGTCACGATCGTGCATGGGCTTCCAATAGAAGGTATACTAATGCGACGAGTAACCATAAATGGCCTGCGTCTTTGTCCAAATCTGGGTTATGGGCCGACCTCGTGGGTGAAATCCTATGGCATGAACAACCCGCGCTAGTATCACAGTCTTGCTTCCAGGGTTTTAGGTAGCGCCTTGGCGAGGGCTCCTCATGCCTTCTGGACCCTGTCCCAATTAACCCGGCCAGAAGTTTCTCCTCTAGTTGCTCGCTATGATGTTACAGGGAGGAGGTGTTCGCTAGCCACCTATGTCTAGTCGTGGCCGCTCATTTCTATTTACGGAAATATTGCATAGAACAAACCGTAGATTTAAAACCAACAGTAACGGATAGCGCCGGCCAATTAAATGTCATGGTCCATTTACTACTTAAATATCTGAATCTACAATAAAACCTACTCCGGCTTTTGAGAACCAGAATGCGAACCATCGTTGATCCGTTGCACAGGCCTCGAGACCCCGCTCCAAACAAAGAAATAAGGTTGTGCTAAGTAACCCCGCGGCTGCGTAAACTAGTTATAATGAAATGCTATTATAATCAGGCGAGCCAATTACTTCAGTCCACGCGTGATGACCATCCTGTGACAGGCCTTTCATTGCTTCATTTCATGTCATTCGATCTTTGAATCCTGTCTAGCCATTGCTACGCCTAATTTCACCTCGGCAAATCTCGCTCTTCGTCTTCCGAGACTGTCAAATAGATTATCAACGGAATTCACAAGGATGATTATTAGCGTAACAAATTTCTCTTCTCTTGGTCTGATCTCCAAGAAAGGCATCGAGAGTTGAGATCTGGTCTAGATGTAAACCCTATCGGCCTCCCCCCCAGCTACGGAATGCTCAATCGTAGAAGGGTTCAGGGTTCTTAAGAAGCTTGGACATAAAGCAACATGCGGGTTCGCTCAGAAGGGTGTATGTGATTATTTGCCGACGCTACGTTGATGGCATCAAGGCATACGAGTAGCGACGGTGGATATGCAATGTGATCGGTCTTGTGATCGTGGCGTAGGCAGAGAGCAGACCGTGCTCGTCAACGGAAGTACAGCCGACATGAGCCTTCATGTTTAGCCATACCTCCAATAACACCTCGAACCTGGAGCTCATGGACGATATAGTCATTAAGGGTATCACTTGAGCAAATGTAAGTAAATGGAACCAAAACTTCTTCGTTAGCTTATGAATAACTTCATGTTGGCTTAGAGAGTGACAGACTTTTGAGCGTCACCGAACGTTAGTTAGCATATTAGTAGCTGGAGGCTTTTAAAAACGAGGGAATAATCGACTTTGACCACCCAGCGGTCAATACTAGAGCACCACTTCGGTCATTTCTAGCGTGAGGCTGTGATGTAAATAAACCAGCGTGGAAATACTCAAGGGCCAGAGCTAATTTCACACATTAGCCGCCTATATTAAAATGGTCATGTTTATTATCAATTTCACGTTAGCAAGAAAAAATTTATTGCTCAAGTTTCCACATCTAAGCGCGAGGATCCGACCGCAGGAAAAAAAAAAAGAAAATAGAACAAGTACGACGTGCAGTCGACCGATCTCGGCTTATCGCTCTTATCGCATTTTTGCCCGCCAATCCCCCCACCACCCTCTTGACCTTCTTCCTTCAACCCAATCCAGCTTTTTGCCCCATTGGCCCTTTCAATCATGTCTGTCAAGCGGGTCCTGGTAATTGCAGGCTCCGACAGCTCCGGTGGCGCGTAAGTTTACCTCCCTGATTGTCATTGCTCTTCAGTATAGACTGGACGCATCACTGCAAGGCCGTTCCCTACCAGTTCAAACGTATATAATCATACAAAGGCCACCTATGAGATGCTAATTTCGGATCTAGTGGACTGGAGGCAGACCAAAGGGTCTTAGCTGCGCATGGCTGTTATGCTCTGACAGCTACTACGGGGTTGACTGCGCAGAACACGTTGGGTGTACAGGACATTTTTGTCGTCCCATCAGAGTTTGTGAGAAAGCAGATCAACGCCGGACTGGAAGATGTTGGCACCGACGTAGTGAAATTGGGTCAGCCATCTCGAGCTTCTTTTTTGTATGCGCGGCTATTTGTTGACTGTTCCCAGGGATGCTCTCGTCTGCGGAGACAATTGATGTCATCGCCGAGACATTACAAGCCCACAAAGTTCCGGCCATTGTGCTTGACCCGGTGAATAGCAAATCACCCGAGTCATTTGATTGCAACATTACTGATCTGACGATAGGTGATGGTTTCAACCAGCGGATCGCAACTTCTTCCAGAGAAAGCTGTTGAGGGACTCCGACTCAAATTGCTCCCTATGACCACCCTCCTGACTCCCAACATTCCCGAAGCTCAGCTTCTCATCAAAGATTCTGGGTCCGAGGCTCCTGAACCGGCAAACATCAGCGAATTGATTGACCTGGCCAAGCGAGTCTGCTCACTGGGTCCGAAGGCAGTCCTTTTGAAAGGCGGGCATCTTCCGCTTACAAAGGACCATAAGGTCGCACAAACCCCGGAAGAGTCGACTACTGTCATTGATGTTCTATATGACAGCGAGACTTCGAAGGCGACCTTGTTTGAGACTGACTATCTGCTATCCAAAAACACACATGGAACTGGCTGCTCGCTTGCTTCCGCAATCTCTGCCAACCTAGCCATGGGTAAGGACATGGTGCGAGCCGTTCGCAGTGCTGTACGGTATGTCGAGGTAGGTATCAAGACCAGCGTGGACTTGGGCAAGGGGAGTGGTCCCATTAATCACTTCCACTCGATCTATACTATGCCCTTTGCACCGTAAGTCAAGACTCTCAATTCTGCCCCAATGCTGATAAATTTTGTTGATTGTCTTTGCAGTGGCCGCTTCCTAGAGTACATCCTGGATCGTCCGGACGTTCAATGCGCTTGGGAAAAGTTTACCAAACACGACTTTGTTGAAGGTATGGGCCAAGGCACACTTCCTGTGGAGCGATTCAAGGAATATCTTGTACAAGATTACCTCTACCTGGTGAGACTTCCTTATCGGTGCATCTGCAACAATCTAGCATTATTGACGAATCAAATTACAGGTTCAATTTGCCCGCAGCAATGCTCTGGCCGCATACAAGTCTTCAGAAATGGACTCGATAGCAGCAGTTCGTGTGCCTCTACGCAAGCACCACATATCCATACCGCTAACATGTTCCAGTCTGCCCAAATTGTCCTCCATATTCAGCGAGAGATGTCCCTTCATCTGGATTACTGCGCTTCCTTTGGTCTTTCAAAGCAGGAGATGGAAGCTTCTCCAGAGACGATCGGTAAGGATCTCGCGTTTCTCCTGTCGGTTGTTTGAATGTCTGACCTGACCTTGCTTTTTTTTTGTGGACAGCTTGCACTGCATACAGCCGATACATTCTTGATGTGGGCCAATCAGAGGATTGGCTTGCCCTCCAGATGGCCCTAGCTCCCTGTTTGATCGGCTACGGTGCTATTGCTAGGCGTTTGCATGCTGACGAAAATACTCTTCGAGATGGCAACCAGTATTGGAAGTGGATTGAGAACTATGTCGCAGACGACTACAAAGAAGCTGTTCGCCTCGGATCAGGTAAGAGAATTCACCTTCTCAATCTGTGAAACCTTGTCTGACTATCACTCTTTTCTTTGTCTTGCTTTAGCTTTGTTGGAGGACCATGTGCAGAAGGTATCGCCCAGTCGACTGGAGGAGTTAATCCGGATTTTCATTCGGGCTACGGAACTGGAGATCGATTTCTGGAATATGGGGCTGAGCGACCAGAAGATGTGAAAGAATTAGACAGCCGTTGAAAAATATGGAAAAGCTTATCGAATCATATTTAGCGCAGAGATTTTTTCCAATTTCGCTGTTCCACATTCCTTCCATCGGAGTATCCGGCATCCGCCCGATCTTGAAAAGTCAAACGAAGAAAACTTTGTTACGACCCGCAAAAGATAGGCTAACTCCATCACGTGTATTGTCACATCCAAAACAACTTTCGATGTCACGTGATATATTACCTAGGAATCCTGTTTTAGGAGGCATTCTAGATCACGTGAAATAATCATGTATATCATGCGGTACTTTGAAATCACACACTTAGCAATATCCTTGCTGAAGTATATACTCCATGATGAGCCAAGTCTTTTTTGAGTCTCGGAATGCAGTCACGTGTAAATTACAGATGTGATTAATAACTGTTACACGATATGTCACGTGTGTTACATGTAAGCTAAGCCTAAAGGAGTAACGTTTTTTTCGCCTCCTGCTTTTTTTTTGCCGCTCCCCTGGCGACTGCTTTTTTGGATTCTTAAGTTCTCCGAGAACTCACCGTTATCATCAACACCTCCCCTCTCTCTTCCCTTCCTTTCCTTCGACATCCCTCCCCCGATACCCTTTCACCTCCTCAAACACACACTAAAATACACATCTCCATCATGTCTTACGGTGGTGGAAACTCCCGCGGAGGCGACTCCTATCGGTAAGTTGTTTTGTTGATAGCGAACTCTCCAAAAATCCTGTTCATGTCCTTTTGGGCCTTGCCTTCGTGTACACTTGTGAAATGGAGGTCTCGCTGGATATGCCTCTTCTGTCTCGAGACCTATGCGATCGTTTTGAATTGCTGTTGGGCTCAGCATCCTCAGTCCCAGCCTTGCCACGTCCACATCCACGATCCCTTGTGGCTACGCAGATTTTCTTCATCACACACAGATTACTTTTATCACATACCATCAATCTGAGTTCTCTACTAATCTCTTCTGCCTATACAGCTCCCGCGGTGGCGACAACGGCTACTCTAACGGCGGTGGCTACTCTAATGGCGGCGGTTACGGCGGCGGCGGCGGTGGTGGTTACGGTGGTGGCCGTGGCGGCTACGGCGGCGGCGGCGGCGGTGGCTACGGTGGTGGTGGTTTTGGCGGCGGTGGTGCTGGTGGTGACCGCATGTCCAACTTGGGCGCTGGTCTCAAGACTCAGGACTGGGGTGAGTTTTCCCGCCTTGAACCGAGATTGATGTCCAATCCCGACCACGGAAATACTAACAATGACTCTTTAGACATGAACACTCTGCCCAAGTTTGAGAAGTCCTTCTACAAGGAGAATGCCGAGGTCTCTGCCCGCTCCGATGCCGACGTCGAGGCTTTCCGTAAGAAGCACGAGATGACCGTCCAGGGCCGTGGCATTCCTCGCCCCGTGGAGACCTTCGATGAGGCTGGCTTCCCTGCTTACGTTCTCTCTGAGGTCAAGGCCCAGGGCTTCGAGCGCCCCACTGCTATTCAGTCCCAGGGTTGGCCTATGGCTCTCTCCGGTCGTGATGTTGTCGGTATTGCTGAGACCGGTTCCGGAAAGACCCTATCGTACTGTCTCCCCGCTATTGTTCACATCAACGCCCAGCCTCTCCTGGCCCCCGGTGACGGTCCCATCGTTCTCATTCTGGCCCCTACTCGTGAGCTGGCTGTCCAGATCCAGGCTGAGATCAGCAAGTTCGGCAAGTCTTCCCGTATTCGTAACACCTGTGTCTACGGTGGTGTCCCCAAGGGACCCCAAATTCGTGACCTGTCCCGCGGTGTTGAGGTCTGCATTGCTACCCCCGGTCGTCTGATTGATATGTTGGAGGCTGGTCGCACCAACCTCCGTCGTGTTACCTACCTGGTTCTTGACGAGGCTGACCGTATGCTCGACATGGGTTTCGAGCCCCAAATCCGCAAGATTATTGGCCAGATTCGCCCTGACCGTCAGACCTGCATGTGGTCTGCTACTTGGCCTAAGGAGGTCCGTCAGTTGGCCAAGGATTTCTTGAACGACTACATTCAGGTCAACGTTGGTTCCATGGACCTCTCTGCTAACCACCGCATCACTCAAATCGTCGAGGTTCTCTCGGACTTTGAGAAGCGTGACCGCATGATCAAGCACATGGAGAAGATCATGGAGGACCGCTCCAACAAGATTATCATCTTCACTGGTACCAAGCGTATCGCTGACGAGATTACTCGCTTCCTCCGCCAGGACGGATGGCCCGCGCTCTGTATGTCTTCCCCTTCGTTCCCCGAGCCCCAAGACTGTATTTGTACTAACACACTCTATTACAGCCATTCACGGTGACAAGCAGCAGCAAGAGCGTGACTGGGTCCTCAACGAATTCAAGCAGGGCAAGAGCCCCATCATGGTGGCCACCGATGTGGCTTCCCGTGGTATCGGTATGAACAAATTGCAACCCCTTTCCCCTCCCCTCCCTCCAATATTGTGATCCCCTTCCTGGAAGGGGCCCTTAAACCACTTACCCGTGTTGATGTTGAAGAACACAATGGCACGGTGCTCAACTCTCTCCCGAAGCATGTTGGTGTAAACACGACTTCGTCCAGGCGGAACGTCGGGTCATCTCAAATGGTTTCTTTTGACCAGAGAGGACCTTGGACTCACAGTGCAGTGTCTCAGAAAACAGGTCTGACAGGATATCTCCGACTCCTTTGTTGCTGAAACTCGTAAGCGAGTTGGAGTCCCTTTCTCTCAGCGTTGTTCTTGATCTGTTTCAAAAAAAAGCTGCATTTCCAAGGTTTCTCTTAGGACCACGATTTTACCGCCACCTTATGGACTTGCTTCCCCGGTGACTCTCTTTCAAGAAGCTCCGATCAGAGAGCAGTGATGATGCATCGACGTCCTGCACGACTGTGAAAAAAGGGGCCTTCCTTTGGCCACAATTGCTCTTATCCTAACTAATGGCTCGTTTTGCTAACCCGACGTATTCGAAAAGATGTGCGCGACATTACCCATGTCCTGAACTATGACTACCCCAACAACTCGGAGGACTATGTCCACCGTATTGGTCGTACTGGCCGTGCTGGTGCCAAGGGTACCGCCATTACCTTCTTCACCACTGAAAGTGAGTTTCTTCTTGTTTCGAACACTGTTCCCTTCCCAGATTTCTAACCGTGTCTTTTTTACTACAGACTCTAAGCAGGCTCGTGACTTGGTCACCATTCTCACCGAGGCCAAGCAGCAGATTGACCCCCGTCTCGCCGAGATGGTCCGCTACAGCGGTGGTGGCGGCGGTGGTGGCCGCTGGGGTGGTGGTCGTGGCCGTGGTGGCTGGGGTGGCCGTGGCCGTGGTGGCGGCGGCGGCAGCTTCACTGCCTCGAACGCTGCTCCCCTCGGCGGTGCCCGTCGTTGGTAAACAAAAAAAAACACCGGAGAGGCCCCCTCAATTCCCATGCCGCCCCCGTGCGGTTCATCGGAACCGGCGCTCTGCTGCGTCCCCTGGTAGACTTCCTTTCTGTTCTTGCTTCACCTCGTTTTCCCTGCGTAATTCGGTCCGGACGGCGTTATTCCCTTATGTCATAGACAGCTTTACATGATTCCTATCAGTCTCGATCTTTTCTGCTGTGTCCACGAGCTCCTTTGGATCTTCGTCTACAGTTCTCAGCAAAGTTTTACAGCTTGGATCTTTCCAGGCCCAATTCATACTTCTTGATTATCTCACAAAAGTGTCTTTCCCTTCTCCTGTTTTGTTCTCCAAGGGGTTCCATCGGCAAGTACGCCGATGAGTTAGTGCAGATTGTACGAGCATAATGGAATATTTGGTCATTATAACTTGCCTCCCGAAGCCAAAATATCAATTCTGTATTAAAGAAGTTTGTGTTGTTCTTTTCTACGGTCTTTTCTATGACCACTGAGCTTCGCGAGCTTTGGTATGATTTGTGACAAACTCAGACGGATGATCACAATTTCAAACGAATCATCCGAACATCAAGGATATCTCCACAAGAGCCTTTCCATCTAAATCCTAGACGAGTGATTTTATACATATAGTATAAGTCTTTCGCGCGGTCTCTAGAATATTAGAAGTAGTCACATCGTGGCCTTAGTATTATGATATCTTTGATGAGGCTATTCACATGTTGATATTGATGCCTCAAGCCCTCGAGTAGCGATATAAGACAGCCACACTGCATGTCGGCCACGCCCATATGATGTGCTATGCGCTGGCCGTGCGTTGGCTTTTCGGCACTGTACCCCCCTTGCTTCTTGACTGTCTCCTGTTTGTATGGAAGAAGCTGTATTTAAATTGATGCTTAAGGAGTGGGTTTCTAACTCCTTAAGAAACAGTCTGTAACAATTAGACTTGGTGCTTTGCTCTCCTACCTAGTTGACAGGCTTTCTACCTTGTAAGTAGTATACTCTTTACAATAGTGAGGACGACCTTGAATCTATCAATCACTCTTTTTCTGATGGTTCCGGTAGCTCCCCGTCTTCCGATCTCATACTAGTATATGCACTACTTTAGCCTTGGTCTTGTTTTCCAATAGCTCATTGATGCGGACAACCAAAAACTAGGTACACAGCCAAGAATATATATCACACATCGCCGTCTAGAAACCAGGCAAAACTCTAGTAATAGATTGTATCGATCTAAGTCGAGCATATTGCAACGCAAAGACCACACTTATTAAAAAATCAATTTACTTCCTCATCAGTATCCTGTTTACTCAATTAGTAGACTTTTCCAAGGATTAACGAGGCTGGCCGGGCCGCTGCCACCTGAGGCAGGAGTCCACGGGCTCCACCAGGATCCAGAATAATATCCACCATACCCATTCATGATACCAATTATTGCCTCCCTGACATCAACGGTTCCATAACTCAGTTGGTTAGAGTGTGGTGCTAATAACGCCAAAGTCGAGGGTTCGACCCCCTCTGGGACCATTTGAAGCAGTATCCTATAACTAGGATGTTTCTTTTTTCTTTTTGTCAAAATAGTGTCACCGAGATCTAATTTGGGATTTTCGATGCGTACGCCCTTTTATTACGGAGGTCGGGATTTCTTTTTCCGAATCGATCCACGCATGTAAAGACCAGGCTCGTCCAAGTCAATACAAAAAGTGTTCACTACAATCAGACCAAGCGGCCAGGTAAAGAAGAAGACCAAGATCCTGAAGCCAATGTCAACGTTCGATGTTTCAATACCAATTCCCCCTCTCTATTTGAAACATGTCTATCCCTCTAGCATTGCAGCCATCTTACTGATTCTCAAGCGCATACTCAACCTCAATCCAATTATCATGCTCCAGACTCACCATAACGCGCCACGTCTCCTCCATCAACTGCCTAGTCTTATCATCAATCGGGTCATGATCCTGTAAATCTTGCAACACGTCTCTAATTTCTCTCAGATTCCGCCTCGTCAACACGCATTGCTCAACGATACGATGAATGTGTTTCCGGGACGATACCATCCTGGTCCTCGCTGCGTACTCTTTCATGTATGAATTGATCTCGAGGGAGAAGTTGCTCGCCAGTCTTGCTTTAATCGAGTTGGCGATTCGGGTCTCGCGTCTTTCCCAGCATTTTACGGTCTCGTTGGCCATTCGCAGGAATGATTCGAAGGTTGGCTTGGGGATGGCTGGCTCATTTGGATCTGATGTAGGAGGGGATTGCACTGGTGCTGGGTCATTATAAATTTGCAAGTCTGGCTCGTCGTTGCGTTGTAGGATTGAATTGCTTTCTTCCACTGACTGATTCGGAGGTGTAGCCTGTAGCATGTCAACGAGATAATCCCTGTCCGAAGGCGACAAGTCCTTGAAAGTTGAGGGCTTCTTCTTCTTCCACCGCGGGATCAAGCTCGGCATTTTTGAGGTCGACAGTTTATATGATTGCGAATTTCGGTATTTGGAGGGTGGAACATGGAACGATGCCCCATTGGGACCTTAGAAAGGCACCTAGTAGTTTTATAGCACCCTCGATAGTAATATGTGTTTGCATTGTGGGCATGTAGCGCTTTGTTCGCGGACAATGGAATTGGACAGTCAACGAGGTAATTGTCCTCTGGCCATGACTACCGACGCATTAATACGGAGACTTGCATGAACTCACTTTGATATGTTCTAGTCATCTGTAATGACTTTGAAGTCTTTGATACTTCAAGAATGGCAGAAGTCCAATCTGATGAATTGACTAGATGATTGTACTTCCGATATACAGCAATCTTATGTTGATATTCTAAATAACCTCCCAAAGTAGATCTCGCCTTAACTCCATAATCAACTCCTTCACCCAAAACCCTTTCATGAAGACTGACGACCGGATCTTCCCCCAGCATCACACCCTCCATAGCCCCACGCCCATCCCCCGGCTCCCGCTCTTGTCCTTTAACTACCTAGAAATTCACAATAAAGACTTCCTAACCTCCTCACACACGGCTACCCATTTCATCGGCAGTTGAAGAATTGTTAAGGCTGCTGAGAATTTGTGGTGGGAGAAAGATATGATGCATTCTCTTTCATCGTCCATAATGTTTTGTTCGCATTGTTGCATCCATGTTAGGTACCACCGTAGAGCTCTCTATTTAAGAACCAGCAGTGAAAAACACCAAAGCGCATTAACTAAAGGAGAGCGCTACTTTGATGTACGGAATTGTCCACTTGAATGACTAAATGACATTGACCATTGTTTATACACGGCCATCCATTGCGTTCCTGTATTTCTATTGCTGTTTGAGTAGATTCCGAGGTGTGGCCACTAATATGACAGGTGGAGATGGTATGTGAAGTTTGTTGAATTATCAGCGGGGTAGGGTATATGAAATGATGAGTGTACACGTAAGGTCATGAGCTGCGGGAATACCGGGCATGGGCTCGAGGAAAAGAGGGAGGGAATCGAGGGGAGAGATTAGGATATAGATGTGGATGTGTGACAGGTAGTACAAGGTGTGCGGCACTGCGGCCCGGCACGGTTCTTCAGGGGTGAGTTGGTTCCTCCGTGGAAAAGCGGCTGAGAATAATATCAGCTGCTCGGAGGTATAGAGGTATTCATGATGATGATATGTGCTCCGGATGTAGAAGTCGCGGGCACTTGTCTATGAGAAATCTGTCGATGATCTAGCTGTGACCGGAACGCAGCGGGGAGAACGCTTGTGACTCGCGATACGCAGAGATTCGGGGGATGCATGAATGGGGTCGCGTCCCAATGTGATGGGATTATATCGGCGTGGCGGAGCATAATGCTTTTCGGTAACATTTCAGGTATAGCTGGTGTGGCTGCTCGAAGGGCTCTGCTCCTCATTCTGATCATCCACACTAAGCTTCCAGAAGAGCGACTTCATGTCCCGCACATTCTCCCGGAAATCATCCAGAGGTTGGTTCATTCGCTCTTCGGACATCTCCCGGACCTCGCGGATGATGTCTGTGTAGCCTTCGTCATTAGGAAGCCACCAGTGATTGATATCGGGGAGCTGCCAGATGGCGGCGAGGGCAGCGCGGAATCGAGGGGCGATGATGTACCTAGAAAGAAAAATCCGAGTTAGTTCGCACTGGACCAAATCTTAAAGTAAACAGGAACGAGACCATGAGCGGACTTACCCATTCTGCTCCATCAAGGCCAGCTTGTGCCTTGACCACATCTGGTGCTTCAAATCCTTGGGCAAGAACATGCTCGAAAGACCAATACTGTTCTTGAAGCCGATGCAATATCCGTTGCCCTTGGCCGGCCAGCGCGATATCGTCTCTATCAACTGACACTGTTCAAAGGCCAACCGTTCCAAATCCGGAATGAGCGGCTGCTTCAACGAAAGCATGGTTTGATATTTAAACATCAACTCGGTGGAAAGAAGATCAATCCTCGCATAGTTTCCATCCCACAGGGGTCCCTGCAGTATACACCCCGGTACATAAGGGTCCACGATGTCATTGTCCGTTAGAGGTTGCTGATTTGGATACGAGCGCACAGAATCTTCGCAATCATCGAATTGTTTGAGGATATTCTTTGCACGTTCCATCGTTTGACCGAGTTGTTCGTTTTGAATGGCAAACTGGTCGATTGGGATCATGCCACGCGAGAGTTTTGCGTATAGTGAGGCCATGTCCAGCCCGAAGCGTCGATTGATCGAGGCTACGAGGGCAAGCTGTTTGCTTGGGTCGTCGGGGTAGAGGGCTGCTTGCTCGGCGTCATAGTGCTCCTTTGCCATGTACCAGTCACGGCCAAGGATCGCCTCGGTACCTGCCAGAATGCCTGCCACCACGTCAAATCGGGCGTACCACAGGAAGATGTTGGTATGGAGTTCGATCAAATTAGCGGATTCGGGTGTCAATAGTTCTCGCATCAAGGCGTGTGCGGCTTGATGGTGATCGATGAGATTTACCCAATCCCCGATATATTCCTGTATTGAAGAATAATGATTAGGAAAAAAGCTCAAAGTCAATCCGGATTGGGTGGCGCCACGGGTGAATACCTCAAACGTCGTCAAAACAAGAACTGTGCACAACGTTGCTTCACTATGTCCCTCGCCCGATTCCAAAGACTTTCGCAAGAGCGTCAAAGCCTTGTTATAATATTTTAAAAATGCATAGAGCTTCCCTCCACCCTGCAAGGTGTGATGGTATGCCGAGAATCCCACCAAAGCATACAGTAAAGGCTCATACCCGAGAGCAAGTTCGATAATGCTGTGATGGATGAAATGGGCACTGCCCTGTCTCAAAAAGAAATGCTCATGCGAGATAAATTGTTGATGAAAGTCCAAATAGAACCGGATATCATCCGAGAGTCGGCTGTTGTTGAGCAAGTCGAGCGTAGATTGGCTGATACTAGCCGACCGCACGCTCATCGACTCAAATCTCGATGACTCGGTCGAGGGTGAACTGCTCGGTTCTAGATGGAATGATCCCGCCTCCGAGGGCTGTTTGATGCTGCGTTTCCGCAGCGACTGGCCACTTTGAGTGCGGTGCAGATCATGTCGTAACTGGCCAGTACCACTGCCGCTCGTTGGCGATAGTCCCGATCCTCCATCAGCACCCTCGGGCTCCTCTTCGTCGATGATAGGCTCCAAGGGGCTAACTTCATCGACGTCCACTCTGCCGGATGAGTCACTACCCTGCGACTGAGGGCGAGCACTGCGTGTTTTGGCCGTCGAGCGGGAGCTTTTGGCCGAGGGGGCGGTTGGCGAGGGATACACGCAGTCTCGACTACCTTTCCGGCAACGCTCGCAAATAGGGCGAGTCTCGTCGCATTTGATGCGACGCGATCGACAAGTGAAGCAGCCACTGCGGGTGCGCCGGTGTTTCTTCTGATCCGGGATGGGCTGGAGGAGGGTCGGCTGCTTGGGCGGGTATGACGGAGCGGGAAGGGCCATGGGCGGCGGCGCCGCGGAAGGGTCATGCCAGAAGGCGACACTCTCTGGATATTGCGAAGGGCCGAACAAGTTGTATGCGGACATGCTAGTGTCTTGTTGCATTGAGTCGAGGAAGCCGGCCAGGGCTGCCTGGGACTGATGATATGATTGCGCCATGGGGGGCGATTGTGTGTGTGTGTGTGTGTGTGTGTGTGTGTGTGTGTGTGTGTGTGTGTTGTGTAGGTGGGTGATCGTGGAGATCAGCCCGAGATCCAAGGTAGGTTTCGGGAGGCACCTTGAGTATGGGGATTCCGGGGGGTGGGAAGGGAATTTCTGTTACGGCCTTCCAAGGCGCGTAATCTATCTATGTTAGGTGGCGCGTAGATTCCCCATGAAATTCAACCCAAAGTTCCGCAGGGAACTTGCATTGTGGGATCCAAAGGACAGTGATCGGAAGATGAAAGGGAGGAAGCTTGAAGGGAGCCCAGAGAGGTGTCGAAGTAGAAGTAGAAGGGGTGCGGGTGGGGTGAGGAATGGGCCCGGATGATTGGAGCGAGGATGTGCGGAGATTAATTCCCAGAGTCACAGAGCCGGAGAAAGAGAGAAAATAAAAGAAACGTAGCTTCCACTCCGTTTTGTATTTGTATTCAATTTATTTGGATCTGATTTGATTCTATCTTGCCTCTTTTTTTTTCCTTTTTTTTTTATGCTTCTTATAATTACGCAGGGTCTGAGAGAGTGCACAAGTCTGATTCTCATCTCCACTACGGAGTTCAGTCCGTTTTGCCTTTTTATTTTCTCCTCATTTTCTATTTTAGTGTGCCGCTGACAGCGATCCTGATCGCCGTATCAAATACGAGCGTGGATCTAGGATTCCGGTCTGCCAGAAAAGACGACAGAACGAGGTCCGTCACTAGTGGCGTGGACGGGCAAAACCTAAACTGGTCCTAGACGGAAGGACCAAGGATGTGCAAACCCACGGAGTTCGGAGAACAATTGATGTGTAAAAATGCTAAATCCTTGGGCTGATCCAGGAACTATATCCGCCACTATTAACCCGTTCGGATGGACACCGTATGGGGGCGTCCACATATGCTCCATCCCCGATTCACCCACTTCTCAATGACGGGGCCATATTGATTTAGGGTCTACAGAGTACCCAGGACGGGGCTACTGATTCGATATATTCTAGCCTAGCTTTCTAACTCTCCGTTTCTTCCGGCGGGGTGGAGAGCCAAGCAAAAGATTCGCAATCAAAGAGGAAATTATTTCAACCACGACTGCATCTTGCTGTATTTGACAAATTGACAATTTACAGCCCCCAGGGCCAATCCGGATTGGGCTATGAGCAATGAGCAATGACGGATCATCGGTTCAGCCAGAAGAAAAAAGACTTCTAAGGTAGTATTGCAACAATGATGTAGCACCTGGCACTGTTGGCCCCTTTTCCCTCTTCCAGTTCCCCACTTCCTGCGGATCATCTGGATGATCCTATAGCATGTACGGAGTAGCATGTACATGAACGAGTCATGTCCTCTGATATTTTTATCTCCTTCTCCGAGGGCAAAATGGATCACCTCGGGTCTCGGTGAATTCTGAGTTCTGGAAGAAAAGGGGGGGCCGATCACCTCCAGCCACCGAGGGAGGTGATGATCAGCGGAAATGCAATTGCTTAGGGCTTGGGGATTCAGAGGGGCCCGAGTGGCTGCTTAGTACCAAGCAGCGACAGGACTTAGTAGTGGTTCTTGTGCCATGCAAGAGGTAATAATCAAGAAATCAAAGATAATTGGCAACGAGGAGCTAGGCATCATCGTTATCATTATCACCATAGCATTCGTCAATTCCAGCTAGCCCTGTGCCACTTTCCTAGTTTTGCATGGTACCTCCGGCGCGTTTGGTCTTGATAGTTTGATATTTTCCCCTTCGGCGGCCATATACCTCAAGAACTGCCTAGCTTACTAGTGAGTCAGGTCTGGACTCTGTAACCACTCCATCCAGCATCGAAAGGAATGGATCCTCTGCATCGAATCAGTAATCCCGGCGCAGGGTGGATTCCAAGATAGATTTTTGTTGCGAGGATTATTTGTCCATCACCGCGAAAGATAGTGGAGACGGCCTCGAAGATCATCGGAGGTCTTTCCGGAGAGAAAATTCAGAAAGAAACTAAAAAGGCAAAAAAGGCATCCTCGGCGATCAACAGTCAAGCTTCGGTATCTACGAGCCCAAGTGGCCGAGAGGACCAAGGGAGCTTAGCACGGAAAGACCGGAAAGCAACGAGTACGGGCGGGGGAGATGGAAAGAGTATGGAGGACGGAGTAGAGAGACACTAAGGAGCGCGACTGCAGGGCCAGTCGGCAAATCTGAGACCTTGGGGGGCGGGTGCATCGAATAAAATGCCGAAAACGTTCTGTTAGTGACGGAGATCGGTTCTTGCGAGTGGAGCCGGGTGACTAAAGAAGGCCCGAAGGGACTTTAGTTGACTTGGTCCGTGTGGGCACCCGTTCAAGGACTTTGTTTATGATTCATGCAGGATCAAAGCCGGAGACGGAAAGTTTGAACATTCTACGAAGAGGGGGGTTGGGTCGGACCGGTGTCATAGATGTGTGATGTGTTGGTGGGAAAAGGACAGGGACCGGAAATTCCAAGGAGCTTCCTAAGGCTGGCTGAAATGCCTTTCGGGCTCTCTCAATCCTTTCTACTCTCTTCCCCCTTTTTCCCACAGGTCCACTGTCAGCCTCCCTCTGCCTCATCTTCTTCTCCCCCCCCCCCTCTTTCCTCCACCTTTCCAGTTTCATAGGGAAGAAATTCATTATCAATCGGCCGCGTGCCTGATCGACGGGGGTTTGACAGACCGAACACAAAAGATTGGGTGGAGCCACCCGAAGCAGACGCTAACGTGGAAGGAGGAGTCAACGACAACAGCGCCATCCTTGCGAGAGCGAATAATCAAGGAAAACTAGTGTTCAGCATCGACTCCACCGGTCCTTCAAGCCCCGATGCACCGATGCGCCCATGTTCCATAGCTCGTACGGTAGTGGTACAGCTACCGTCTGGCGTCAAGAAACGATCCTGGATCGTGCAAAGTGTTATGATCCTTCCGGGTAACGACAGGGAATATGGATGGATCACCCACGACACCAGTGGCGCAATCGGCGCTGATTCGTTCCTTGACTTTGCCGATGGGGCCTATCAGCTGTTTGAGGTTCTTGACTGGACCGTCATCGTGGACACGTCCCATATTTTTTTTTTTTTTTCAAAGTTCTAGCAGTATTCACGACGTTCATCGAGTAGAGGATGCTGTCCTGTATGGAGGTACGCCTTATTAAAGGTCAGTACAAAACATTCTTCCCTCCTATACGGAATCGGGGCTCTGCTATACCTGCCGCCTAGCACTTATACCTCGGTAATTGTTTTATGTCTAGCGCGTAGACTGGTTGCTGGGAATCCAAAAGAAGAACCAGTCCAGTCCTAATGCGTACTAGAAACAGAACGCTGTCTGCCGGGACTTGCGCAGCGCACCGACCCTCCGACATTACTTTTCGCCATGTGGATGAAATGTGACCCGGTTTCTAACACTAATGGACGTGCTCCTTGACAGGGGTGGATCCCAACTCCATCGTTTTTTCTCCACAGCATGACTTGACTCTAGTGCTATGTGGACCGTTCTGCTTTTTTTTTTTTTTTTGCCTTTCCAAGTCCTCATTCTTTCTTCAGCCTGTTGAACTAGTGGGAGGAAGGCGTACATAGAATAATTGATAGAAACTTTAAAAAAAACGACGTTCGTTCCCCAAATCCCTGGCGATCATCCAGCATCGGCAACGAGCCAAGTTTGCCAAGCCAACATTATTGTAGGCTGTAGCTCCCTCTCCACGAGAGTGACACGCTAGCCCAGGATCATGACGCTCTGCTGATCCCGGTCCTGGCATATGAACTAACACCTGCACTGGTCCAGGATAGGTAACATGTCCGTTCAAGATCTCACCCGCCCTCCCCATGGCCCACGGCCCAGGTGCTGGCCCAGGGTCCCGGGAGATTGGGGGACGCTACTGGTCAATAATCCACATGCATGTGCTACTATACCCGATTCGGTAGGTATGGAGTGAGCTAATTAATACCTGGCTCTGACTCCCTAATTCCCACACACGAATCAGATACGGAAGGAATGATTGAACAACCAGTATCATGCTTTTAATGAGGTGCGTGGGTTGGTCCTCGTATAGAAGGCGTACTCGTATCCTTGAGTTCTTGGGTATTTGCAGCTGGGCCATGGACAATAACGGTTTGTCCAAGCCGGGGTTCCTAAATAATGGCCGTCTTTTTTTTTCTTCTACTTCTTGTTCATTGTTCTTTGGGGAATCACCCGTATGCATGGCTTGGGCTAGTGGCTAGAACCCAACTAGAAGAAACATGGAGGTTTCACTCTAATTATTTGAAGAGTAGATCTAACGGTCATAGCCGACGGAGTCACGAAGTCAGGATCCCCCAGTCCTAGCACCGCCAAATCACTAGACCTGCAACTCCTGGGCAAAAGATATGGGGAAGGTGATGGATCATATCTTTCCTGGTCAAATGAATCCTTCTGTTGCCGTTATTAACCAGTCTTGACGTCCATACGTGATCAATGCCCGTCTAGGTTCAGGCGGGCCGGTCGAATGCATGTCATGAACTAGGAACGCATTATCCCTGTCGACTTGTAATTACCGCATCTTATTATTCGGTAATCAGCATTCTCGAGGATGATTCTTATGAAGGCTTCCTTTTCGAGTTGTGTTCATGCTCGGACTTCTTCTCCCTGTATGGCTGTGCAAAAATGTAAATCAGAGCTTGTATTGTGTCGAGCGGAGAATTCACAAAACATACAGGATCATACTGAAAAGAGTTTACTCGTGAAAAATGCCCCAGGCTCCTACCTTGGCTGTTGTAGCTCGGTTTGTGAAAAGTAAAGTACGAGAATAAGTCTAAATGTGGGCCGATTTAGCTCATTTCAGGAGGATGTACTAATGAGTATGAGTCCGCTCTTCTCCGCTCTGATCTTGTCAAGGCGTGCATTTTTCCAAACACTACAGAATCAGAAATGGGGTTCGCGATGCTCCCCTGGGGGTCACGTTTGTCTAACGGCGTCAGGCGAGGAGCCCAATATGGGTATTAAACTCGTCGGCAGAAGAATCTAGAAGTCAAGACGCCACCTCATCTGACACTCGAATCATAGAGTTCCACCATTCTTTTGACTTTTAGATGGCGCCTCCTCCGTATACTTTCCGTGTTGTACCCATAAAATGCTTATGTAGTTGCACCAAGTGGTGCATGCACTAATTGTTCGTATTAGTGTCGCTCATTCCTGCTGTTGGTCCCGAGTAAGTATGCACAGCGACTACAGACTAGAATGTGGAAATTCCAACGTGCGCTCTAATAACAAACAAGAGTGAATCTTGAGAACATTCTCAATCAAGTTTAGTAACTCTTTCCATTGGGATCCGGGTATCTTATCCCTCCGGTCCATAGATCGCACAATCTTAGTTCCTGAGAGATATCTCGCTTCTCATCGGTACCCGCCGAAATAGAGCAGCTGTCTTGCTGTGGGGGGCCCAGACGTGATACAATAGTTTGTTGCAGATTCAACAACCTCTGTTAGAGATTCATTGAAAGAATGGTTCGTCTACCTAATAAATCTCCATCAATACACCCACAAGGTACGGCACAGATCGGAAGTTTTGTGTTCCACCTCGATGACTGCACATCTTCCGAATCTGGATCGGACATTTACATCTTACAGCGGAAATAAGTAGCCACCCCGACGAAACCACGTCATGATCAAGTCCTCATGGTCTCACCAGAATTGACGCCATCAAACTCTACCGGAAAGTCTCCAGCCACGAACCAACACTAATTACTACAGTAACAGTCAACGATGAGGCTGAAGATACAGCAAAGACAGTACGGAGTACAACCATAATCCACAAGGAGACCAAACCCAACTCCGCCCCCACCGTAATGCGGACGATCCCACCAACCGGGGTGAATTATACTCCGATCCTACAATAAGCTTGCACCTGGTGGGCTGGCCACCATGTACAGTACTCCGTATAGGTCCTTCATACTTGCTTTCCTGTGACGATGGCGGCCATGATCGGCCGATACTACTTTCCTTCCAGTGCCCACATCATGGATACCACCGGTCCGTCGGGGAAGGGGGGAAGTCGTTGACTAGCCGTCGGATATGATTGCCTAGACTAAATAGATAATGTTACTGCTGCGGATCGAGTTGACCCCGGCCGTTTGGGAGATGTAATCCAGGACCAGTGCAGGATAAGATCATGCATTGGCTCCGTAAGCCGTCAATCACAGTTATCCCCTTCGCTACCCACCACGGAGTACAGTATGAAGCAAAGCATTACAGCTTTTAGGCAGTTCCAAGCTCTCTTTGTCTTTGCCGCTCCACCGGAGAACCCATCCTAGCAATGATCAAGCCCGTAGTGGCCCGTTTGATTTGATCTTGAGACACCCTAGTCAATCCGATGATGGGATCTGTCACTATTTTAGCTTTCCGTTGGCACCGGAGACCCCGGAGGCCGCGAACTAAACGTCCTCCTTGTTTAGTTAGGTCGATTACAGGGGCGACTTTGCTGATCAGATCATCAGACAGACTCGAGGATTTGAGAGTTGCACTCCAGGGCCAAGCCACTAGCGAAGTACATCTCCTTGGCTGACTGCTAGGACACTTTTGCCGGGCTGACACTCGTCCAATTAGCCAGGCTGTAGAGTTTCCTTCCCACTATGCTAGATAACAAGAGGTGCAAGTCTCCAAGGAAGACGTCGATTCCCTTGATCAATTGTTGACTTCCCTGGGGGTTAACTCTACTGGTAGACTGTCGCTCGGCGCCGGAAGATTTACCTCGGGGGCGACCCACGAGGGTTTTAGGCATGTGACACCATATTCATTCGACCGGTGGATGCAACAAAAACAAAACCAAAAAAAAAAAACTAAAAAAAACTGGAGATGGAAATTTCACAGAAAGACGAGGCTGCTGCCACCCCCTAATTTCCCCGCTCGCACCACCCTGGGGCCTTAGTTTCCTGCCTGGCATAGTGATACATAATTATATCTGGTAGCTGCCACCATCTAACTAGCACTCTACCCTGGAGTGGAGTTTTGTGGTAAGTTCAGAATCTCGACTAAAGTTCAATCATATTATTAGTTATATTTGGAAGGATATTTACCTACTCAGATCGATAGACATTATATAGGCTATCCGGAGAATATATCTCAAAAGACTTTCCAAAAGATAGTTACTTGTACTCATGACGGGATTAGTAAATTTAGCCTGTTAGGCGTAGATCCAAGGCCCAGGGGGGTGCGCGTGGGAAATCTAGGGGGTGGCAGAAGCCTCGCCCTCACAGAAGGTACTTTCAAGTCGTAGACCCGGTCCTTTAGCCACAGGCGCCACCAAATAACTAATCAGTTTAACAATTAACAAGTCAATAAGTCAATAACTAACGCCACTTATTTACAAGCTAGAACGTGACTTAACATGAACAATGCTGGACTAGGGTATGCTTGCGAGGTCTCCGCAGCCCTAGCGCCATTTTTTTTTGGTACGGCCCAAAGCTACTCCGTACAATCTTGACGTATGTTTCAGAGTCTGAAGTATCCATTGTAAGGTGATCACCATTACCGGCGGAGGACTAATGTCTTTCCGTTGAGAACTTCAGGCTAGGTTCTAGTTGCTACAACCTCCATCTAGGCATTTGATCCATCATTATTACATTCTCAGTGTCTTGCCCTTCCGCCTCGGCAGAACCCGGCGGCAGTATCTACGTCGCGGAGTCACTCGATCGTGTCGGCCCAAGCTCCCCTACTCCAATGCAAACAAGCTCATCGAAAATCCAAAATGCAAGAATTTGTAGTCTTTCAAGATTCATACATGATATATTGAGTCGTAACATCGTCAACAGCACCCCCCATCCACGAGCTCCGGCACAAAAGCCTATAATGCCCAGTTCAAACTCCGTACTCCTATCACTGCCCGATTTTCCATGAAGTATATAGAATGGTACACCCACCCTGAACTTCAATCATTGCTTCCGAGCCGCCTGAAGCTCCTCAAGTACCATACCAACACCCTCAATGACCGTCCCCCATTCAATCTCGTGCACCCGCTTCTCAAATACCTCCAAATCCTCATCCTGGCCCTTCACGAACGGAATCTCCCGCACGAGAATCGGCTGGCCCATGTCCACCTCCGAGATGACATCGTGAATCATCACGCCAGTCTTATCAATCTTGCCCTCCATCCACGCAGCATGAGCGCGCTCGATCGCATTCTGCAACATGAAATATATCAGTAACACAATCCAAAGCGATAATACCTGCAAAAATCCCTGCCCGAACCCCCCAAAAAAGAGGAAAATGATATACTCACCACACCGTTAAACGCCCCCGGCAGCGCGGGATGCAAATTGATAATGCGCACATTCGCCTTTTCCAACGGCGACAAGAACTGCGGCGATAGGATATGCATGAAACCCAGACACACAACCAACTCCGGCTGATCGGCGAGAATCAGACGAGCCAGCTCGGCGTCGTACTCCTCACGCGCGGCCTGTACGCCCTCGGGCGTCGCTGGGTGTGCTTTCTTGTACTTGACGAGGTTGTGGTATTCGGTTGGGATGGAGGCTTTGCGGGCACGTTCGAGGCCGAAGGCATCTTTGCGGTTGGAGAGGACGCGGATTATTTGAGCATTTAGGGCGCCCGCGTGGACTTTGTCGATGACGGCTTGGAGGTTGGTGCCGCTGCCGGAGATGAGGATTGTTGTACGGATTGGAGAGGCCATTTTGAGAGAATTGGGGTCTTTGGGAGGTGATGTAGGTGTGTGTGGTAAGTTTTTTGAGGGATGGTGGGGGGAGAATGTCGTTGCGGGGAGCGGACTTGGACGGTTTGCTGATGCTTGACGATTGGTATGTGTTTGCGATTTGAATATAGGTTTTTGGCCTCAGAAAAGACCAATTGAGGTATTTGGTATAGTATAATATGGAGCTGTAAAATCGCACCTATACAAGCTCCAAAGGAAGAAGTGGTCTCTAGTGATGTCGAGCTTCCATCCCGCGCTGGGAAAATTTCCTATCACGTGAGCGGGGCATCGCCGACTACGGAGATAATCTATGTGGGAGTAGGTTTATGTGGGAGTAGGTTAAAGAATATTGAGAACAAGGTACAGTAAATGGACCATCAGAATAAAACCTAGAACGAGAATGGTATTGATTAGCTTAGGACTGTCGACTGTCCAAGAACAAAATTACAAAGTAGGATGGATTTATCAACAAATACTTCATCACTAACCGTCCAACCAACCAAGTAAGACAATATTTGCAGACAATGTACCGAGACGCCTCACAAAAGCAGATAGTGGCTTTCCAAAAGAATTGCAAAATTTCTAAACTTCGATTCAATGACCAATGGAGAGAAAACAAATACCAAGCAATACACGAAATCGACCGAAAGCAGCGCGACAGGAGAAAAAATTGCCGTGGGGATATCCAAGGAAGACATGTCGTAAAGGCTCTAAGCAGACGCTGGGATGCTAATGTTCAATGAGTAGAGTTATGAAGGGTCAATGGCCGTAGGTGAGTTTGTTCAGAATGTGAAGTTCGATGCACATATATGCTGGCCCCAATCTGAAGATTAGATGGCCGTGCCCTCGGGAGCAGAATTGGGAGCGGGCTCAACTCCTGCTGTGCCCTCGTCATTCGACGCCTCTTGGACACCTTGACCTCGGCAGAGAGGGCAAGAGTTCCGGCCCGTGGTTAACCACTGTGAAATATTCAAGTCAGTAAGATCAGTGAATCAAGATAGAATTACAAAGGCAACGTACCTGGTCAATGCAATCCCTGTGGAACACATGCTTGCATTTGGCCAACTCCCGGACCTCCTCAGCGACTTCATAGTCGCTCAAGCAGATCAGACAACGCTCGCCGTCTTGGATCCGAATTGCGCCAGCGCCACTAATAGATTCCGCGACCAACGAACCTGAATACTCAACAAGGCGGAAGAGTCCACCTGCAGAGTTGACGTCGTCTTGAGACGCCACCGGGGGCTTGGCAGGGCCTAGGAGTGAAGATAGCAAGATCATGTCCTCGTATGTAGGATTATCGGTGAAGAGACTTGGCGTTGTCAGAGCCGGGTGGTTTTCCGACAAATTGGTTCCAACGACGTAGATCAGCCAGCTTCGGCCACCGCTTGGAGGCGGTTGGTCAGGTTCAACCACGCCATTTCGACGAAGGGATCCCGAGCCAAGTGCGCGATGGCGAGCAAACTCCGAATCGCTCCGTCGTCGCTGTCTGGCAGCACTAGGTGGAGCAGACTGTTCTGAAGGCTCAGCCGTTGGTTGCAAGGGCTGGTTCTCATGAAGATGGGGCAAATGCGTTGGCGACAGTGTCGAAGCTGAAGAGGGCCTGCGACTTGGGGTCGAAGTTCCAGATGAGACAGCTGACATGCCTGGCTCAGCGGGGGTTGATGGCGGCGGGTGCGGACCAGGTGGGCTGTCGGACTGGGCTGCCGAAGCAAACGGATAGAACGGAGGCAAAGGGCGAGGTCCGGCGTCTGACATTCTTCGTGAGATGTTTGGTCCCGGCTGGCGAAGGATCTCTCGCGGAGTAACGCCGGGCCTAGCTTGACGAGCCGCGTGCAATCTGGATCGCGCATCCGCCCGCTGTGCGGGGTCACCAACACTCTCTGGGGGTCGGGGAATAGCGTTCTGCGGCAAGAACGGAAGCCCAAGCAAAGCATCCAATCCTGCGCCACCGGGAGCTGGCGGTCCCTCTTCACCATGGCCGCCATTGCCCGCAGGTACTGATCGAACACCTACCACAACCAGGGTGACCGTGCGGCCTTCGGCTCCTTCCGGGGGCTCATCGATGGACATTCCGTCTGATTGAGGACCTGAATTTTCAGAACCACTTGGACCTCGTGCCTGCAACTCAGCACCGAGAGGGGAGTCGGAGTTGGCGAACCGAAAAACTCGCAGGAAATTCACAGGAGCCGCTGGAGTTTCGACTCCAGGCTGACTAGCTCCTTCTTCTGCCGACGATGACTGCTGCGCTGGGGCGGTCGTGACTTGTTGCAAACTTTGAATAAAGTTCTCAAGCGAGCCATCTACGCCTTCATTACCCAACGCTTGAATATTTGGTAGGGCAGGACCAGTTGTGCCAGAGAGCTGGGCTGCGATTGCAGCTGCAGCGAGCTGCAAGACCCGAGAGAGAGGCGTTTGTTCTTCTCGCCGCATAGCCCGAGCCGCTCGTGCTCGGAGAAGGCTAGGAAGTGCACGGGATCCCACTAGACCAGCACTGGTCTGATGAGCCGAAAGTGGTCGGTCTGGTTGGATACCGGGTTCGACCGAATCCAACTCGGGCAGAGGCTCACCAAAGTCAAGACGGGTATCCATGGCACTGGGAAGGTCGCCACTGAATGATGAGCTTCTTTGGTGGGAAGAGGGAATATCTGATGCAGGCTGTCCAAACATATGAGAGATGGGGGTTGACAATGAATGACGCACGCGCTGGAGACGGGCTCGCCGCCAGGAAGCGCGGCTGGACTCTGCCAATTGTTCCGCAGATGAATCGAGAAGCGAGGAACTTGTGCCTGCGTCCGACATTACCGACGAGTCAGCACGTTGGGGAATGAAATAAGGGCCCCGGGTGTTGCGACGGCGAATAACTCCTCTAGATCCCAGGGCACTGAAAGGGCTGAAACGACCACTGCTGTGAGCACTTTCAGACCGCGGGGGCGTTCTTGAGACCAGACCGTGCCTGTGAGCATGGCCTTCCGCCGGCGTCTCCTCTTGGCTGTTGAGAAGACCGCGAATGACTGAATTGGGTAAAATTCTGGACCCTAGCCGTGACATAGCGGACTGTCTCCTTGCCGCCATCCGCGCAATCGCTGCTGACCGATATTCCCGCGTGCTCGGTTCACGTTCGGTGCTCTCCTCTTCGATGCTTCGCATCTGTTGTGGGAACCCCCCAGAGTATCGTATGGGCTGCTGCCATGATTCCGGCAGCTCATGTAGCTGACCATGTGACGGATCTTGCCCGTTTTGCCCGTTTTGTAGATTCGATTCCATCCCGGACGAGGAGCCCGCTTCACCTCCTTGCTCAGTAGGTTGCCTGTTGTTCATATCTTCATCCCTCAGAATCGAGTTGTGGTCTATCGAGAACGGCGCGTAGTCCGGATGGCCAGTGTCAGAGGGATCTCGTGGCGCAGAAACCGACTGTCCCATAGTAGCAAAATGCGACACGGAAGGCTGGTTAAAGAGAGCGTTATGAACGGTCTACTGCCATAAAGAATTTCCGAAGCGCTCGCTAGTGGCGACCGTACCAACCCCGAATCCTACCCGATTGTAGGTTCACTATGGCCGACCCTCTTGTGCTGAATGAGAAATTCTCCGTCTCTTCTCCTGAGTCAACCACGCCACTACCTTTTTGTCAGCACGTATATGGCGTGACGTCGAATGTTGTAGCGCACACTATCCGGGTCGAGGTTGGGCGGAGGCTGAGGGGAGGATCGAGACAAAGGAAAGCTGATAAATAGGCGAGATCAGACCGGACAAGATGCGTCCTTGGGAGGTGAGCCCACTGTCCGACACAGCGTACTGCAACGGGCGGTCTCGAATGGTTTGACAAGCGTCTGGCACAGCCCACACTCAATGTTGTACCCAATATACCCGCCGAGTCGTGTCTGGATAGCAGAGGAGATGACCGGAAGGCCGGGTGGCGCCTAAAGAGAGAAAGGTATCGGCGGGGTGGAGAAGGAAATGAAGGTCGGAGGGGGAGGATAAGGAGGAAGGATCAAATAGAACGAAGTTAAGGAGAAGGAGGGAGGTGGGAGGCGAGAAGGAGAAGACGTATGGGAGCGATAGTGAATGGCGATAACGGGGGAACCGGAGTGTTTGCTTGATTTGCTTTCCCGAGGGTTGATGACTCTATCGGCCTTAACTCAGGTTCAACAAGGCTAACCTTACTTTTCCAACTCACTATTGTCGAGTAGAGAGGCTAAGGTACTGTACTACTGTAAGGTTCTCGACGGTTCTTTGAGTCAATTAGTCAGTCGACCTTGCCCCTGCCCAACCTTGGGACTCATTCGGCGCTCGCCCCAATCTCCACTCTCCGATCTACCCGATCCACCGAAATCTTGCAGGCTCGCGGCTGCTTGGGATTTTCACCTCGCGCGTATCTAGTTCTCGAGCAGCCCCGCATGGGAGTCACGCCTCACTGAGTATATGGCGCCTGCCCTGTCGGCTTCCTCCTTTTCTCTGCCACTGCCATCCTGGCTGCAGCCGACGAGCACTCGTGTCGCGCAATATGATCGCCGAAAGCGAAAAAAGAGTGACGAATGGACCGACGAGGAGGGTGATGGTGCATACACGACTGATGCCACGTCGGCTGGAGAGTCTGGCCCTGCTGGACCCTCGCTGATCCTGACACCGAACGAGTCCCATCAATATCGGATTGCCGGTCTCTCTTTCGACCAGGAATTACCCGGAGGGAACTTCCCCCACGGGCCAGCAAAGGGCGACCAAGCTAGAAAGGAAGCGAAACTACTGAGCCACCATCTTCGTGATCTATCCTCGCTATCCACCCCCGTGTACCCTCCCCAGTCTGCGGCACACCAAGGCACTATCCGCCTCCAGCATCTCTCGGTATTGACCGCCATTCTACACAAGTGCCTCCTCCAAGGAGATTACATTCGAGCCGGAAGAGCGTGGGGACTCATTCTACGAGAAGAGTTCCGTGGCTTCTCGATGGACGTACGCAATGAAGGACGGTGGGGGATTGGGGCTGAGATTCTATTACGTCGCGGCCAACAAGAAGCGTCGCAGCAAGCTTCTCGCCCCTCGTCCGATCCATCTATCAGCCAGGATATGACAGATTTGCCATTCACCAAGAACGGCTTTGAAGAAGCCAAGGAATACTACGAAAGGCTAATTCTTAATCATCCTTATTCGAAAAGTGCTCCCCATGCGGTATCTGCGCTGAGTTTTTATCCTGCGATGTTTGGACTATGGATCTATGTCACCCAGGAGGAGAGTCAGGTGGCTAGGAGTAACATCATCATCGATAGCGAGGATTCCTCCGATGAGCTTTCTGGCGACGAGAGCCCTTCGGCTGATTTTGATCGCCGGGCGTCAAACAAAAAACAGTTTCTCGTTGCTGGTATACGAAAACGCGAACTGGAGGAAGCGCAAAAGATCGCCACTCGTATGGATATGCTACTTGCTACACCTCCCTACTCTGATTCATCTGAGCTACTGGAATTGCGGGGCATGGTGTCGCTCTGGGTTGGTGACTTACTCATTTCATCGCTGGCGACTTTACCTGACTCTGCGGACGAGTTTGATGCGGATGCAATGCATATGGATGATTCACCAGCCTCCATCGAAGCAAGGCACGAACAGAGGCTCGCTCTGGAGAAAAGGGCCATGGAGATCAATAAATCACAGGCTTTCCTCGAGAAAGCACGGAAACGTGGACGCGGTGTCGCGTACAGCCTGGAACATCTCCATCTTGATGAGGATTCAGCCTCTGTCTAGGGTTCATGCAGTGAACAGTTATTCATCATATATGACTGAACATTTAAATCCCGTATCGGGTACAACAATATATCCTGGCTTAGTTTTATCGATCCAACACAGTAGAATAGTAGTAAAATCAAAGACTTGGAACACACAGAAAAGAAAGTTGGATTTTCAGACATGAGCAATTGTAAATCTGAGTCCCTCTAACTGAGTACCGAATAGTCAATTTTGATACCATTTGCTTCTCTCTTGATCAACTTTGTGCCACAGTGATGGCATATGCACGTGACTACGTGATTCTCTCGCGTCGAGCATCTGACCCTACGCATGAATTCTTACCATCCCGACAGCCTATTCGCTGAAAGAAAGGTCTTGTTTTCAGGTCCTTCTTATAGGACACTTCCACTCGTTCATCATGGGGGTGGGCGATTATGTCCACTCCAGGGAAGCTGGGCAGCCTCGTGCACCGAGCAACTTGCCTCCCTCCCAGCGCCAACTCCGGGCTGAGCAAGCAAAGGTGGAGGTACCCAGCAACTACTTCAAGGAACCCGTCATGAATGGCCTTGGCCTGTCGCGAGCATTTCAAGCCTCGCCCGTGCCCTCAGATCGATCTCGCGATCTGCATGAAAACATACCGCCCTCTGCGCCTAGAGCAGGGGGCCGGCGGGACGCGTTTGATACCGACGTCGAGGCAATTGATGATTCAACTATTGCTGGAACCAGCGTTTTTGGATTTGATGGTCGCCAATCCCAAGCACCGTCGACGGTCAATGCTGGCGGCGAGATTACGTCGCCTCGGCCTTCTTACCTACCCCGGCCTACACGCCGCTCTGGGAGGGATTCCTTCTACGGTGGTCTGGGAGACAAAGCTATGAAAAAGGCCGGATTCGACACCTCTGATGACGGCGAGGATACTGCTAGCCAACTCACTTCGTCTATCGGAGGAGACGACGAGATGACCGAGGTGATTCAAGAGCCGACCAAGCCAGCAGCGCCAGAGGAACCGATCACTTCTACTGAATCCAGAGAACCAGGCGGCTGGTACTTACCACACAAGCACCGATCCGGGGAAGAGCCATTGAGCAAGCGCCTAGAGAATTTCTGGTCGACGAGCAAAAGAGCATCACAGTCCATCGATCAAGCTCAAGCAGATGCTCGTCAATCCGCTCCTATGGATACCGTCCCTGATGCTCAACCACGCAAACTGGGCCACATGCTTCCGCCTCCCGGAGCAAGAAAGATTACTCTCCCGCACAGCATGTCTGGCACCCCCAGGACACGCTTCAGTCCCCCAAAACCTTCTCTCCTCGAGCAACTCGAGATATCACCAACTCGTCGTAGCTCCGAGCGGCATGGGTCCGAGCCGCCGGCACCAGGTGGCCGGATGCTCAACATGACAGCATTCCACCCAGCAGAGCACACCGACGACGAAAGTCAATACGATAATGGAATCGATGAAACCATTCGTATAAGCAGTAGACGACACAGTGGACACTCCCAACACGCCTTTGACATGACCAACATGTCCGATCTGGACCGTGAGGACGAATTGACTCACGACCCATTTCTCAGCCACCAACCCTCAACCAACCGTGGTCGTCGAAACACGGTCATCAAGACAAAGAAACGCCAACTAGAAGCAGACTACCCACCACAACTGCTCTACCAAAAATCCTTTACCGACCTGCAGGCCGAACCTTTCGACAAAGCGCCTACACCCACGCCCTCTCCTCCTGCAAAGTCTCTATCCTTGCCCCCAAATATCAGCCTTATATCGAACCATCACTCAGCCGACGATACGGTATTCCAGCTCCTCAAACTCGCAGACCAAGACCGACAGGCGTACCTATCGCGCATGTCTGTCGAGGAATGGGAAGACTGCGGTGACCAGCTGATCGACCGATTCAGCCACCTTCTCACTGAGATGAAGAAACTGCGCCGCGCTCGTCGCCGCACAGCTGCCGTTTTTGAAGCCGAAGTCAAACGCCGACATGAACTTGTCGAGGCGCAAGACTCGGAATTATCGACTAAATTGAATGAAATGAGAACCGGAGGTGCTGAGGTTCTGCGGGGTCGAAGCACATGAACTGATGATGTCCTTCTTCTCCCCCTATTGGAGGTGGCTTTCTCTCGCGCTTTGTTTTATTTGATATGCATAATCCTGTCTATGATATCCCCGGTTGATGCGTCATCTCGACACTTTCAAGAGATTTACCTCATGCCCAATACCCATACCAACCGGCTGTTGTACTTTTTACACTTTTTGTGTTCCTCACTTGCTACGCCTAAGGATGGAAAGGGAAGTCCTTTTTTTTCCATTTCAGGAAAGAATACTTCTCTCTTATAATGTTTGATATGTACAACCCCTACAGCTTAGGCGACCAAGCTATACAATACCACTTATGACTAGTACCCGAATAAAAACCCAAAATGTAAAATGCCGCTAAATGCCAATAGAAGCTTCCAATGACAAATCAAACAAAAGCTGTGTCCGTAAGTATATCTCTCAGGATAGTCAACATTCAGCGAGAGCCCTCGTTTACCCTCGCAAGAGCCGAGGCCAATCGCTTATAGTCTTCGAGCAGAACGGCTACGTCTCCGAGACGTAGATCTCGCACATCCTGTACTTCGAGGAATCGTTGAATCGGGGGGTCAATTCGCACGGACGCCGCGGCCTGTGGACTCGCGGTGCTATCCGTGGAGGCAGGTGAAACTCTCAAGCGGTCCGCTGCTGCTGGGGAAATCGCGCGAGGGACAGGCGTTTCTGGCGCATTGCGGCCGAAGTTTTTGATCATACCCGGAATGTGATTGAGGGGGTTCAGTGTGTTGCCAAAGTTTCGCATAGACTCTAGAGGATTAGGACTAGATGTCGCAGCTGGTGATAGCGCAGATTCGTCGCGTAGAGAATTGGCGATGGATTTTTTGCTGCTTGCTTGGGTTCTTGCGCTGTCGGTGCTGCGGTCACGAGGTGTTCTACCTCCGCTGGTGAGACCTGTGTTTCTGGATGTGTTACGGGCGACATCTTCTTTGGACAGAGCGTTGAGCGACTCGATTTCTTCGGGCGTGGGGTTTTCTTTGTTGGCTGGTGGGTTGGCGACTAGTCGGCGAGCTTCGGCCAGTGTTTTCGGCAGGACGGACTCGGATCCATCAGCGTTAGGTCCTGAGGTAGTCTGCAATTCCTTGAGGCGCCCGAAAAAGAAGTTGAAGCTGTTGTCTAGAGTTGCCCCGATATTCTTCAGACCCTGGTCTGCGGTGCTGCGGACAGCGTCGTTCGCGGCCTCGAGGACTTTGGCCGACGGTTGGAAAATATTGCTCAAGCGTCTCTGATGTGGTGCTGGCGATGGGCGAGGGCGAGGCAATGTAGAAGAGGCCGGCTCTTTTGATTCGGGCTTCGCAATCTCAGACAATGCAGATACGGTCGTTACTGACGAGGTTGTGGTTTCGGGTTTCGGTCGGAAAGGATCGACTCGTTCTGATGATGGGGTTGGTCCTTCACTGGGAGTCTTGATGGGACCCTCTTGCATTTCATCTGCACGAAGGCTAGAGAGCTCGACATTTTCTAGGAAGCTGATGGCGGCTTCCAGGTTGGTCAAGCAGTATGCGGTCTCGCCATCAATCTTGTTGGACGACCTGAATCGTTGCATGAACAGCAAATTGCTGACGAGATTGATTCCCTCCGGAGGACAGGTGATGAGACAGTAGATCAGCGTTGGAAGAATCTCATCCGCAGACGATGAGGATGGAAGAAGGTTTGTTAGGGCATCGACGATTGCCTTGTGAGCAGCGGCTAGATGCTGCAATTTCCCGAGCGGATACTTCTGATCATTCATCTTTCCAAGATACTCCCGAGCCAGAGCCAGACAGTCGTTGGCTTCCTGCTGTTTCTCGTCTGCGATCGTAGACACATCAATGTCAATACCCAGGTCCTTCAAATCGATCCCCACAAGCAACAAGGCCGCCGTCTTGGAACGCAGTTTCTCGTCTCGGACATCATCCAAAGTGCTCCTATGCCTCCAGATTTTGTCGTAAACCAGTTCACAGACTCGCCGTTCGGCCGCTTCTTCCAATGCTGCCCTTTTATACTCGAGAGCCTTTCGAGCTTTCCGCCTCTCAGCGACTTCTTCTGCAGTCAACATTTGCCGACCTCCACTCCCCTGTCGAAAATCATCCTGTGAACGTTTGCTGGCCAGCACCGATAGTGCACTACCCCTGGACTTTATCTGCGGCTGTGGTGGCGGGTCACGGTTGATGCGGGATGCGAGTGCCGATATATGGGTAGCGATATGAGACTCGGCCCGGCTGTAGAAGACTTGGAACATGGAGGAGATTTTATCGATTGTAGGAGGAGAGTTGTGCACCTTGGCACTTAAAGAGTTGATGAACCTAGCCGATGTAGTCAGTATTAGCATAAAGTCCACGACACCCGACATCATCCATCAACCTACCGATCCGTCAAGCTGATGAGCTCGATTGGAAGCTCTTCCGAGGGATCCTGCACACTGCGTGAGAGGACGAAACCCTCATCACCATTTGCATCTCCCCCATTCCCGGAATCCGCAGAGCCTCGCCTTTCAAACAGGTCCGGCCCGGCTTCTTGTTTCTCGTTATCCGGCGTCAGTATTGACAAGCCTTGGCCACTTGGCTGTGTCTGATCGGGCGTCGACTTGTCCGACACGGAAGGTTGGGCGTCCGAACTCCCCATGCTGGTGAACGAGCGGGTCGAACGAAGGTGAGGTTGACTAGAGCCGTCGGCGGCGGCGGGGCCGGACTTGCTTGGTCTAACTCTAGGGGCGAGTTGGCCCTACAAGGCACCAGACGTGACTCCGCCAGGTCCAGCTGATAGGCTCGCGCAGATCAACGTCCGAGCTCCCCGAATTCGCAATACAAGCAACTTTGGATATAATTAGTAGGGCCAGGACAGTGAAAGATCAAGCTGAATAACTAAGCGTTAATCAAAAGACAAAGCACCGTTGCAATGCTCGCTACCAGTTCCTCACGAAACCGCGTCAGAGATGGCGCGTCAGGATGATTTTATCACGTGCGGCTCAACTCCGCACGTCACCCGATAAGGCGCGATACGTATTGCCTTGTGAGCTTCCCTTGTTCACCATTTCTTTACATAATTTGTTTGTTCGAATCTACAATTAGACCGAGATTGGATGGTAAATCATTGGTATTATATTCGAGCTAACATAATATTGGTGTATAGTAATTACTTCAACGAGAAGCATCATCTACAGACGGGCAGAGGGGGCAACATTGGCCTCGGTGGCGGCCTCAATGCGGGCACCAAGGTCCTTGTCGACACGGCGGAACATGCCATAGGTGGCCTTACGGACACGCTCATGAGCACCGCACAGATGACCAGAGATGTTCTTCACAAAGTTCTCCTGCTGACCTGGCTGGCGACCAAGCACCTGCCAGAGGCCATTGGCCTGCACAAAGTCCTCGTCGGTCACGGGGATCTGCTCGGCAACAGCGGCACCAGTCCACTTCTCGTGCTCCTGGCTAGCCTTAACAGGCTTGTAGGCCAAGGGACGGAAGGTGGAAGGATAGTTGGGGTTCGCACCGTAGTTGCCATGCACATTCATGGCACCATCCCGGTGCCACGGGCTGAATGAGCGTAGCGGGCAATTGACGGGGATCTGCTCATAGTTACCGCCGAGACGGTGGCGGTGGGTATCAGGGTAGGAGAACAGACGAGACTGCAGGACGGGATCGGCCGAGGGCTCCACACCGGGGACCATATGCGAGGGTGAGAAGGCTGCCTGCTCAATCTCCGCAAAGTAGTTCTCCGGGTTCTTGTTCAGCGTGAAACGTCCGAAGCGCCGCAGGGGCACCTCGCTCTGAGGCCACACCTTGGTCAAGTCGAAGACATTCCAGCGGAACTTCTCCGCCTGCTCTGGGGACAGGACTTGCACGTAGCAGGTCCACGAAGGGTTCTCGCCTCGTGCAATAGCGTCGAACAGATCCTGTGTATGCCAGTCCGGGTTCTCAGCGGAGAGCTTGGTGGCTTCTTCGTTGGTGAAAGTCTTGTTGCCCTGGTCGGTCTTGCAGTGAATCTGCACGTAGTTGAAGGTACCGTCCGGCTTGATCCACTTGTAGGTGTGGCCGGAGTAGCCGTTCATGTGGCGGTAGGAGTAAGGGGTGCCGCGGTCACTGAACAGGTGCATCACCTGGTGGACGGCTTCTTGGTGGGTGGAGAGGTAGTCCCAGAACATTGTGGCATCTTTCAGGTTGGTTTGGGGGTTGCGCTTCTGGGTGTGGATGAAGACGGGAAATTTGGCCGGGTCGCGCAGAAAGAAGACGGGAGTGTTGTTGAACACCCAGTCCCAGTTGCCCTCTTCGGTGTAGAACTTCATGGCGAAGCCGCGAGGATCACGGGCACTGTCTGGCGAGCCCTTCTCGCCGCCAACGGTTGAGAAGCGGGTCAACATCTTGGTCTTCTTACCGACGCCCTTGAGCATGTCGATGACGGTCTGAAAGGAGCATTGTTAGCTTTGACGTTTCGACCATGCATGAGAATGTTAAATACACACAATATCGCTAATATCGTCGGTAACCTCGAACTCGCCGTAGGCGCCGGCACCCTTGGCATGAACCACCCGCTCAGGAATGCGCTCTCGGTCAAAGTGCGCGAGGAGATCGATCAGGTGGAAGTCTTGCAGCAGCAGTGGGCCGTTAGAGCCAACGCGCTGGGCAGCCTGGGGGTCCATGACCTATATGATGAAGTATCGAATTAGATGGGGGGACTGGAAGGAGAGGAGGCGATGGACGATACCGGGCAGCCATTGGAGGCTGTGTAGACCGGAGTCTCATTGTAGCGATAGGTCTCTGTAAGGCGTGTTGTCAGTATCAAGCCAGTATACAACTAAAGATTGAAGCGTTGACGTACTAGGCTGATCGTCGTTACCCATGGCGGTGAATCCAGGTGCTGTTCAAAGATGACCGTAGCAAATCTGGAGAGACTGCGGGGGTGTAGAGATGCGTTTTATAGTCACTGCGAACAAAGGCCGCGGTGGGGGGTTGCTATGGGAGAAATTCCCAGATTCGAGGTCGTTGGACCCACACGATGGAGGTTGATATGGAATCATGTCTGGCCCATTGGCTGAGCGATAACCCGGCGTGACTTTTCCAATATCACAGAATATGAATCGCCAATTGACTAGACTCATCTACACACTATTCTCGAATGATTGAAGTTTTTATCTGGGGTCTCTTGTTGTATGCTTCGTATGTACACAGCATCATCTTGGGACGTGGATATGCCCCACTTAATCAAGGCCGAGTCGATGTCAGCCCATTGAGCTCCAGACGAGCTCTCCAAAAGATTTGCTTGTAACACTTTCAGAGCGAGACTGATGTACATTAATCAGTCGATGCAATCTGGACTGCGGGGTTGAACAAGCTGCAGCAGACACCGTTCCAAATCCCGGGGATGTCGAGGGTTTTGAGGGATTGTTGACTCGTTTCGGGCAGGAGAAACTTCAAGACATACCAATCCAGAAGGTAGATCCGAGAGATCAAGATGGCCTGCCGGTCGAGCTGACCAGAGTCATAATATCACTGAGTCGAGCTTTCTTTGCGAACTCAAACCATTTGACTACTTAAGAATGATTATAGAGACAAATAGATCTTTCTAATGGTGATTTCTTAGGCGTGTGCGTATCTATCATTTCTCGCACTAAATTGCCCGGACCCCACCACAGCTTCAAGCTGCCGCGGAAAGCTCCGGCCTCCGGGGCTTCTGCGGGATCCCGCCGATCGATTTGGCCTGCATGCTTCCGAATCAGCATCTGGATCAATTTCGATTGGTGATTCAAGATGTCAGTGGAATATTAGTATACGTTCATTCTGCCTAGTTATCAATCTGAATCACTATCGGTAATCCCACGCGGTCGCTCGGAGGCTCACTGATCTCAAGCACTATGTAAAAACGAGTGTCATAATCATACCAGAAGAGGATTTTGGCAGATAGGTATGCTAGAGATAGACAAGACCAAGAATGATTATCAAATTCGAACCATAATGGATTGTCTATTCCAAAGTAATCGCGAGAACTTTATTGAGCGCATCACTTCTTCGTCACAGCTCAATCTCAACTTGATGACCTTCACTTTAGACGACCACAGCCTTAGTCTACTTTGGGTTTGTCCGCCTCGTCTTCATCCTTTCTGACTTTGTCACCAATAATGCCCTTATTGACCGTTTGCCCAAGACCGCTGGCTGTAGTCCCAAGCCCTTCGGCAGCGCCAGTCACCGTCTGGCCTACTCCTTCGGTAGCACCACTAATCGTAGCCCCCAGACCACTCACAACATTACCAAATGTCCGGGTAGACCCTTGGAAGGTCTTGCCTACCGTTTCGCCGAGACCACCCATGACGCTGGCTAGATATATTCGTCACGTTAGCTTAAGCACTGATTTACTAAGTCGTTTTACCGCGCAAATATGTGTTGGGTCGCCTGCAATAAGGCCTGTACGATTTCGGATCATTTGGGATGGACATGTGGATTGGCTTTGGGGTGATATTGCTCGACATACCGCCGTCACTCTCTTCGCCGCTGGAAGACATGATTTGTAGCGAAGGTTTGGAGATGTGAGGAAAGGAGAAGGACGTTTTCTCAAGGTCAATAAAGGTAGGATGATTCACAATTGTAAAGGCGCGGCAAAATGCCTTATTTCAAAACTTAACACATAATCTGTATGCCATTTGTCTTGGTTCTTTCGCCCCCTCAGAACATATGATATCATGTCGCCTTTAAGGTTGGCCACCGCAACCTGGAGGCAACATCTGCAGATATTTCGCCTCAGAGACTGGGTTGTGATATGCTTTTTCTACTTTATCAAGAACGGCTCTGCTGTAAAGTAGCAATGTTCTTAGTGATGTCTTTCGCGTAATACCTCGTGGGAATAAGTACCCTTAAGTATCCTTTAAAATTAGCTCGAACAACCTAAGAAAAATAGCCAAGCCGACAGTAGTTAAAGTAATTCCCGGTCGACCTATCTAGAAGGTACGCTAAATTAAGAAATCACTTAACCATTAACCTACCAGCGTGAGGCTATTCTGCGGTCAGTATTTGGGTGGCTGCCGCCTAGGTGAGAAGTAGGTAAGCCCCGCTTTAGCGTCGCTCGACCAGGGTGACAGAGCGTAAGTGTGGAATAGATAGGTGAGAGCCATGTGAGAGTAGGTAATAATCAGCGTCTGTCACACAGCCCCCGCACTGGTCATTTACCGGAGGCCAGATACAGTGTATATGAGGCTGTATCGAACTAACTGGAGCCAGTAATTTCAAACTGAGGCATCTCGTCGGAATCGATTGGCCATCAATTGGCGAGGCTGACTTCAGTGTCGCCTCAGGCAAATAGTACGATTGGTCTGGGTTATCAGCCATAGCGCCTGGCCAAGATCTCGTGCCCATTTGCTAGTCTAGGATGGCATTTATGACAGGGTTTATCTGATATATCAAGACGCCAAAGTTTTGCCACCTTAAAATTCTCCACCGCTGCCTCGCTGTGTTTTGGCTTAATTTATAAATACATAGATCTTCCAATCTTCTCGTAAAACTAAATCTTCTCCCAAATTCCCCCTCTCAATCCCACTCCGGTTAACTCCACCATCGCGAGTTTTTTTCTTATCAAGAAAAAGAAACCTCAGCTTGGCACCGCCGAGAAAATCAAGATAAAGTTAAACATGGCGGTCAGTTCCAATCTTATAGATTGATTGTTTCTGAGATATAGACGATCAAAAGCGACTAATATATTAGCAGGAAACTTTCTGCATTGTGAACGGAGTTCCAGGTGTCTGGATAGTTCTTTCGTTCAACACAGGAGTCGCTGCCGGCGCGTTTGCGATGTATACGCTTCTTAATCAGGATACTGGTGAAACTGTGGAAGCGGAACCGCATAATTGTTCATAAGATTTAGTCTGCTTTAAAGCGGCCATAAGCTCACTGGCGCAATTTCTTCTTCTTTCTGGGCGGAGAATCGCCCTCTGATAATCAGCAATTAACACCGAATTTGGAATTTAGAGGCTGTAGGAACCTTATTCCGATTCGCAATCGCCACTGGCTGATTTGACACTGCCTAACCACGTTGACCAACACAATGACACCCTTCCCCAAGAAGTAAGGGCGTGGCTGCTGGAACTACCCGGGTAATCTGCTCGTACTACGGCTAGCGTGTTACGTTGTCTTAAGGTACTCACCACGCTGTACTTAGTGAGTAAATCAGAGCGCTCACCTGAGCATCAGGGAGTGGATCCGACTTGCTCAGTGAGCTAAGCAGAGAGCTTATTTAGTACTCACTGATCAGATCAGAGCAAGACATACACCACCCTAGCAAAAGTCTGTGTGCATTTAGCCCCACCACCCATCACCCCAACAACGACCTACAATCTTATTATTCTTCACGCTGGAGTTATATGGAAGCGCTCGAAGAAGGTCTCCTTCCAATCTATCAACCTAGAATGATATTTCAGCAAGATAACGTAAGGATTTATGTCGATTTATGTCGCGAAGGATACGCAAGAGTGGTTTAAAGAGCATCCGGGATAGGCGTTGAAGATTGGCCTACGCACTCTCCTGATTTGAACCCTATTAAACCGTTGTGGAATACGCTTAAGCGTTAAATTTTCCGTACGTATCTAGACCTAAAGTAAATAGGAAGATCAGAAGCCGACGAGGCCTATTTTAAAGAGTATTGCACCCTATTGTAATTAGATCTACTCAGTGAGCAAAAGCGGTGAGGGACAGAGTACCAAAACGGAAAGGGAAAGCCAGGGCCTGGCACAGGAAATCCGGTACGTAGGTAATACAATATCCGGCCAGTGAAGGGTTCATACACAATGAGCGCTCATCTGGATACCCCAAGCTCTCTAAGGGCGTACGTCGGTCCCGTACGTATCCATTTCTCCACCTCGTCCTCCGTAGCAACCGCAATATACCCCAACATCCCCATTGCATTTGCAGCCACACCTTGAGTTATAGCAGCCCGCAGCCTCGGTACGACAATCATCCACCGTTTTGTCATGATTAAGTTGTGCGGACAAGCAGCACCCAGTGGAGCATTATGGGCGTGTTCAGACAGACCTCCGCCTATCTCGGTAGCTTGTTTGATGAGCTTCTTGTAGATCCCCGTTAGCTGTTGTGACGTTATATCTTCAGATTCGAATCGATGATGGAACCATTGAAATGGGAATGGGGGCTCGGGCTCCTTTCCATCGGAGTCAAGGAAGGATGCAAAGGTGCCTTCTGGCGTGGGTATTAATTGCATATGCTTATGCAACCGACTGCACCCTCCGTCTTGGCCACAGTTATAAAAGGCAACGTAGTCTGTGCTCATGGTGGATAGAAAGGACCAAATTCCCTGGAGATCCCCCTCGTTCAATGACTCGTATTGCCTTTGGTATCCGTCAGAGGTGAGAATGAGGAAATGTGGCTTGGCCCAGCAGAATTTGTTGGCTATGAGAAGGTGGGAGTTGCCGATTTCGCTGATTTCAAAACCCACGGTGCTGATATCGCTTCCATCTCGCCGCTTATCAGTGCCAGAATCCGGTGTTTGTAGGGTCGGTTTCTTGGCCAGGGCAGAAGTCAGACAGAATTGAAACTGTGGTGAGAATGTTAAATTTTATGCGGGTGTAATAAGCGGCAAGTCTCTAGATACGTACTTTGAGCCCGCCCTCAACATACTCGATTCTCCTTTGTTTGTCGTCATACAGAACGAGACCAGACTGTTGAAGTCGGTCGAACTCGGAAAGTATGAACGATTCGTCCATCGCAAATCGTAACGGAAAACCTCGAGGGACGTCTCATAGATCGGCCAGTCAATCGCGCTGAGAGTTGATGGGGTGTCAAGTGGATGCTGAGCGGTGAGGGAATACTTATTTAGGAACCAGGAACTCAAGAGCGGGTCCAGGTACTGTGAAACCTTAAGCACGTGCTATTCGTCGGTTATGGACTCATGGTGGTTCTCATTTTAGGTCTAATAAAGGTGATAGACTGCTTTAATTAGCTATTGAAGAGTCAATTATTAGATTACAGGAAGAGATATGCTTGCGGAAGAACCTTAGTGAGAGTAATGGCAGTGCTGGGAAGGCTGATACCCCGACTTACCCTCGAGGGGGAGGAATACCACACCACCTATCATCTGATTAAAGTCTGTTCACTCTAATCTTAACCATAAGATACATCTAGTTGGCCTATGTTTGGTCGTAAGGGCTTGGATCAATGAGTAAATAAGGCAGAATCAGCTCTGAGCTGTAGTTAACTTAGGTAGTATGTCTTTGACTAATGGTATTTGGTTTACGCGGATAAATGCTAGCTGCACTTGAAAGCTTTAGGAACTAAGGTTGTGAATAATACTCAATAAATCTATTTGACGAAGCTCAGACCTAGAGATGTACCATGATGACTCTTTATGAATCATGGTGGCTCAGCCACAGCCGGCCTCTCAGTGATAGCGGGATCCTGTTTTGGCCTAGTGTGCGCACAAAGTTACATTGGATCATGATAGCTCAGGAGAAGTTTCGTGAACAGCTAACGCAATCATTCATCTAAGACGGGTTACTTATAGTTGAGGCATTATGTTTTCCTCTTGAAGAGCATCGCAAATATTTGTACAATAGCGCCGACCCGTGATGACCTCCATCGAGATATCTCCAATCCATTCCGAGCGCGTATTTCCAAACACAAGACCGATAGAACATGCGGTACCACTGTCTATCTTGGACGCTACTACAGCCGACTTTGCTTGTACATGTCCGATCTGGCTTTTCGAAAGACCCGATAAGGTTGGCGATGAATTCGATTTAGTGAACCACTTTCAAAAGTCCCTGCCCATCACGCTTGACGCCTACCCCCACTGGGCTGGACAGTTGAAGAGCATATCTACTTTGGATGCTTCCAAACTCAAACCCGAAGAACTTCGCTTTCCTCTCTATGCACGACGCTTTGGTCGGATCTACTCGCATTATGGAACATCTGGTGATCCCGGCGTGGAGTTCGTAACGGCGTCTACCAATGCTACCCTCGAGATGCTATCTCCAGCATCACGAACAACACAGTACCCTGTCTTTGATCGTGGAAAGATATCGCTACAGAACCTTGTCCCCTCTTTACGCCTGGCCAATTCAGTAGGACCTAATGACTTCAATGAAGCTGGCGTTTTACCTCCCGTAATGGCAATACAGCTGACGAAATTAGCATGTGGAGGCTTTGCGTTGGCAATCAAGATTCTCCATCCCTTGGCTGATATCCAGGCCGTCATGCATTTTGTTCAAGATTGGACAAAGAGCAGCCGGTGGATTCTCTCAGGATCACCAGTTTCTAAACCCAAGTTGACTCCTCTGTTTGACCCAGCACGCCTGGACTCGATGGCTGCAGGGGATATCAATGGTAGCCAACCCGATCCAGCTATCCTCAGCAGGGCTCTGAATCTTCCTATGCACCGGTATGACTGGTGGGCTACGCCAGCTCTGTGTCCATGGCCTCAGGAAATCCCCGAACCATTTCGAAACCAAGAACACACGCCCGTAGGCCCGGCTATGCCCTGGTCAGAATGGGAGTTTAATACCCCAGTCTCCCATTATTTGGTTCATTTGAATTGCGGCCAGGTGGATAAAATTTATGAGACTACCATTGAGAGAATCGGCGATGATTCCGGTGGCAGCCGGATCAGTCGTCACGATGCCATCCTGGCTCATGTTTGGTCGTGTGTCACTCGAGCTCGTCGACTAGGAGGAGACACCGGCCTGGTACATTGTGATCTCGCCTATGGAACACGTCCTGTCCTTGGTCTCGGAGATCATTTTATCGGTTCGCCATCCTTAATGATGAACATCGAGATGACGGGTGTTGAGCTAGCTTCTCCCGACATTCCCGAAAAGGAGCGTAGGCTCTCGATCGCGCGGTGCATCCGCAAGACCGTCAACAGGGTCGGTGACAAGGCAGCCCTTGCGGCTCATCTCCATAGTGTGGCGTATGAAAAGACACCGCAACGAATTTGGCAAGGATTTCTCGGTCGGCGCCATCTTATTGTAACGACCTGGGCTCGGGCTGGTCTCTATGAGATTGATTTTGGGTTGAACTCTTTTCCCGGTATTCGTTATGCCGAGGGAGTGTTGCCGACGCTGGATGGAGATGTGTTGATCAAGGATGCACCACCGTCAAAAGATCACGATGGACTGACTGGTGCAAAGAACTGGACTGATCATGGAGTCGATGTATCGCTTCATCTTCGGACGGAGGACATGGAACGGCTTATCCGGGATCCTATGTTTCTTCCGTGAGATCACGGCTTATTTTCAGATATAGGATATGTAGTCGGAGGAGTTGGTAACGATAATAGTAATAATAATTGCAAAATACCCCCACGCTTAATGAGCATAAGCAATAAACTTTCGATAAAGTTCAAATGCTCGAGCTGGATGTAACTCCAGGAGAGGATCTCGGCCTAAATCCGGCGTGGCTGACAGCCGCCCGCCACATTCCACCGGATGCAAGGCGACTTGGCAGACAGAGTTTGACAGGCACATGGTGGATTGTATATACAGTAAGGAGACAGACGAGACATCGGAAATTGAGCAGTGAATGGAAATTTAAGATGAAAATGACATGAATACAGGAAAGCAACACTTGTCCAGCGATGTCCTTCTCGATCTCCCGGCCTTTACCCCGGGCCTCGCCAAGCATCACCCGCGAAAATTTGCAGTCCGCGGCTTGAGCCCGCGTTCCCCGCAAAGTCCAGTGCAACTCGCTCCTCATTCTGTCTAGTCCGTTCGAAAATCTTGCCCTTTTTCACCAATCCCACATTGCATCTCTTAGCTCATTACCCCGAGAAGACTCACACCCCCCCCCTGAAGTCCGCTCGCGTGTGATGTCCCCCCGGGTGGGTACTTGGTAGTTTTTTCTTTTAAGTCTCCGCGCGTCTCCGAGCCTTGAAATTTTGAACGTCTCCTCCGACCCCATTCCACCCTGCAGAAATCCCCCACCCCTTCTTGCGACGTGCCTCCGATCCCGTCTCACACCTGCGGAGACCACCCACGCGACAAAAGCATGGCGGACTCCAAGGTGCACGACCCCATTGCGCCGGCGGAGGCGGCCCCGCGCTACCCCTCTGACGGCCATGAGGGTCAGGAGGGTTGGTCCTCCGACTCCTCGATGAAGACGATTATCCAAAATGCAAAAGCGGCGACGGAGAAGGAGCAGAGTATGAGTTTGCTTCAGGGTATCAAGTTGTATCCTAAGGCGGTTGCGTGGAGTGTGCTTATTTCGACTTGCATTGCGATGGAGGGATACGATATCAGTTTGGTCAACAATTTCTATGCTTTTGACCAGTTCAATCGCAAGTACGGCGAGCAATTGGCGGATGGATCATATCAAGTACCGGCCAGGGTAAGTCCTAAAGTTGTTTGCGTTTGAGGGGCCCTAGGAGACTGACAGAAACATTTGCAGTGGCAATCAGGTTTGAGCAACGGTGCCTACGTCGGCGAGATCATCGGTCTATTCATCAACGGATGGGCTTCGGAGCGTTTTGGATACCGTTATACGATCATGGGCTGTCTCGTTCTGGTCAGCGCGTGGACGGCAATCTTCTTTACGGCTCAGAATGTGCAGTCTCTCCTCGCGGCGGAGATTCTGTGTGGTGTTCCCTGGGGTGTGTTCCAGACCTTGACGATCACGTACGCCTCCGAGGTGTGTCCCGTCGCGCTGCGTGGATACTTGACCACCTACGTCAACTTCTGCTGGGGCCTCGGCCAGCTCATTGGAATTGGCGTGATCAAGGGAATGCTCAACCGGGATGACCAATGGGCCTATCGCATTCCATACGGTCTGCAGTGGATGTGGCCTCTGCCTCTTTTCATCGGCATCTTCCTTGCTCCCGAATCTCCCTGGTGGTTGGTTCGACGAGGCAGAACCAAGGATGCGAAGCGGGCTCTGGAACGACTGACAAGTGACGACCGCGAAACCGATTTTGACGCCGACGAGACGATCTCAATGATGGTGCACACTACTGCCCTGGAGGCCAAGATTACAAAGGGCGCCAGCTATCTCGATTGCTTCAAGGGAACTGATCTGCGCCGGACGGAGATTGTCTGTATGGTCTGGGCCATTCAGAATCTGAGTGGAAACTCATTCTCGAACTATTCCACGTACTTTCTGGAACAGGCTGGTCTCGACTCGTCCAATGCCTACAACTTTGCCATGGGTCAGTACGGTATCAACATGGTCGGTGTCTTTGGAGCGTGGTTCCTGATGACTCTGGGAATCGGTCGGCGTACCTTGTGTCTGTACGGTCTCTGTGGCCTGTGCGCTATGCTTCTGGTCATGGGCTTCCTTGGCCTTGTGCCAGAATCTCATCGTGATCAGGGGTCTATGGCTACCGGTGCGCTGATGCTCGTTTGGGCACTTTTCTACCAGCTCAGCGTGGGTACCGTCTGCTATTCACTTGTGGCCGAGCTTTCCACCCGACGACTCCAAATTAAGACGGTCGTCCTCGGTCGCTGCCTGTATAACGTTGTCGCCATTGTCTGTGGTGTCCTCACCCCGTACATGCTGAACCCCGGCGAGTGGGATTGGGGCAACTATGCGGGTTTCTTCTGGGGCGGCATCTGCTTCTTGTGTATTATCTACACATACTTCCGCGTTCCCGAGCCCCGCGGTCGCTCATTCGCCGAATTGGATATGCTCTTCGAGCGTGGTGTGAGCGCTCGCAAATTTGCGACCACCGAGGTCGACGTGTTTGACGAGACCATTGAAGGCCGCGTCGTTGATGAATACCGGGCGCAGAAGAACGCCGCCAATGACCCTAGCCAGGTCGAGAAAGACGCTGGCACTGCATGATTGATGTTGATGCCCCGTAATAAGCTCTCATGTCTATGATGACCCTGTCGTGTTGTTGTTGTCTAGCCGGTCCTGTCTGGCTAGTTTTTGGTCTTGTCGTTGCATTTACATGCCCAGGATGTATATAATCATAAATATCTGTATCTACACCACTTAATAAACCTCTAATAAATATCAATTGCTATTCGAGCCACTTGAATTAGTCTTCCCCTGAACCAAGTGTGGTCCATTTGAATTCCCCCCACCATGGATGACGTTCTTTAGCGACTCTAGTGGCGTGCCTGTAAGTGCTGTAAGCCCCGTGATCCACGCTTGACAGCCGTTGGGGGTGTCCACCCGCTCTGCCGCTGTCACTGCGAAAATGGACCTTCTCAGGGTTTCCCTTCTTATCTCGCTGCCTGGGCAAAGACCCTGACCAGGAGTCCAGGACAAACCCAAGAGATTTTAGCTGCCTCGTGTCTATTTTCTTCATTTCCTCTTGCAACGCGGGGTACAGCCGCGGTTCCACTTTTCCCCTGCAGCTGCGATGGACGTCACATTCATCACAATCCACGGCAAGTTGTACCCGTGCTCTGCTGCCGCTGCCACTGTTGGCTATAGCAGTATGCAACGAGAGTAGTGGATACTCTTTGTCATTAGGATGCTAATTAATCCCCGCTCGTGCAGATTTGTCTCGTGACGCTTCGATTCTGTATGCCTCGGACAGCATCCAGGTCGTACTCGGGTACCAGCCACCGGAGGTACTCAACCGCTCGTGCTGGGACTATTTCCACCCGCAGGAGCTGCAATTCGCCCGCAGCGTACATGGCCGTGGCGTCAGACTTGACAAGGCCGCTGTCCTGAATTATTGCTCCATTCGCCATAAGAATGGCTCCTGGGTGGGCTGTGAATGTGTCTTCACGGTGGTTTACGATGTCTTGATCGCAAGTACCACAGTCTACGGCCGGGGGAGAGGTAGCCAAAGTAAGCTTTTGCAGAAGTCAGACCCAAACCACTGGTACAATACTGACATTCTTGATACTTTAGAACGTGCCATCGATGCCCCGATTGTTCGACAGCTCTTCGACTCCTCGCCCAATGACCCTCGTTACCATATGCTTACATTTATCTCGGACAAATTCTCGCGACGCCTTGCAGAGCCTCTCCATGAACCACGGGCGGCTCTCTTCGTCAATCGCTTTACCAGGACTGCGACTATCATGTACGCCACAAGTGGCGTGACTGAGATTCTCGGGCTGAGACCACACCAGCTCATCTCTAAAAGCTTCTTCTATTGTATCCAGGAGAGATGCTTACGGGATGCTGTACGTTGTCTTGAAAGTGCCAAGGCCAATGATTCGATTGCGTACCTGCGGTTTTGGTTTCGCAACCCATCGCTGGATGACGATGCAGATGTGAATATGGGCGGGTACAGCAGTCCGGCTTCTGGTGCCACGACAGACCCGTACGCTGGAGTGGCGCCTCCTATCGAGCTGGAAGCCGTCGTCTCGTGCACTTCGGATGGATTGGTTGTCATCCTTCGTCGCGCTCGAGCTCCCATCCCCAGTGCCACCCATCCCCCTCAGCGGGTACCTATCTATTCCAACGGAATCTTTGCAGCACCGTGGGCTCTCGAACCTGTCTACGCATATGGCACAGCTACTTATCCCAATGATGGTCTTGCCAACCCAGTCTATCCAGAGACCAAGTCCAGTCTCTGTCGAGAGAATGCTTCGTCGGGCACGGCCACGCCGGCGACAAGCTCGCAAAGCTCGTCAAATCAGCCCCACCCGGTTGCAGCAAAGTACGCATCGTCCTACAGTCCTCACCACGGTCCTCAAGAAAATCTCCTCATGGACACTATTCGGGATGTGGCCGTCTTTGCGTGGGGTATCATTGGTATCAATCGCTCTTTGGAGCAGCATAAATACGGATCGCCCTCAGGTAATGCGCATCCGGATGCGATGACGGATGGTAGTTGGGAACAGTGAAGCCGCGGCTGGCCGCGGCTAGAAGTACATAGTCAACGTATATTTGACGTGATAGAAATGATGACAGATTCTACAACTCATTCTACAACTCAGAACTCATCATTTACATTAAAGGGTTCACTCGGCATGCTTCTGCAGAATCTCTCCAGGACTTTACTCGTTGGACCACTCGGCCTTCTTTTTTTCAGCAAAGGCGGTCATACCTGTAGAAACATTAGTTTCCTCATCGGCCACCCTAACACCATAGTCAAAAACGGCGGGACGAAAACTCACCAATTTTCTGATCCTTGCTTCCAAACAAACTGTGGAACAATCTCCGCTCATACTCAACACCTTCCCGCAACGACAACTCCTGACTCTTATTCACAACCTCCTTACCCGCAACAACAGCAACTCGACTATACCCGGCAATAGTCTCCGCCGTCTTAAGCGCAACCTCCAACAACTCCTCCTTTCCACCATCAACAACTTGCGCCGCAAGCCCCCACTCCCCAGCCTCCTTGCCACTAAAGTTCTTGCCCGTCAAAATAAGCTCCATAGCCTTACTCTTGCCAATGGCGCGAGTGAGACGCTGCGAACCACCGGCGCCGGGAATAGTGCCGAGCTTGATCTCCGGTTGTCCGAAGGTCGCGTTCGAGGTGCAGTAGAGAATATCGCACATCATGGCGAGTTCACAGCCGCCGCCGAGAGCATAGCCGGATACGGCAGCTATGACGGGTTTGCGGATTGTGTTAGCGAGATGGGACCAGGGGGCGATGAAGTTGTTTGTGTAGGCGGCGGCGAAGGTTAGGGGGGCCATTTCTTTGATGTCGGCACCAGCTGGAAGCTAATTAGTCTTTGGAGTCNAGGGTGGGGCTTGAGGGTTGATAGTAGAGATAGGAGTAGTAGATTGAATGTTGTGGCAGACGTACCGGCGAAAGCCTTCTCGCTTCCGGTGATGATGATCGCGCCGATATCCTTGTCATTGTCGTACTTGGTTAGGGCGTCATTGAGCTCAACAAAGAGAGGACTGCATAGAGCATTGAGAGCCTTCGGCCGGTTGAGAGTGACTGTCCTCGATTAGGTGACATTTTCTGGCCATCATTGGCTGTGTTTACTTACTCAAGCCAACTCCCGGCTTGGGGGTAGATGTGAGGATGTGCTCATAGCTCGGGCCAGAGGAGTACTGTCTCACACGGGCCAGGTAGGAGCTCAAGGGGACGGCGGTCCGCGAGGTAGCGAGACGAGCGCAGCGACGGGCAAACATGGCGATTGATGTATAGAAATAGACAGCCCTGAAAAAGACACGATAATGGCGAGGGGATGGGGAGCGTTGATACCGCAACACAAGGGAGAAACTATGATGTATGGAGGGTCTCCCCGCGGCCGACCGAGAGCCGAAGTTAACCGTCCCTCGGCCAATGTGACTGGTGGATGTTGACACCTCAGGAATACAATGCACCAGCCACAAAACCAAGTTGGAAAGTATGAATTACATAATAAATCACCGCCACTACGCCACACGTCACATGTCCCAACGTGGCTCAACAGTCATCTCCGCGCTGATTGGACTAGCGCCAGGGGACACTTTGCTTCTGTTTTCCAGAAACGACCGCGTTCAGCACTGCGGATCTGCGTTTACACCGGGCTCGTCTTGTCTTTACTTCTCCTCCTTCCTCATACCATCCTCATCTCCGCCTTCACAATGGATGTCCCCGAGCCAGACCAGTCGCCTTTCACCGCCATGACGGCGCATACCTCCAAATTGACCCGGGTGAGTTCCTACTGTCGCTTGAGGGGGGGTTGCGACCAGCGCAATGCAATACCCTCCCTCGTTCCTTGTTCGCAGGGATTAGGATGCCCCCGGAAGACCTTGTGCTAATGATCTTTGCTGTAGCAATACCAAGCCTACCTCGATGCTTCGACCCCTTACACTACGTATCGTTGGGTTGGATCCGTTGTTCTGCTCATCATTTTCTTCCTGCGCATCGTCTTCGCGCAAGGATGGTACATTGGTACGTTTTCTCCCGGTCTTAATTCGAACTGCGCCATGGCCGTATTGTTCGCCGATGGAAGAGTGAACACATCATGAGAAGGCTCTCCGGAAGCCATCAAAAGACAAGGCACGCGACGCACGAGATGAAATATAACTAACTTGTCACTCTCACTCATTAGTCGCTTACACTCTTGGCATCTACCTCCTGAACCTGTTCCTCGCCTTCTTGACCCCCAAATTCGACCCCTCCCTCACCCAGGATGAGGGCCTGGAGGATGGCGACGCAGGCTCACCTAGCCTCCCTACCAAGAAAGACGAGGAGTTCCGCCCGTTCATCCGCCGCCTGCCCGAGTTCAAGTTCTGGCACTCTGCTACTCGCGCCATCGCCATCGGCTTTGTGTGCAGTTGGTTCTCCATCTTCGATATTCCTGTCTTCTGGCCCGTCCTGGTCATGTACTGGATCATCCTGTTTGTCCTGACTAGTACGTATCTCGAACACGACTCGAACCCGCTAAATTACGATAAACCATGTGGTGGATGTATGCTAACATGGTTTTTCACAATCTGCAGTGCGCCGACAGATCCAGCACATGATCAAGTACCGCTACGTGCCCTTCTCCTTTGGCAAGACCCGGTACGGCCGGTCCTAAGCCGCTTCTTGTTTACTATCCCGTTTTTTATCACCCCGTCTCTCTGCGCTTATAATTAGAGAGTCGTGTGAATGTCAAATGTGCGTATGTGTGTGTCCCACTGGCCGCCATCAATTATGATATGAGCGAAGGGAAGAAAAATGGAAGGGGGCGGCGGGACTTCATGGCGATGCATTTATGAATTCCTCTATCGTAATCCCTATGTTTTCTAGAGGGCGCGTTCGCTTTCCTTTTGCATGCCGTGCTGGGTTTTTTTGGGAAACTTTTCTTTTCACCTGTGAGATATGATTAGATTTGGAGTCGGTGCTCGTGCCCGCTTTCAATGCCTTTATTTGACGACTGAATATATGGACCATGAGTAGAGAATTCGAGTGTATTTCTGGTGATGGCTTTTCAGCTTGTTGGCACATGATGCAGAAACAAGGTACATTGAATCTGCAGCTCCGGTGAAATCGGTCTGCCAGCGTATCCATGGTCACCCTTAAGCATAGTTACACAATTTGCTGCTAGACCAACCTAAATGTTCACTTGAGCGAAATGAGGGGATTGCGTACTTCTTGTTTCCATGACCTCGTCTTGCAACGGTCATACTGTTGTTAGATAGTGACTGGGAAAGCCTTGCGATATCGGTTCGACACTTCCACAAACAAGGTCACAACGACACTCATGATACCTATTCGTCTCCTGGAGCAATAGGATGAGTCGGAATCAGGGAGGTTTTTCAAGTTTGAGAAGCCGCTTGTCTAACGCTGGCTAGATGCAGTTCGGAATCGTCGAGTTCGAGCTTGATTGGCCGAAGGGTGTCTTAGTAGAGCTTCGTGAGATGGCATATAAATACCTGCTTCGAAGTCTTCTACCTCCCAAGCTTGATCTATGAGGGCCTGTGCAGAACGTCCACTCTCAGCTATTTCAATCAAATTTAGACACAGTGAGTCCACAAAGTACTAGCAATGTCTTTGTCTATCTCCAAAGCTATCCTTCTGGCCATTGGCCTTGCGGCTTCGGGACTGGCGACAGACGTCAAAGAAAGTAATGTGGAGAGAGATGCCAGTGTCCGTAACTGTGAGTGATGGTCGAAGTCTTACATCTTCTATCAGTCTCAATCTCCCTATGGATATTGTCTGACGCAATACAGGTGTCGCGTTCTATCGAGTGGCTGCAGGAAATGATTGTTTCGAAATCCGAGACGCTCACCCTGATACCTTCACCATGGAAGAGCTGATGGAGTGGAATCCAAGAATCAATCGCAGCTGCACAAACCTGCTACCCGGCCAGACCATTTGTATCCGGAAGTTGAGGAAGGATTGTCCCAGTGGGGCTTGAGTTGACTCAAGGCTTATTTGTAGCCAAAGATTGGAAGGAAATTGGGGTTCGTCGATGAAGTATGTATGTACTGGAATTTTGTTAGCGAACAATCGAGATTGTTACATGTTAATTCAATTCATGCCCTCCACTAAACAAACTACTGGATCTATTGAACGAGCAGAGTCAACCCTAAACTCGCAATAGCATATGTTGTTATGTTGGAATTATACCCTCGAAGCTTCATTCTGGAACGATTCCAAGGACAATGCGTAGAAGACGATTAAAATAAATTTCATTGCTGAGTGGAGACTCTTTCAATATCTAGGCAAGTATCGTTTCCAAGACGAACACCTTCAGACAAGATGCTCTACGAAGATGGAAGATCCATGGCCTCAATAGCGACAGTGATATTCGATAATTCCCCCAAAGATTTCATTGACTCGAGCGAGTCAACAAGAACAGATTCCTGATTGTTAGGAACGCAATCCTACCAAGGACCAAAGTGGATGATTAGTGCCCAGTGAAACTTCACGAGTCAGATTTAAATCTCACCTCCAGTTCCGACCACCCAATGATACCTGCAACGACTTCCTGCTCAAGATTCTGACTCTTGCCGTAAGTGACCGCCGCTTTGTCTCCGTATCTCTCTTTGGCTTTTTGAGATATGTGCTTCCAGGTTTGCAGAACAGTCTCGGCATTCTTAGCATTTGGAACGGCCACACGGAAGATCTCAATACTAGATGAAGATGCGGCATCTTGGGGACTGAGATTTGTGTCAAATAGCTGAAGCGTCGGTGGTCCATTAACTAGATGTCTGATAGAGGCTGCGAAATTCTTGAACTGCTCCGAGACAATGAATGCGTGGAAATGTTCGGCTTTCTCCCATTCTGCATGTCCGGGACGGATTAGATTTCGTATTAGAGTAGGGAACATATTCCTATGTAACTCACCAAAGAGTAGAAACTCCCTGTGTTCCTCCCTCACGTTGCGTCCGTTTTCCGTGAGGACCCATCCACGATATGCGCTCAGGAGTCCAGGGTTTGGGTGGGTGAGTCTCTTGCTAATGGTAGGCCAGTCTCGTTCTAATTCATCAAGTGAAGCCTGATCAGGCTTGACCTTGGGGAAGATAAGCTCAGTAATCGCCATCGTTTTGTATCAATGTAGTTGTAGCTTTGAGAGAAGATGGTTGGTAATGCTTTCAAAATGTTGATGAGATTCATAATGCTTTTATATGTAATCAGTATAGAACTAAGCCCTCGAAAGTGTCGTGACGTTGATTGCGGACTTGCTATAGACCTTCTGCCGTCGGTTTAGATTTCAAAGCGACTGTCCTTGTGTCCATAGACCTCGAGTCAAATGGGGCGATACTATTGGATGCCTCCGTAGTGGGGACTTGCGGAGTTTGCGGAGTTTCAGCGGCGTTGGTGACATTGACTTGGACTCATAGCCTCTTCCTAATCACTTCTTTCCCTCTCACATATCGTACAGACCCTGCAAAATGCCTTCTAGATGCCCCGGGACTCGCTCTCGGCAAAAGTCGTGCGTCGCATGTGCGGAAGGAAAGAGGCGCTGTAATCGTCAAACTCCGCAGTGCTCACGATGTGTCGGTCGGGGGCTCAAATGCACCTACGTCAATGGATTATCTGCAAAGAAGCACCAAAATAATGTATTTGCGGACGTACAGCCAGTAGAATCTGAGCTATATCATGACTTAGATGATGCTCTATTTCTGTGGTCTCCGAACAGCGACTCGTTTCTGGATACCTCGAACGCCACAGCCTCCTGGCATACTGAAAGCCCTCCCCTCATTACCACTCCCTCACTGTTTCCTGCCATCTTCTTCCCAGAAACAGTCTCTCCTGATAAATGGACCATAAAGCAGTGTCTGCGAATTATCAAATCATTCCCACAGACATTCGCCCGGTCGAGAAGGACGCCGTTCATCCATCAACGTTTGTACGATACTTATTTACCGAACGCCATTCAAGATGCATTCGCAGTCTCTGCGGCCTATTGTACAAAAACAACAGAGACCGAGGATATGACACTGCGTATTCTAGAAGCCAAGACTGCGAGCCTCGTGGAGCAGGTCCACCAGACAACCTCTTTACAAGAACTACTCGCATCCGTCCAAGCATTGATGCTTTTCCATATCATTCAATTATTTGACGGTGATATTCGTCAGCGATCAATAGCTGAGCGTAACATGGATACATTACGAGCATGGACTACTCGACTCCAAGTTCAAGCTGAAGATCTGAGTCAAACGGCTTCCTGGCAGGAATGGATATTTGCGGAAAGCATCCGCAGAACTGTCATTTTTTCCGCACTGCTTGATAGCTTATATTCGTCGTTGAAAAATGGTTATTGCGCGAATGTCAAAGAACTGAGCATGTTGCCATTTACGTCAAAGTCCAGGTTATGGACCATTACCACGAGCGCAGCGTGGCTTACCGAGCCCAGTCACTCTCGATCTGATTTGGTTTTATATGGAGACTTTTCAATGGCCTGGGAAAATGGTCGGGTGTTGGGGGAACTGGATGATTTCCAGAAGCTATTGCTCATGCCATGTGTCGGAGAGAGATATAAAGACGTGCTGGAATTTGAGAATCTACAGGTCGATGGGTCAGCGAGACCTTGGTGAATCGAAGAATCAAGCCTAGAGATTGTGCATCTACTTAAATTTGCCAAGTGAATCTTATCTTTCATACTCTGTCACCACCAAAATTGTTCGCGAATGAACAACATGATGTAAGGGGCAATAATTGATTGCTCATGCAACGATGACCCTGCATCTGCATGTACCGTTCGCTACGCAGCACTGAAACGAGCTAAACCGAACATGCAATCTCACCCGTCGGGGCTTTCCCTATGAAATTGATCGAGGTGATAAAAGTCCAAAATGTTCCTACATCAACTGAACGTAAGAAGGACCTTATGCTTAAAACTTTGGCCAGCAGGAAATATTCTGGAGCATTCGTAGGGGGGATCGATTCCTAAACATATCTGTCACCCCCAAAAAAAGTGGGGTGGAAATAGAATCTGCAGGGATAGCTGAGCATTGTACAACTTCCTAATTTGCTAAGCACTAGAACGACAACCTCAATATTGACTAGTCCTCTATTCTCAACTTGTAACTAAGCCTTAATCTGGCGTCTCCTAAAGTCTCGGCTCTTTCGGCAGTGGATACAAACCACTTTGAGGTGACGGTGCCCCACGAATATTCTGCTCGTTAGTCGTATGAGTCTGCTAAGACAGGAAGGAAGACGGAAAAGGGTTTATGTATCGATCTGGAGATACCAAGTAACGATATCTAGCAATTCTGCTCGAGTCAATCAAAATCAATCGCTCTCCCATGTGATATTCGCTGCCCCAAGCAAATATTCATATGGCTCTATCTAAAGTGTCATCCTTACGTCTATGCTGGTTTTCTGGGATGCATGTTATGTAGGCCACTATATTGTTACTTTTCGTTGAAAAATGACGTGAGAATGTAGTATCGTGGGTTAGGTGAAATAGCCGTAAGAACTAAGCCCTTGGAGCCTCCACCGATAGCTCGAGTAAGTATTTTATTGGGAACTTTGAGAGTTTCAAACCCCTATAAGAAGGCCCTAAATCCTTCGAGAAACTGCTTATTTCAAATTCAAAATCATCAATTTCTTATAAAAACAATTGTCACAATGACGTTTCCCATTATACTCAGCGCTTCTGCCCTTTTCGGCAGCCACTGCCTTCTACGGTCGGATGGCAGCCACTGCTCTCTCATCAAATGAAGGTACGAATTTCCAGACCATCTCCCTCACTGACTACAACACCGGGTCCAACTATTCGGGCATGCTTTGGGGAGGGCTCAATGCTTGCACGACGAGCGAATGCCCAATCAGGTAAGCGTTATTCCTCTTCATATCCGAACTGATTGGGTGGGACTAATATTCTGGCACTATAGATTCCATGAGACTAGTGCTGGAGGCTACACTTTTAATGCTAAGATGTGGCGAACCAGCAATGGATGCCACAACATTGATTTTGAGGGCGCTCTGGACGCTCACCACGTTTACTGCTGTGGCTCGCTGCCACGTGATTTCACTGCTTAAATCGTTGGGAGGTAAAAGTCCAGACTGATGTTGTGGATTGACCAAGGCCACGCTCTGAGTACTACCTGGTGCACCTCCTAGTATGAGAAATCGAGAAATGACCAGCGCTTAGTCCGGATTTCTCCATGGCTTGTCGGGGTAAAGAGCTCAAAGACTGTGTATAACACTATAGAATCTTGAATTTTGATGTATTTAGCTACCCATATTCATCATCAACTGTGCAGGTTGTTCTCTAAAAGAATTGATCATTAACCAGATTGTGTTCACAAGCCGAAGATTATCTATTGAATAAAGTAATGAAGAATAGTCGTCAAAATGCTTGGAAATCATCTGGGTCGCCTACAACATATGTGGCTGCCGAAAATCTATCCAATCAAAAACATGTATTAACATTTTTCAAATATTTCGAGCCCTTCTGGCCTAGAATGGAACCATCCAGCCACACATGCTGCAAGAAAGAGTTCCACACAAGCCTCCAATACAGGTGGGACCTGATGCAGGTACAGTTGGTGTGAATTACGCAGAAGAGATCTTCTTCTGATGCAGGTAAGCTCGATAGCTCGAAGCTGATTAGAGTTAGATTACGGCTAGTGGTTGCTCAGTACTGATTCTATATTAAGGCCTTTGAATCAGGGGGAAAGTTTCATTTGCGTAACATAGACCTAAAGACAAGGGAGGGCTTTCGATCCACTTGATATCCAAAACATGTTCTGAGGGACGCTCTGATTTTCAAGACGTTTCATCATAGCTCTGCAAACTTGACTGACTTCTTTCTGCAAACGATATGCCGGATTTGAACTGGAGGAAATGTTGATACTCACAGTATCGTGTCCGACTCGGAGCACTTAGGTTCCTGGGTAGATAGTAGCTGGAAATATACACTGAGTATTTATTCACGTCTAAATATGATGATCATACAAAATAATATACCAGAACCCCAGAAATTTGGAATACGGACAAAGGTTCAAACCCATCTTTCCCGTCACGAGTTTATCGACAGCTGAGGGCATTATGCTGAGCCATCAAGAAGACGACTCGACGTAGAAATTGGCAAAGACATCAACAGAAGAAAAGGAGTAACGCCGAGTTTGGCCACCCTTCTTGTCTTTGAATTCATACTCTTGGAACGCCATTTTCGTGTGGTTTCTCATATACGTTCTTCATAGCGGCTACCACGACGCCTGCAGCTACTAAATGTCTACAGCCTCCATAGTGCCTACATGCTTTGAACGCAGGAGTATCCTTGATAATTCTTGCCATTAAACCCATGGAAATTCCTCTGCTTGCCTACCGAGATCCAAGTATGAGGGCTCTTTTTATCTGAATCTGGAAAGACATTGGCATTATCGAGATGCGCTATTATCATTTCTGCAGCCCTTTCGCCCCTAGGCAATCGAGGTCCTGGAGGTCTTATAAAATCAATTGCTTGGTAAGGTTGTAGGCATTTATGCCATAATGCTTGCACAATGTCGGCTTCAACTCTCTCCTATTTTATGCGATATTCGTATCTTCACAGTCTATGACCATCTCGTCAGTGCACTCGTTAAAGTGCGATCAGACTACGATCGGAGCTATAGTAGCGTCACACACGTGCCACACTCTCGGGCTGAATCTCAGACCCGCCAAGCTCCACCGATGATGGGTACGGCTACCAAACTTCCCACTTTCGTACAGTAGTAGCCTATGCGGTATGTACCAATAATAGTTTAGCAAACGGAAGAACGCCACCCCGCTGTCAAAGTTACCGTCAAGCCAAAATTGTGACAGGACTGCAGCATACGGTCTGTAAGATGGTGGCTGGTCTGAACGCACGGGTCATAGTTTTGGCTGTGTTAATGCTCACTGGCTCGTTCCCCCACTCCTAAAGTTGCCGGTTCAGTTGCCTAGTTCTGAATGGAGAGGAGGCTTGGGTTTTTACGGAGCATGTCTCTAGTCTTGTGGTCACAGTCCCCATTATTCTGTTACAAGATATCCTCATTGACGGCCAATATCCCGAACTATATGACCTCAGGGCTGGAGGGTCTCCGATCATGAAGAAATCACGCATCATGGAAACAAGGCTGGGCAATCGAGCGGGGACTGATCGACTTGCTACAGTAAAAATTGGGGCCTATATGCAACTATTCCGATACGGAATGACTAGCTGTTGAGTATACGTATACGTCACGTCTAGGTGATGCGACCGTATCTGTAAACATGGGCCCTGATGCAAAACCACAGCTTGGAACCTGGCCAGGCCTGTGACAGGGATTAATTTGGAATTGGTCTTTGTTTGATGCCGAACGTTTCAAGTCGAGGTTTTCTAGTCGCACTTATAATACCGTTGCACGAACTGGTTTAATCTTCCAAACCTAGTGCGATGTTAGAGCCTTAGAAGTGCTTGATAGGGTTTGTTGTACAAACAGCACTCTATCAGAGTGTAATCTTCTAAACTCTGGTCAAATTGCAAACCATGCAAGAAAACACCTATAGCTAACCATCGACAGAGGGGATTGGAGATGGGCCCGCTTTGTTTTGCCTGTGCCGAAGCGGGCCTTTCTTCAGCTGAAAGTGGAGCTGCGGAATCCGGACAAACCGGTTCCCATCTTTCTCATCTCCTCCACTCACCCCCGCCGACCCCATCAGTCTAATGCACCTGAAAATAAACGAGGCGAGCTCAAGAGGGGGAGACGGCATCTATTTGCTTCTTGTACGGCTTTCGCCGGAAGCACAGCCGACGTCGCAACCAATGGTCCTTGCCCTCCCCCTGTCAAAATCGAGGTACTCTGCACGGAGGCCTTAGGACTGCGCTGCGCTTACCAGGGCCAGTCGCAGGGGGTCTCCCAATTTTGGAGCATTGTAGCGAGCTGGCATCCAGCCATTGCTTCCACAGAGTTTTTTCCCCGGGAGATGATCTCGGAAGGAGCGGGAGCAGCGTTGATCTCGAGGAAGAACTCGAGAGCTGAGTGGATCATGTTGCGTCAGTCATGCATGGTTCGTGACGGCCTAGGATCGATCGGCAATGGCTGACGTCCCATCCCCGCACACATTACGGAGTATACCTGGCATGAAATAATTTGCTTGAGACGGGCTAGTTTCTATGCTGATCGATCTCCAGTTCGTCCGAGAGATGAAATCAAACCCTCTTCTTGTGCCCTGAAATCCATTGGATACCGGCTGGAAGGGCTGGTGGTCCATTTTCAACCCCATTAGGGACCTGCAACACGGCGCCGTGGCGGCAAACTAGCGCCCTCTTCCAGCCAGCCATCAATGATGCATACTCCGCACGCTATATCCGAGATCGAGGGGATTCAACACAAGTACGGCACTGAAACATTCATTGACGCCGCAGGAAACTCGTTCGGCTCTCAACCGGGCTCTCCGAGAATCTGGACCTCGAACGGATTCGAGCTGTTCACATCAATAGCAGCTGTAAACAATGGCTTCCACCTAGTGTGGACTCGTGGCCCCCTGCTCTATCCCCGTTGTCAAATCAACTAGGGCAATGGCAGAGGTGGAGAGAATGATGCCAATCACCATCGTCGCCATGCAGGCTGTCTTGCAGGTCGTCTCCACGTTCTGGTGATCCACGCTCTGATAACCCACGCTTTGATAACCCACGCTCCTTCCTATTGAGCTAGAACACGGGATTTTTACCACCCACGATTGGCGATACGCTGGGTTGTTCGAGCTGCATGCCTTCATGGTTCCCATTGGCTTTTCTACGCCTTGAACCACCGAGGTCCGAGTGCTACCAACGCAAGTCTAAGAGCTATGAGGGTGGTCGAAGTGTGAGAGGCGGTAGTGTCAACTGCCATGATGCCCTCCATAGGGTCTCATGGCATCTCTTTTCCTATCTAGGAAGCTAAGAGTGCAGGGTCTCCCTTTTTGCCGCCCCTCTGACGAGATTGTGAGGTGGAGAGAGATGGAGGAAATAGTTTACAACCACTGAAGCTGAATATCATACCCACATCTGCATACCAAAAGGCGTAATGGTGATGTGAAGCTCCATCGCCACTCTCAGTGCCCAGCCTCCGTACCGAAAAAAAAAGATAGCAGGCGCTCAGTTGCGTTTAGCTCGTCCCTACTGTGGCAGTTTGCTACAAAAGCCTCGTGTGACCCCGGGCCGAAATTTTTCTTTTTCCTCATCCTCCTTCAGTGTCCTCGAATGTTTCCTATACTTTTTTAGAGCCTTATTTCTGACTCCGCCGCGGGTTTGTGTCGACTATTCTGTTGCTTCAAGAGCTGCTGCTCAAAAAAAGCTATATCTGATCCCCATCCTCCTTCTCGCCCATCACATCCCTTACCCAAGCCCCAGACTGAAAGTCCAGCAACTGTATCTCTACCCCCAGCCCTTACGACTACTACGACCAATTCATCTGCCCACACTACTATTGTACTTCCTACATCCACAATGGCTCCCGGAATCCTGTCTCCCGTTCCGGGTAACTTGAACTCATCCTTCTACTCCACCATGCACGGGAATTCTCGTCAGGTCTCCGCCCTTTCTGCCGCCTTTGATAACGACAACATTTCACAGAATGGTCGTTCTACGCGCCGAGAGTCTGGCTTTGTCCGTAAGGCCAATGGCTTCGGCAATTCTAATATCACTAGCGTGGTGCAGTCCCTGCACCGCCGCAGCGGTGATGAGCTGGGCAATGGTACTTCATCCCAGCTCCTGAACACCTCTTACCACTCAATTATTGAGTGGATTCGTTCTGAGCGTATGAGCCACTTGCCCCCGGAGGGTAGCAGCTATGACAAGGTGCTCTCTTGGGCCCAGCTTTTTGTCGACAGACTGCACTCCTTCGACATCGGAATTCAAGACTTTGCCGGTGACAGCTATCTTGCCGCCCAGTTGTCCTATGGGTACTGCTCTATGCTCCTCGAGGTATGTCACATTGCAATACCATTCGCCGAATCATAGTAGACTAACTCAATTTACTTCTTTGAAAAAGCTCGGCAAGGACAACGCGCCCGCCCTTATGATCTCTTTCGGCTTCTTCTATAGCACCTCCTCCGCTCTGGTCAATCTTCTGGAGCGGACTGAGCTGTTCTCGGTGTCCCAGGAGATCAAAGAGCAGCTTATCCTGGCACTGGCCGACTTGGTTACTCTTGTCGCCAGTGTGTCCACTCACTTCCACAAGGCTATCCGTGGGTTGACCACCGCTTCGGTGTCTGTCAACATCTATGATACCTTCCCCGGCCAAATTCAATCCTTCCGTGAGCGCTGCGGAAAGATCTCCGAGGCTATGTGGCGGCACCAGCTTGCCAAGGAGAACATTGACACCGAAAGGGGTAAGGAATTCATCATGCCACCCCCAACTTCAATCCTTATCAGTTGCTAATCACATATGACTCCTTCAAGTTGCCGTTGTCAAGTCTGTCCGATCCTGGCTTGCCCCCGAAGACCGTGTCCTCAGCCGTCTCGCCGAAAACACCTCTCATCTCGCCCACGAGCGTGAGGAAATGACTTGCCTCTGGTTAGGCCCATACTTGACTCGTTTCTTGAAGAGTAAAAACCACACTTTGTCATTCTATGGCAAGCCTGGATCCGGCAAGACCGTTCTCGCTTCGGTCATTGTTGACCGTCTGCAAGAGCAGGTTGGTGGAGTTACCTACAAGACTTTGTTCGTTCCAATCAGTAAGTATCACCTCGTATGCGATTCTATCATATCATGCCTCTTATCTAACTTGGTCATCAAATAGACGCTCGCATCCCGGCCGAGACCACTCCCATTGCCATTGCAAAGACTATTCTGTTCCAACTGTTCGAGAAGCGCATTGGCAATGTTCAACTCCTGCATATTCTTGGCGATGCCTATGAGCGTAGCCGTAAGACAACTGGTGCCGCGGATTATGAAAGCATTATCTGGAATGCTTTGGAGCGTGCCCTGGCGGCTGCTCTTCGCGGTGCCAAGGAGCTTGTCATTGTCCTTGACGGCCTTGACGAGTCTACCGGCGGAGAAGCTGCTCTGCTCCAGAGATTGACCGCCGCCACTTCCAACGCTGTCAACGTCAGGCTCATTACTCTTGGTTCTGAGAAGCCTACCGCCAAGGAAAATGTCATGGCCGTCCCTATCACAGAGGATCGTGTCGCTGATGATGTCTCCGCCGTCGTCCGGTCCATTCTCGAGGCTAGCCGCACATTCCGGGAATTGTCCGAGTTGGAGCGAGAGACTGTGATCGACCAGATCACCGAAGCCTCCCATGGCTCATTCCTTTGGGCTAAGCTTGCTGCTAAGCATGTTCGCCATGAGCACGCCACTGATGCCTTCCGCAAGACTGTTGAGGCCGTGGTGAATAGCAAGTGGACTGTCCTAGACTTCGTCACCCATGTCCTTGCCTCCTCTGAAGTTAGCGAGGATGCGAAGTTCATGCTTCTCTGGCTTGCTACCGCCCAGCGCCCTCTGTTGGTGAAGGAGCTAGCCACCCTGGCCTCGGTCCAGCTCGATAAACACACTGTCTCTGACCGCAAGGTTGACGTTTTGACCATCCTGAAGCCTTTGACCTCTCTTGTCTTCCTCCAGGACGGCCAAGTTTATCTTCGTCACGGACTCATCCGCACTGCTGTTCTGGATATTTACACTAAGGGCAAGCTGATTCCCTCCGTCAAGGATCGCCATGCCGACCTTGTCACTCGATTGTTTATCTATATTAAGACCACTGTGACTGAGCAGCATGAGCCTTCTCTGACATCTTTGGACCGTCACGAAACCAGCCTTCTTGTCCAGAAGTACCCACTTCTTGAACTTGCAGTGCGCTATTGGCCTCACCATCTAACGAACACCACTGTCTATACCAACGGCGGTGATGTTTCTACTGCTAAGGAGTTTGGCAAGCTGTTCCCCGCCACTGTGACTTTGCTGCTGCTCCAGAATACTCTCTGGCACAACATCACCACGCCAACGCTCCTGACATATCTAACCATTGTCAGCAACCTGAGCCGCCATATCCTGACTCCCAATAATGTCGTCACTTTGCAGTCTATCATCTCTTTGGCTCTTTTCCGTCGCGACATTACTCACGTCACTGAGTCAATTCCGCTGTTCTACGAGATCACTACGATTAGTCGCACCCTGCTCACCGTCAAGCACATCATCACCATGCAGATGTCTAGTCTCTTCCTCGACCTCACGGCTGAGCAGGTCACCACAACCAAGAGTGATATTATGGTCAAGCGGGAAGAGATTCTTCTTCTCATCGTCGAGTGCTACAAGATCCACTACGGCAACAACTCGGAGAAGGTTGTCACTACTCTGAAGACTCTGATCGAGCATTACCGCCTTCTCAAGGAAGAGAAGAAGATCAGGGAGATTGAGATATTAGTTCAGACTATCACCGGGACTCGTTACGATGGCGACGAGACCGAAACTCGTGGTGGTCTCCACGTTCACCTGAAGGGCCACAAGCAGAACGGCGAGACTGGCATTCGCTTCATTCTGGACACCGAGGTTGATGAATACCAATCTGAGACCTTTGACTTCGAAGCCCTCCTCAAGCAGGCTGAAAAGTATATTGCTGAGGGCCGCATTGCTGAGGCCGAGCGTATCTACGTTGAGATCTGGCAGCGCGCTAGCAAGGAGTGTCGCACTCAGTACTCCGAGTATTGGGAGCAGATCAAACTGAAGTCGGTGACTGTCTACTCAAAGTTCCTTCAGTCTCAGAAGCGCGAGTATGAGGCCTCCTCGATCTTGTCTAGCGTCTGGGAGGAGTACCGCAGCACCAGCCTGTCCGTGTCCGAGTCTACTTCTTCCCACTTCCAGGAAATTGCCAAGGTTATGACTGCTGTCGGACTCTCTACCGCAGCTCTGAGCATTTTCAAGCACTGTGCCCATTACTACAAGAGCACCAACCGCACTGAGTCCTCGCAGTACACGGAGATTCAGAAGAGCATTGAGCAAACTTCCCAGCAGGTCATGCACCAGGCTAGCTCCTCTTCTTCCGTTGTCTCTGAATCTGTGTTGGAAGAGATTGTCTACGAAGCTTCCAGCTCCATCACCAAGATTGACCAGAGCTCATTCACTGCCACCTACACTCTGGTTGAGCTGTATGTCTCCCAGCACCGCTGGAAGGATGCAACTCGCGTTGTCAAGAAGGTTCTGCACGGACTGTGGCCGTCCTTGTTTGCTCCCTCCATTCAGGACGTCGTCCTCCCCAGCCAGCACGTTGAGAAGTGTGTGGACCTTGCTGAGCGTCTGAGCCAGTGCTACCACTATCGCCGTCGCTTCCCTCGCGAGGAGGGTATCCGCATCCGCGTCTACCGGGCTGTTCGGGCTGCCAAGCCTGTCGATGACAAGCTACGCGAGCGCGTCACTAACGAGCTGATCTTTTTCTACGAGCGCTCTTCGCAGCCCGACCGGGTTATTAGCACCCGCCAAGAGCTCTTGGATGACTATATTACCCACTATGGACCTGAGCACCCCACCGTCATTAAGACTCTGTGGATCCTGGCGGAGCTCACGCGTCCTCGCCCGATCTCTATCGAGTACTACCAGCGCATCATCCGTGCCTTGAACAAGGATGCTCCTCATTGCCACCCAGATGCTATTGAGCCTCTGATCATTGTGGTCACTGAGCTCTGGAACCAGAGTCGCTACTCTGATGCTGTGCAATACTACTCACTGCTCTTCGTTACGTTCTTGAACGAACCTAAGAAGCACCCCAAGTTCCAGTTGCCCGATTTCGTTCAGGAGTTCTTCACCCGATACACCCACTGCCTGCGCAGTGTGCGTACCGAGTACACCAAGATCCATAAGGTTACTCTCGACTATCAGACCAAGGTCAAGGCTGTCTTTGGTGCCACTGCAACAATCACCATCAAGGCTACATTGACCTTGGCGAAGGTGTGCCAGGAATCTAAGCGCTTCGAGACCGATGCCATTGCTCTCTACGAGGAGTTGCTCACCATCCAGACCACCGAGATTGACCGAGATGAGATCACCGCTATCCTTGATGGTATCTACGAGGAGCAGACTGCTATTGCTACCTCCAAGTCCGAGTCGGTCTCTGCCACTCAGATTGAGCGTGCTTCTAAGGTTCTGCGCAAGCGCATCACCTCCGTTCGTGAAACCTACGGCTGGGCTCACGAGGAATCTTTGACCAAGCTAAAAGAGGTTATCTCCTTCCATTCCAAGCACAGCGAGTCTTCCGAGTCTGTTCTTTCGGAGCTTAGGGAGTCAACTGTGCAGATTCTGCAGACCGAGTCTTCTTCTACCCGCCTTGTCGCCGCTGCATCGACCATCGCCGCCAGCTACATTGCCACGAAACAAGTGACTAAGGCGACTGAGTTGACGCAGGAGCTGTACCGCCAGATTGTGATGAAGGACACAACCAACATCAAGTCCACCAAGTTTGATCTCACTTCCAAGGGCCGCCAGAGCCTGATCTTCTTGGCTCAGCTCGAGCAAAGCCTCCGGCAGCGGAACTCTACTATTACTGAGATCCTGGCCGAGCTGACCACCGAGTTCGTCTACTTTGAGGAGTTCCGCAGCCATTTCTCGTCCAAGACCAGCTCTTTCCACAGTGTCTCGGTCTCTGCCTCCCGTCTCTACCACTTCTTGCTCTCGAACAACCGCCAGACTGCAGCTATTCGCGTCTTCGACGACTACGTTGCCTACTTCCTGGCTACCGATGGCAAGCGCACCAAGTTGACCGAGACTAACCAGGTGAAGATCTTCTTGTCGACGATTTTGGAGCACTTCAGCACCCACAAGTCAACCAACTTTATCCGTTCGGTTGGTATTGCCAGCAACTATCGTGTTCTGGATCTCCTCCAGAAGAAGAACTACGATGGTGCTTGTGATCTTGCTATCGCCTCCTTCCGGTACATCTCTGCTCACGATGTATACCGCTCTGCCGCGATTGTCAAGTTTGTTTTCACTCTGGGTGTGTTCATCACCGGACGTACCGTTGTCCCTCGGCCCGACCAAGCTGCCCAGAAGAAGCTACTCGGCGTTTCCTCTGTCATCATTCAGGAGGTCCTCCGGGTCATCAGTGACTTGAAGATCAACCTGGCTCAGGTCAACCTAGACTATCTGAACATTTTGATCGGTGTGCTCGGCGAGCAGAAGGACTACAAGAACCTTGTTTGGGTCCTTTCCAGCCTTTGGAACAGCCGCAACCAGCAGATCAATTGGTCGCCCGTCATTACCCTGCAGCTGGCCCGTCGCTACATTCTCGCCCGTTACCTAGTCGGCGATGCCCTCAAGGCAGCGCGCCTGGCGGAGGACATCGTGTACAACTGTCGCCGTGTCAATGGCGCCCGCCACCAAAGCACCCTCGAGATGTCGACCCTGTTGTCCCAGCTGTATGCTGGCATCGCCCAACGCTACCAATCTGAGAAGGGTGGTCAGCACATGGCAAACAAGTACTACAAGAAGATTGCCAGCGTGCACGAGAACCTTCTCCGCATTTTCGTCGATCCCTCTCTTGCCGAGTTCGAGGGTGGCCTCGACAGCAGTCTGAGCATGGACGGTTCCACCTACGACCTTGACCTTGGCGATAGCACCCCCAACGGTTCTATTTCCGACGCCGAGCAGGTCCGTCAGCACCTGCAGCTGCTTAAGCTCGCTGTGCAGCGCCTGGGTGATTGGCCCAAGGACTTCAGCGAGTACGAGCGCCTGAATGCCGATCTGTTCCTTGAATTTGGTGATGAACTCAAGGGCGTTGAGGGTGTTGAGAAGTGGGATCTCAAGAAGTTTGGCTCTGGAAAGGCTTCTGGTAATGAAGATCAGCTGAGCTTGGAGTTCAAGAACTGGGAGCTGGATCTTGCTACGGCCGAAGAAGTCGAGGAGGAGCTGTAAAATGCCTTTTTTTCTAGTTTGCTTTTACCAAATTGTCTTGCGCTTTGCGGCTGTTATAATTTTGTTATGCTGTATGATCTGTGCTTATAGCTGATTTGTCTTTATATCGAGGTACACACAATTGCATTGGCTCTAGTTCAAATGATTATTCTTCTACCCAGCGTAGTTCTCTTAACCTTTTCCTTGTTTCTTTTCAAAGGATGGTCGGCGATCGAAGAGTGGTATGAGTATGATCGACTGGGGTCTCATAAAAGCCACCAAGTGCAAACCCCACCCCCAGAGAATTCTCGGTTATTTATAGTACTAGTAGGCACAAGAAGACCAAAGGGAATACGGAGACAAATTGGAAAATAGGGGTTCGGGGCCGTGATGCCGTTATTGCCGACTTGACTTTATGGAGCCAATTTTCCTAATGTGGCGGGCACCTAGTCCGCTAGAGGAACGTAAGCAATCTCGCTAAGTGGAAGTCAACAATATTTAGTGATGAGCTTAGCACTGATTATACTTTGAGAATAGAACAAATGGTCCAACCAAATCCACCAAATTGGCGGATTTTACCGCAAGTGGGGAGAAAGGTCACCTCACGGACCCCTACCAGAGTCCAGGGCACGAATCGAGTTCCTTTGGGGGCGCGTTTTTGTGTCAAGTAGAAGAATGTATTTAGTCCAGAGGGTCCTCGAGTCTCAAATATCCCTACTTTAAGAGGTTTCTTGTTCTCTATCCGACCTCGACACAAATCCATCGTCTGTCGCTCTAAACCAAATCACCACCATCATGCGCACCTTCTCCGCCTTGCTTCTTTTCGCCGTCTCGGCTCTGGCTTCTCCCCAGCCGCAAATTACTGGCAGCGGCGAGTCCAGCGGCAGCGTCACCAATCCCGATGCCGACGCATCTGCCGCCTCTGCTGCCTCTGCGCTGGTCGCAGAAATCCCCAGCTCCGTCCTCTCCGTGATCGAGACAGCCATTCCCGCCTCGTGGCAGGACGAGATTATCACGGATGCTTCATTCCGCTCCTCCGTTGCGAGTGCCGCCGCGGCAGGAACCTATCCCGCTTGGTACAATGAGCTGCCCAGCAGCGTGAAGGCCTGGGCGAGCTCGAACTTTGATGTTCAGATTCTCGGTGTCTCAACTTCCTCGGACGGTGTTGCTTCCGCGACTGCTTCTAATGCCGTCACGACGGGTACATCTGCTACTCAATCTGTTTCGAGTGGAGCGCAAGTTACTACATCGGGCTCCTCTGCTGCTTCTTCTGTCTCCGGATCTACGGCTGCTTCGGTCTCCGGCTCCGTGTCTGCTTCTGCTTCGTCTGCAAAGTCGACTGGCGGTGCACCCTCTCCTACTGGTGGTGTCGCTATGGGCGTTGCCGGCGCAGCTGGTGTGCTCGCTCTGGCTCTTGCCTTGTAGAGGGTATAATTATCAAGTTAGGGTTCTGTTCACAGGGGGCGAAGGCCCTGCTCACTTCGTCAATGTGTTTGATAGCACTGCAACCTTATACTGTCACGAGAAGATAGGCTGTTGGGAAAAATACTGTGGATGACAACTGTCGTGAACATGGAATTCTATCAGTCCACCTACTGATACAGAACCCTGACAATTAGGTAGCCTTACACGTACATTCTCATTCAAGTTGACATTTTCCATGAAAATATCGTGCTGCTTTCATTCTCCAGTCATGCATGCTTTTAAGTATAATCACTAACTTCTTATATGCCGAGTGCACATGAAAGGTCGATGAGCGTAGTAAAAATCCAGATCGCAGATTCCACAACTAGGGAATCGTATCATCCAGTTGCTTTCTCACAATGCAAGCATCACTAGTGATTGAACTCGCACCATTGCGGTTTGATAGAGTCCCAAAAACAAGGATGCCCTTTTATGGCTTTGAGACGTTCCAGGGCTTGCCCCACTTCTTCAAGGAGGTCAGTTGCGAACTTTGGACAGTCGCGCATCACGGAGGCAAATTTGTGCTTTCGAGATCTCAAAAATCCGGGAACTGAGTTTTTGGCTAGTACACGTCGCACGGGGTGTCCCTGGGGCAAACACTCAACCGAAAAGATGTGGTCCGTTGAGAGCGCTTGTGTATAGGCATCGACAGGAACCCCCGAGTAATCTTTTGACCAAGGGACTGGAGCTGCATTGGCAAGCAAGATGGCTTCAAGGCGCTGTGTCATTTGAGATTCCATACCGGTGACCGCACACATGTCTGCAAGTCTCACAAACTCGATGATTGCTGAGGTTTGCCGTCCAGGGTCCAGAGCATCCTTGGGGTCAAAATTGACCTGGCCCATGTAAAGCCACTGGATGAGTGCTTCGAGACTTTGCTCTGAGACAACGCCTTCCACGTCTTCCAATATGGCTACTTGGCTCTGGCCTTCTGAAAAGTTGCCTTCGAACATCTTTGAGAAATACGGTGATTGGCAGAGGACGCCTTTCGAAACTGTATATTCCCGGTTGCCCGATTTGACTCGGATTGTGACTTGCGGGCCATTGAAAATGGGGACGATTCTGATGATCCTGTCAACTCAGGACTGGATGAGCAGAGCAGTTTACTCACGATCTGGTAAATTCCGTCGCATTTGCTTGCTTTAGGTTCATCATCTTGCCGAAGTGAGTGTGTCTGACGCTGAAGGTGGGTATGTAGAGTGTCAAGATGTTGGAAGTCTTCGATTGAAAAGAGTTGAGAGGGAAAGACAAGTGTCAAGAAATAAGAAGTGTATATGAAGAAGTTATTACGAAACTCATATAGAAACTTTAGATCAAATACAGCTGACCACTTGATTCATCTTCGATCTTTCATCTAATGTTGACGGACAAGCATTCGCTTATCCGCTGGGTCCATCCTTGGTTCTCAAGTCTTTTCCTAATTGATTAGAATATATTAGAATACATACAAGTAAACAACAATAAGCAGAAATAACCAACCCAAAGCCCGTATTCAAAGCTGTGCCCTATGTTTGCCCCGTTTGTCAAATATGAGGCGGAGCCCTCAGCCCCAACTGGCGAGCTTCCCTCAAAAGGCCAAGGCCAAGGCTGAGGCTCTTACTCTCTTTTCTACTGACTCCCCCCACCTTCTCCCATCACATCCAACAGCAACACACAAATCAGAAAATCATGGCTTCAATCCCCATCAAAATCCCCAATGGGTTCCTGCCACCCCAACCACCTCCCACAGTTCACGTCCACCAAATCGACTTTGAAACATCCAACCCCGCCCTCCCAAAATACAAAAACCACTTCGCCGCCGTGATAGACGACTTCCTCACCGAGTCCGAATGCCAAGACCTCATCGCCCTCGCCGAATCCAGCACCCGGAACGGCTGGGAACGCGCCATGGTCAACATCGGCGGCGGAAAACAAATCCTCGCCACCGACGCCCGCAACTGCGCGCGCATCATGTGGGATACTCCAGACATCACACGGCGACTTCTCGCCCGCCTAACGCCGTTTCTCCGCGACTTCGATATCGAGTCGTTCACTGATCGCACGAGCGTGACTGGGCTCATTGGCCGGGGCAAATCGTATCGATTGGCTGCGCTGAATGAGCGATTACGGTTCCTGCGGTATGAGGGTGGTGAGTACTTTCGTCCGCATTGGGATGGGCAGTATGAGGCGCCGAATGGGGATGTTTCGTTTTATACAATTCAGATTTATCTTAATGGGGAAGGGGAGCAGGATCTTGGGGAGTTGGGGAGGGCGGAGGAGAAGCCGACGAAGGTGAATCCTGATCCGAAGGGGAGGTTGTTGGGTGGGGCGACGTCGTTTATTCCTATTCCTAGTTATAAGAGTGGGCATGAGCAGTTGCGGATCTTTCCGAGGACGGGGTCGGTGTTGATCTTTCAGCATAGTGGGCTGATGCATAGTGGGGATCCCGTGTTTAGGGGGACCAAGTATACTATTAGGACGGATATTATGTATCGTCAGGTGTGAATAGTGGAGATTCTTTACTACGAATGTATTTATATGGCAAGCCAGCCCGCTGATAGTAAGAAAGAATGGAGAGTATCAGAAAGTGAAAGAAATGTATGTTTCAAAACTATGAACAAAGATGAGAACAAATGGCTTATTTACAATATATTCATCACATCACATAAAACCGAAAGAGCAAAGTTTTGTTTGCCAACACCCAAACGACCCGTTCATGCTTTACAATCTTGACGTGCTGGCCGGAGCATTAGCGGCACAGCAGGAGGTGGAAAATGCATTCGTCGACTGAGTATCGACACAAATCGCCGAAGGCGGCACCCACAGACCGGGGTTCTTCTCGTAGAAATTGGACGCGCGCAGCATGATGCTGACTGGCTCGGCGGGCATGACGGGGAAGTCCTCGGTACGGGGGAAGTGAGTGAGACCGAACTGGAGATAGCAGACGATATCGGTGTTTTCAATGTTCTCGTTGCGCTTGGCCCAGTCGATAATGGTCGAGTTGTGAGGGTGGTTCTCCTCACCGGTGGACTGGCACACGTAGTCACCGGCAGGGAAGAGCTCGTAGTCCTTGTAGGGGGTGACCCAGAGGGGCTTGCGAGCGAAGCCGGCGCGGTTGTAGACGGTGCTGCCGGGCTTGGCGAGGAGAGGGGGGCAGTTGTTGTTGAGGATCTTGTATCCGACCGGCTTCTTGGCGGTGGTGTTCATGCGGTTGGGGTTGATGATGTCCCATGAGCGCTGGGTCTCGTAGCAGTAGTCGGCAGCGCCCTCGAGAGAGGTGCGAAGGGGGGTCTTCTTGCTGAGGAAGGCGTTGCCGTAGGGGTTCTCGGGGGACCCGACGGGGGCGTCGGCGGAGACGGCGTCATTCTGAACAACGGTGTTGTTGGTACCGTCGATCTCGGGGTCGATACGGAGGGAGAAGATGTGCTGGTGGTTGTGGGCGGTGATTTGGGGAGCAACTTGGGTTCCGTAAGGAGCGGCCTGCTCGGTCTCGTGCAGAGAGTAGGTGTTCAGCATACCGGTAAGCTTCATCTCGAGCTTGTAGGTGCCGTCCAAAGTGAAAGTGTGGTAGAAGCCGTACTCGTAGTTGGCGGCAGTGATGATCTGGGAGATGATGAGCTTCCGGTCACGGGCCGAGATCACGGTGCCGTCACGGTAGTCGGTGTGCTTGTACAGGAGGCCGTTGTCCTCCTCGTGAATGCAAATGGCGTTCTTGATGACCGCAGCCTCACCGTTGGAGGTAGACATGACACCGTCCATGTAGTGAATAGCACCCTTGCAATCACAGCCCAGCTTGAGCGAGTTGGTCATGAGACCGGTGCCGTACTCGCCGACATCGAAAGCGTGCTTCTTGTGGTGAGGCTTCTCGGGGCAGCCGTATGGGACAACCATCTCAACGACGGAGATGCGGTTGAAGAGAGTGCGCTCACGGTCCTCGTACATGTCGTGGGAGCGGACATCGGAGATGACGATACCCTCACGGTAGTTGAAGCCAATGTGCATCTTGTAGTTGGCCCAGGAGAGCTCGTTGCCGCGGACCTTGAAGGAGACACCCTGAGGCTGGGTGATGTCGATCGGCTTGAGGCGGTCGTGGATGTAGCCGTCACCGATGAACTCGGGGAGGTAGTTGTGCTCCTTGAGAGGGACGGGAACGCGCTCGCCATTGACCGTGCGCACGTCAACGCTGAGGACCTCCTCGGTCTCGGTATCGGCAACCACGGAGAAGTCCAGAGGGTGGGCATACTGGTTGTCGAACTCCGAGGCACGGTAGTAAGCCAGACCCTGCTGGAGACGGCGCTCGAAGCCCCAGCGCTCATCGATACCAATAGCCCAGGCATCGAGGAAGACCTTGTTCATATCGGTGATACCGATCTCCGCGCAGGCGCGGATAACGCGGGCATCCTTGCGGGCAATGCGCTCCATGACATCGAGATCCTCGAGAGTGAGCGTGGGCATCACATTCTTCACGGCCTTCCACTCCTCGACCTTCTTGGTCTTCAAGTTGACAATGACCTCGGCGACTTGTTGGGTCTCGCGCTCAATGATGATGGCGAATGCGCGACGATCGGGAGCGGCAGTCTTGCCGGCTCTGAAGGCCTGGTACTCGGCCTTGCGGGGCTCGCGCAGTGTGATGCAGTTGAACTTGACGGTCCTGGGGCTGGCATGGTTGCGGATGATCTGGGCCGTGTCGGGGATTTCCCGAATGGTGAGCTGGTCTGTATGCACAAAATAGGTCAGCGGCCGGATTGTAAGGAGGGAGACATAAAGGAAAAAGCAAATCGCCCAGTCGTACCTAGCGGGTGGGGAACTCCCTGTGGAAGCATCGCCGTGGCAGCGACACTATCGTAGTCTCCCTCCCGGAAGATCGTGTATCCCGGGATGGATGTGGTATCGGGGGCAGAAGCCATGATGCAATATAGTACAAGAGAAGGACTTGTAGAGCTGTAGTAAATCCCCTATCCCGAGTCCGTTCCCAGCCGGTCTTTATAGCCAAGTGGTCGTCTCTATCTTCATCGATAGAGTCCGCAAGGACCTGCCCAATCGGGCAGTTCCAAGGATGTCTGGTCCAGACGAAATCTCGCCGACTCTTACCGAGTCCACTTCAGTCCACACGGTGGATTCTTTCCTCCCGTTTTCTCGGTTTGGTCAAAGCCTGGAGAAGGGATCTTTTGCACTTACGTTTCGTTCATCCCTTTTGCCTTCTTGCATTGCCATTCCATAATTCTCATTTCGTAAGTCTTCGTGTTGCGGAATTGATAGCCAATCAGGAGTCGGCAACTCGAGATACCCTAGCCCGACGACATGTCCACCGCCAGAAGCACAGACTTTTGTGCCAATCGGGCAGGTTGACCCTACAGAGTGTGTCGATAAGGATTCTCCAGCCTCCTGACATCACCTGACAGCGTGGCATGGGATTCAAGCTTATCTTTTCGCGGGGAAACCACGTGAGGCGCGGTCCGGGATTTCTAATCGAGTTGCTGCAGAATCCTTTTTTCAAGAGACGAACTCGGTATCAGTGAGTAACTAGTCTAGCTACAGGTAAAGATATGCTAGGATATGATGTGTCGAATAAACTTGATGTCTTTTGTCGTAGAACCTACTGTAGTGCACCTGGACTTGCAATTGAGATTCGCGCCCGCAGTTATCGAGACAATCCTTATCGTTGCGTGGACCTACCTCTTGAGGACTAGCGTCTGGACCGTGCGGTGGCCAGTGGCCACTTGATTGCCATTGGATCTCCTCAACTATTCCCCACGCTTCCAGTTTAATCCCCCCGGCCTCGATTCTCTGGACTCTGGAGATGCCGTGTGGGGCCTCCGTTCTCCAGATACATCGTTGCCGTGCATCTCATTCGCCTTCTCGAATTGGCATGTCGTGCCGAATCCGTTATCAATGATTACCACTGATGGGAGATGCAAGCTAACGGACTTAAGAGCTTGCACATCGTCAATTGTCCTGCATCGCCTGTTCTTTCCTCCCAAGTCAATTTGCTCGAATTGATCTGATTATACAACATCATGGCCTCTTTATCCGTTCAGTTGACCGCCCCTAATGGCCGTGTCTGGTCCCAGCCGACCGGATTGTTCATCAACAATCAATGGGTCAAGTCTTCGGACGGCGACAAGATCGCGACCATCAACCCGGCGTACGTTTGCACTAGGGCCAGTTGGTCAACGCGATCTATCATGGAGGGCTTGCGCAGCTAATAATTTTTTGATCAACTATATAGAACCGCCAAGGAAATCACCTCAGTCTACGCTGCTTCCGCACAAGATGTCGATACCGCTGTGAAGGCCGCTCGCGCGGCCTTGAATCACCCCAGCTGGCGCGATCTCCCTGGAAGCGACCGCGGCAAGTTGATGAACCGCCTTGCTCAACTCATTGAAGATAATCGCGAGACCCTCGCGACTATTGAGACTTGCGACAATGGAAAGCCTTATACCGTGTCGCGGGACGACGACTTGACCGAGACCGCAGAGACTATCCGGTACTTTAGCGGCTACGCCGATAAGATCTTTGGACAAGTCATTGGAACCACCCCTGACAAATTTGCCTATACTGTCCGGGAACCGGTTGGTGTATGTGGTCAAATCATTCCGTAAGTCTTTCAACTGCTTAACTGTTAATGGGTTGGACCGATGTGTAATGCAAGCAGCGACTGATTTCGCTGTCTTTTGCAGATGGAACTTCCCTCTTTCAATGGCTGCCTGGAAGCTGGGCCCTGCCCTGGCATGCGGTAACACTATCGTTCTGAAGCCCGCGGAGCAGACCCCCCTCTCGATACTATTCCTCGCAAACCTGATCGTGGAAGCTGGCTTCCCCCCGGGTGTTGTGAACATTGTCAACGGCCACGGAGCCGTCGCCGGTGCCGCTCTTGCCTCCCACATGGACGTTGACAAGATTGCTTTCACCGGAAGCACCGCAACCGCCAAGCACATCATGAAGATGGCCAGTGTCAACCTGAAGAATATCACTTTGGAGACCGGCGGTAAGAGCCCTCTGATCGTCTTTGACGATGCGGACCTCGACCAGGCAGTGGAGTGGGCACACATTGGCATCATGTACAACCAGGGCCAGATCTGTACTGCGACATCTCGTATTTTGGTCCAAGATAAGATCTACGATAAATTCTTGGCCGCGTTCAAAGCCCAAGTCAAGAATGTCTCCAAGGTCGGCGATCCCTTCGACGAGTCCACTTTCCAGGGTCCCCAGGTGACCCAGGCTCAATACGACCGCATCATGTCCTACGTCGACGTAGGCAAGTCCGAGAAAGCGACCCTTGCCTACGGTGGTAAGCCCTTCAAGGGTGTTGGCGATGGCAAGGGCTTTTTCGTTGAGCCCACCATCTTCACCGACGTCTCCCCCAGTATGCGAATCTACCAGGAGGAAGTTTTCGGTCCATTCGTTGTGGTTGCTCGCTTCAGCACTGAAGAACAGGCTATTGAGATGGCCAACGATACTACGTACGGTCTTGGCAGTGCCGTCTTCACTACGAACTTGACTCGCGCTCACCGCGTTGCTAAGAAGATTCAGGCCGGTATGGTGTGGATTAACTCTAGCAATGATAGTGATTGGCGTATTCCGTTTGGAGGTGTGAAGCAGAGTGGTATTGGTCGCGAATTAGGCGAGGCTGGCCTGGATGCATATTCTAGTATCAAGGCTATTCATGTTAACATGAAGTCTAAGCTTTGAGCTATCTCTGTGTAAATATCTTTATCTTGTGTTTTAGGTCGATCAAAATGGATACTTGTATATTTATGGAATTCGTCTCTTCCTCGGAAGTCATGGGAATTGGTGGAGTTACCTATCTAGTACACCCTCCATTTATTGACAGAGAGATTGTGCTACAGAAGCATCCGTAAAATTCTTGCCTCGCAGGTCGTGGAATGTTGAAACACTCCTAGTCTTTGTAAAGCCATGGTCTTTCCAATATTGGTTAGCGGATGAGCCCCCCTCATAAAACATCACAAATCAATACCGCCGTGAAATGTCCTCCCCATTGACCAACTTGAAGATACAAAAGCCGCTTCCAATCCTCTCAATAGATTCAAATCTTCAGATCACTATCAGTATATGATGGAATGAGCTGGTTAAATATATTTAAGGAACGTTAGCGCCAGCAGTACCTCAGAAGAACAAGCGTGGAACTATTCAAATCATGGAATTACAGCCCATCCTGTTAAATATATGTTGTTTATGTTGTACGTATATATTCACCACTCGGCAACTGTCTGTCTTTCTCTTAAAGAATCTGCCCGTTCGCCGCCGTTAGATAGTTCACATTGGTATTGGCCTTTGTAGTGGGCTCTAGGAATGAAAATTTGGAATTAAATGATACTACATTTTAAAAATGGGGATGGCAATGAAGGCTTTACACTTGCTCATCTTCAATTTATCTTGAGGTTGTCCTACAACGTGCAGATTAAGTTTTCAAGTACAATACTGAAAGGTGCTCGACAGTTACATACTTCTTCGAATCTCCAGTGGATGATCATTCCGAATAGCCAAGGCATTTTCTTTCGATTTCTCTCTCACCAGGGTATCCGATAAAATGATTTTGAAGTTTAGTTGGGAATTTAACTTGTGAAACTCCAGTGTATCTTTCTTTCTCGAATCAGGCAGGACCATTCCTACTATGATCGTAAGGCTTTTCTATCTTGATCCTTAGCGCCCCTTCTCCTTTATAATAATGATAATCTTGTCTAACAATATAAGGAGAATTATCTAATAAAGGATATCAGTAAGCTAGTTCTATTCGTAGAAATTCCCACCAGCCGTGAAGAGGACTTCACTACTAAACGGGTCGTATGTGAGGAGGATATATTTCCTAAGTCTATACCCAACGCCGATCTGATATCCCCAACTAGTTTCTAAGGCCTAATCAATGTCTATTAGAGTTCTTCTAAGTACACGGACTACCCTACCTAGTAGATTGGAAGCTTAAGAGTATTAAAACGATGGAATGACCGGTACGTAGTTAGGTCGACTCACCGGAGGCTTGGGAGTGTTCACGATAAATTCTAGGATGTGTTTCTCGATGGGGGTTCTCTCCAGAGATTTAGAGTTGAGGTGTGAATCTTGATACAAAACGTTGTCGTTTCTGCTCAGTGTCCTAGTCTGAAATGCTGTATGCTTACTGTAGAAGATATACTCGTCGATGCAGTCAAGTGCCAGCCGGATTGGGGCCAAGGCTCAGTGTGAGAGAGGAAAGTCTTCAAGCAGGTTATCATGCCATTGACGTTGTACTAGAGCCATCAAGCCGGCTTCACGATTAGTCGGAGCACGGTGTCTTCTAAAATCCCCAAAATGGCCCACTTGGCGCTTTTGAGGCCTGGACTTGCCTCAGGGGACCAGACCAGCCATCGCCCCCCATTCTCCGCATTCCGCTCAAATATTGTCTCAACAACGGATCGTGCACGTAAGATCGATCCTTCCCGTTTAGGAAGGCAGACGCGGTCGCAGAAGGTGCATTAGCAATCCCGAGATTCTTCACGAGGTAATCCGCTAGTTCCGTGAATTTGGACATTTCATTCCTTCTCCTCGTAGATAGCAGAGTCTTCCATTGTAGCTTGGCTTCGTGATTCGCCATTGTTTCGGCTTTCTTTGTTCATGCGTTAAAAAGTGGTGGTGTTGCCCCAAATTTTCGCTACAAATCTGGGGTAGCCGACCGTAGATCGCACTAGCCAATCCAACCATGTCACCGAACGAGGTACAGTACAAGCGACATATTAGCCTAATATGCCTAGTCTACCCTGCCGATATTACTATGTCAGTTGCCTTAGTGGACACCTGTGGGTGAAATGTAGTATACACTAGTGCGTGCCTGTACCTTCCCGAATCGGTTGCCGAGGCGAAAAGGCGCCGCGCTTCCCCGTGACGATCCCCCGATGAGGCCGACACGGACCGAAATTGGGCCTGACAAGAAACCCATTTATAAGGCAGGCCAATTCACAGGTCGCTCGACATTGCGAGGGAATTTGCGAGCCAAATATAAGCTCGCCCTTGCAGCTCAACCGGGAAGCACTCCCCAGAAAGGTTTAGAGCGCGCTATTTATTCGCGGCTGAGACGTTTGATCAGCCAATCAGAGCGCGGAGCTCATTCATGGTGTTATACTTCGAGGGGGCATATGAACAGAATGAGGGACGACACAAGTCCCGTTTGTCGCTTCGAAATTCCTTTTTTTTAAACCTCGTGTTCTTCAATAAGATTAAAGCTATGGCCCCTTCAGATACCAAAAGAAAAGACGCCCCCAGTGCCCGACATCGCTCCCATAAGGGCTGCTGGACGTGCAAACGGAAACGAATCCAATGCGACGAGACTCGACCTGGATGTCAGAGGTGCAGCTCCAGAGGAGTCACCTGTGAAGGCTATGAGATTCGACTTCGCTGGGGTGCCGGTATCGCGTCAAGGGGCCGATATAGTGGGGCGGAGAAGCCCGTCAAGGAGTTTATACCACCGCCATCAAAGCGCCGGTGGGATCTGCGCGACAAAGGCGAGCAAAGAGAGGAAGGAGATCATCAGGGTCAGCCCGTGTTGCTATTTAGCTCGAGTTCTAGCGATGGTAATTTTGAGCCACTCATGACTTGCAAGGAATCAAGCTAACTGGATCATGTAGTCAGGTCGATGGCGCATTTGAATCAACCCGTTCACGAGCGACCGACGGTGAATATACTGAACGTACCGTACGGGGACAATCAAAATGACTACATACATATCAAGAAACACTTTGAGCTTCCGGTATCGATGAGGGATATTGAGAGTGCCCAGGAACATTTACTTGGAAGGAGATCAACTCAATATTCCAAGAATATGACAGGAGGACGCGCTATTCTTGCCTAAACGGGCTTCTGTATTGAAATTATGCTGGTGTTCATGTCATCGAACTGAGCTATAATAATTTATGAATCATGAACTTCATCCTCCGGATCAAATTCAATTGGCTTATCACGTAAACCTCATTACCTAGCCACCCCTCGACCCAATTTTCAAACCTTGTAGATCAACCGGCGGTTCTGCCGATCCGTCAGGTCCGAGAACGCGTTGGCTAAATCGCTCACTTCATCCATTTCTCCACTTTCCTCCATCTCGCGTCTGCGTGCGGCATTTTCCCTCGAATAGACAACATACAAAATCGAGAACAGGATAATGTTGACGATAAAAGCCGCAAGGGTCACAAAGACTCCAGTCGCATACTTGGGTGCCTGCCAGGAGAGGAAAGTTTGCGGCGAAATAATATTTGCCACGCAATAGGCTGAGAAGAAAAGTGTGCCGGTCATAGTCTTTTTGGTATATCCAGCGATGTTGGCTGCGAGGATTGAGTACATCATTCCTCCAGCTGCGGCGACAATCGGAATCAGGAAAATGGCGGCGAGATGAGCGCTCAGAGTAGATGGCTTCACGGGAACCCCATAGAGAATACCGCATGCAATTATTCCTGGAATGTAGCAGGCAATGATGGTGAACATTTGTTTGCCTTGTCCCCATTTTGATGAAATGAAGAAGCCGATGAGGATAATTGAGGCGGCCATAATAGCGCCACCGGGGATCTGAAGCAGCACAGCCTGGTAAGTGGTGTACCCGAAGCCCTTGATAATAATTCCGGTAAAGTTGGTCTGCAGACTGTTGGTCATGTTGTGGCAGAAGATAGCGAGCAACAACATCCACACGCGATAATCAGAGAGAGTCTCGATAACCTGGTCCTTCTTGTGGTGGGCGTTCTTGACACCGGTCCGGTTGTCCTTGAGACGCTGGACAGCAATAATTCGCTCTCGGTCTGAAAGCCATTGACAAGTAAGCGGAGTATCGGGAAGAATCCACCAGAGACTGATTCCGACAAGGACGGTCAAGGCACCGAAGATGATAAACATCCATTGATAGGGAAAAATGTTGTCAACCTAAAGCCCTCGTTAATATTCTGATCTGGACAAGCAAAAATCTCAGAAACACTCACCTTAATGTGTGCGATGGCCCAGAACAAAACACCTGCCGGAACTGATGCCAGTCCGTTGGCACTATACCAAAGACCGATGCGAGCTGCCTGCTCTTCTCTCTTCCACCAGGACGAAGAAATCAGAACGAAGCCGGGATTGAGACAGGACTCGAAGACGCCCAAGAAGAACCGGGCAGGGGCTAGTGTGGCGAAGCTTCGGGCGCTTCCAGTTGCAGCAAGAGTGATGCCTGTTTGGGAATGTTAATGGATGCCTTGCATATAGATCAAAAAATAAACGAACCCCAGAGGATGAAATTGACGGTCAAGTATTTGCCGGTAGGAAATCGTTGCATCAAATAATTTGTCGGATATTGAGCAACCTGCAATGAAAGTCTAGTGTCAGTTTCGAGAGTTGGTGGAGAATGTGGAAAGCTTTTTTCATACCAGATAACCAATGTAGAACAGAGTAATCAGCAAACTGTACTCTTGGCCTTTCAGGTGAGCTTCAGTGACCATGCCGTATGTTGCGGCATAGCTGATAGTCTTCAATAAAATTAGTATCTTGAAAGGGGTAGGCTGCGTGAGCACAGTTGCATACCAACTTGTCAACAAATTGAATTCCATTGACAATCAACATGACAGTCACCAAGCGCAGGTCAATCTTCCACCGCAACTGTCTTTCTTCCTCGGCAGTATACTCCACGAACTCGGTCTGAAGAATTTGAAGGGCCTCGTCTCCATCTTGGAGCTTATCTGCAAGCACTGCCGGTCGGGTCATTGGTGGATTCTCCAACTCAATGGCCTCTGCGCCATCTTTGCTTGTTTGTGCTGCCATTTTTGTTCTCAATTGGTTGAAAACAGAGAGTATAAGAACAGTGATTTTTCAGAAAAGCCCAGGTCTTTGCAAGAATCTGGAGAACCTGGGGAGCTTGGGGAAATCTGGGGAAGTCGTACCCACAGCCTTTTAACAAAAAGCTCCCATGGGCGGAAGTTCGTTTCACAGATGCTACGAACGCAACAAAATCACCTCGCCTAATTTCCGGATAGCGGGATAGCGCTTATCCAATATGCAAACTGTCGGAAAATCCCCATTAAAGAGCCCCTCCTGCACAGCTTGAGCACTGTCACCTGCTCCTCCCCGCGTTCCAAGCTGGAAGTGGAGCCGACGTTTTGCCGAGCATGCTGGCAATCTGGGGCCCCAGGAATCGATCTAGATCCTTTCCGGTCAGGCTTCAAGCCACTAGCTGAAGCTTCAATCGCAATCGGTAGTAGAGTCGGCTATTTTCTCGCTTATAAGTTCCTAATTTTGCGGCTAGGAAAAGCGTTCACCCTTGTCATGAATTGGAATATCTGTATGGTGAAGCAAAACTCTTCTCAAAAACACAAAATTTGTGTTCATATCGCTTATGACTTCAGTAAACCTTGCGACTCTGTGACACTGGCAGAAGAATAGCAGAATTGCTCAAAGTTACCTGATGTGGATCAGAGAGAAATTCAAGACCTGGGGAAGAAGGGTTGGCAGCATAAGGCTTAGCCGTAGCTTGACACTCGTCTCCACATAAAAAGCCCCGCAAGTTACGAAGATTGATTATCCGGACACTTATATACCCCTCCGCGCCTGGTAAATTCCCGTTAGTTGACCAAGAGGATTCCGCCTTGATTGCATCTTCACCCCTAGACTGTATCATATATTGGACACCATGACGAACGGGGACAAATTATCCATCAACGCGCCATCACTTGGCGCGAATATCATCGGGTCATTGGATCATGAGAACGATATTGCTCTTTTCCGCGGCATTCCGTACGCGACGGTGAACAAGCGCTGGGCTCACAGTGAGACATTGCACTCTTTCGACATTGACTTTGACGCGACGAAACTTGGATACCGATGTAGCCAACTAAACGGCATGGTACTGGTGTCGGGAGGAACCAATGATCCCTTACCTGGAGACGATGAGTTCAAGTGTCTAAATCTGAATGTCGCCGTACCAAAAGAATTCTTGGACTCGAATTCTAAGCCATTGCCAGTCATGGTCTGGATTCACGGGTGAGTAGCATCTAATTACCTGTGATGGGCAACTTGCTCTAACCTCTTTGATTCGTTCTTCTAGTGGCGGCTTTGCTTTTGGTGCGAATTCGGTCGCTCGATATCGTCCGCAGGCACTGGTCTCGCACGCACGCAAGTGTGGCACACCGGTGATCCTTGTTTCAATCAATTATCGACTCGGTGCTTTGGGCTTCTCGGCGTCCGAAGACTTGGCCGAAGAAGTCGGTGGTGGCTCCAGAACTCACCCCGTTGGCAATTACGGGTTCATCGACCAACGCAACGGTCTTGAATGGGTGAACAAGCATATTCAAGACTTTGGTGGAGATCCATCCAATATCACCGTCTTTGGTGTGAGCGCTGGGAGTATTAGTATTCACTTGCATCTCCTTGCTGAGCACGCTCTGTTCGATCGTGCTATCATGATGTCGGGTGCGGCTCCTGTTTTGAGTCCCAGGGAGCTGGAGATCTATCAGAGAGACTGGAACCGTCTGTGTGAGAACACGGGAGTTAAAGCCTCAACGGCTGCCGAAAGATTGAAGCAACTTCGATCGCTGAGCGTCGATGAGATTATGAAGCAGTCAACACCCGCTGCCATGGGCCCCGTTGCGGACGGCAAGCTCCTCAAGTCAGGATGGACCTATGAGGAAAATGTTTCCAACAAGCGATGCAAAGAAATCATCTTGGGAGACACTAATGTCGAAGCTATCATTTTCGATGGCTTGCTCAAGCGTCTGTCCCAAGATCGCTTCCATGAGTTGGTTAACGAGGCATTTTCAGTCGAAGATGCACAGCAACTATACCTCAAATTCGGGTTCAGCCGTGAGCCACAATCCGAAGAAGACTTCCGCAAAGCATTCAGGCTTCTTATTGGAAATGCTTTTTTCAACTATTCAAATGTCGGCATTGCCAAGGCTTCCGAGGTGTCTGACGCCTGGAGAGACAAGGTCTATCTGTATCACTTTGAGGAGCCCTCTCCATTCCCGGGTCCCACTCAAGGCATCTCATACCACGGTCTTTGCGCAATGCTAATGCATTTAAACGAGCTGCCAAATTGCCCTCCACCGACACAAGAAGTTGCCTTAGAAGCTGCTCGGATCTGGACCGCCTTTGCCCACGGAAACCAGCCATGGGAGCCATACTCTCAGAATGGTAAATTTATGCGCTTTGGTCCGGATGGAGAGTCAAACTTATATGATTTTGAAAGCGACAAGACGAGAGATTACAATTTCCAGACATGGCTTGGGGAACATATAGACCAGGTCGGCAGCTTCGTGGGGAGACTTGTGTTGAATTTGGAGAACGACGAGGTTTAGATAAAGCGCAGTTTTACATTGACAGAAAACATTTTCTCATATAATGGACTACCTCAACCCGGTAGAGTGAATACTTCAACCTCCTCCTTCCGTGTGAACATCTTACAAGTAGCAAGATTTCACGCGAGACAAAAAATTCATTGCCCGCGAGTCCCTCGGGGATTGTGGTGACATCTCCGATTTTGATGAACGTCTTCTCAGCCGGGCGACTATTGATCATGTTAGTCCATAAACTCGTTTTTTATCAAGTCAAACGACTTACTAGGTTTTGAGTTGAACCAAGCCACGGTCGGGACGATCTTGCGTCTCAAAATCGAACTCCTCCTCCGGCGTCCGAGGTGGATCCTCATTCTGTGTGGGTTCTGGAGTTTCAGTCGCCATTTTGATGGTTGATGGTTAGGGCTGTTGGTGTTGTAGAGGGTGTGTGATTGGGAGAAGATAGATAGAGAGGAGGTGCGAAACAAGATAGAAATAGAAAATGAGAGTAAGAGTGACAGGTAGAGACAAAAAGTGAGGTAAGACGGCCGAAGAGGCAGGATCATAATTTCAGAGCTGCTGCTCGTGATAAAGCTATGGCACACGTTGAACAATTCGATCAGCGAATTAACGGGCTTCTGGAGGCAAGGGCAGCTCGCACCCGACACAACACTGAGGGGGGCCACAGCAGGGAGACTGTCTGACACCTTCTAGAACTCTAAAGAGGACGGTGGTTCACACGAGAACTACAGTCTCGAGGTAGGTTCGAAATGGTAGTTCACATGTGAACTACCATGGTCATTAGTGACACCTAAACTATCCTCAATATGAGCATACCCATTATCGCCGAGAGTGTCCGGGTGGAAGAGTTCGCCCCTCGGTCTCCATGAGATGCCTCAGTTCCGCAACAGACGTCGTGAGCTCCTCCTCAGTAGGCATGTTGACGATCATCAGATAAACCACATCCTCCTGGAGAATCTTGAGCCGGCCAATCTGCTCTTTTTTTTTCCTTCTCAACTTATCCTTCCAGGGCTCACTAGGCGGCAATCCCTGCGCAGCCCGCTTCTTGTCTTGCGATTCCTTGATGGCCATTCCAGCTCGCTCAATCAGACCGGGCTTGGGGGTATAAAAGCCTCCGGTAAGCGTCGAGAGAAGATTTCCGTTGTTTGCTGGATGATTGGGATCATTGTATCTGGAAGTAAAGCCCTTCCTTCCAGACTCGGGGACGGCCAAAGCAGATCCTTTGTGGCTAGCTTCCTAGTTCTTGTTAGCACTAAGCTCAGTCATAAGAAACTAAATTATACTCACGAATTCTGCCTGCGACTTTCGGTCAATGTAATCTCTAACCCAAGTCCTGCCACTTGCAAGCTTTGACTTGGGTTCCTTGCCCTCTCTCACCCGCATCGCAGCTCGATCAATATCGGGGAAGATCAGTGGTGCGCACTCTGGAAGCTCGAGAGCACCATGAGTCCTGCCACTGACATCCCTGTAGTGTTTCATTTTCTTTGTCCAGGCAGTCATTTCCGGATGCTCCTCGCTGTGAGTGAACTTTGAGATTGTCGCGGCTGCATTGAACTCAAGTATATTACTCTGGGTAGGCTGAGTCGATGCTGGATTTACCTCGGACTTTGCACCTGACTGACTGACATTAACCTTCTCAGTGGAGAAAAGACCGCCAAGCATGTCAGCGAATGAACCCGAGGATCCCTGCTTTTGGCTAGGATAATGGTCTTTGAATTTCATGACCATGGCATATTGACCACGGGGCATGAACAACTCTCGGTTAACCTTGTCAAGGTAGGTATTGGTACGGTCGCGGATTTGTAATTGCATAGCTGTTTCGGCTACAATAGCAATGGCAGTGGCTGTTAACGCAACAGCCAATGAAGGAGAGAATCCGGTCACGTTGGCTGCGACAACGACGACCTGAAGCCACAAGGATGCCTATTGAATGGTCAGTGATTTGTCTTAGGATTATGGGAAACCACCAGGCGGAGTAAATAGAGGTCAACCAACCTGACTACTTTTGTGGAAGTCACTGATGAACTTCACGAAGACGTCTTGGCTGATACCACAATCGGCCAACACGGGCGCATATGCTCGCACGAATCCACGCTTCTTCGCGCCAGGTCTCCTTTGAGGAATGATAACAGGACAAGGAAGCCGTCGCACCGGCCCAGGTGGTCCAGCCATCTGTACAAGTGCTCGAACCATGGCCTCACGCTTCTTCTCCTTGGTTTCCTCAGAGTCATTCTCAGTCATTGGAGCGTGCTCACTCTCAGGATTTTGAGTAGCAGCATGACCGGACTGACGTTCCGCTTCCTCATATGCAGGTAGTTCCCACTGTTCGGCTGCCTCATCCAGCTGCCAGGCAGCCTCATCTTCGTCCAGTGAGCGCATTACATTGTCCCTGGAGTAGACCGAGCCGCTGTCTTCTCTATCCACATAGTCCGCCCCGGGATTATGGCTCTCTCGTTTCTCTTCGGCGAATTCTTGGGTTTGATCGTTGACCTGGAGCTCCAAGTACCCTGGGACCTTTGATTCGTCGGATCCCTCTGTGATTCCCCTGTCGATGAAAGCGTCGGCTTGTTCGCTATCGGAAACGACGTACTGGTCATTCTCCCTCCCCGTGCCAGGAAGCGAGCGAGGGGTCTCGGAGTTCGAGGCAGAAGTAGAGTCTGTTTTCCGATGACGGGCGGCATGAATTGCTTCAGAGGTGAAGCCAATGCCCGAACCAATCAGTCTGGCGAGCCCTTTACCCATGGCGACGTGAATTAAAGCTACAAGTGAATATGCAGGAAACTTCCCAAACCGATGGGGCACCTACGGGTCAATTACAGCCCTTTATAGCTCTTGGTAACAGCTCCTAAAAGGCTCTCACCCTACGGAGCACTTTCATTGAGATTCGAGATCCGGCGTGTGCGGGCGGCTGTATGTTGGTCTATCAGAGCACGATGCAGATCTCCAGTCCCGAGCTACATTAGACAACCCGTTTACAAGGGTAGAGTGCGAAGGGTCCCACTTTTCCTTCGTTCCGGGGCTGATGCTGGCTTTTGTGATTGGGCTGCAGGGGGACATGAATCCGCCCCCACGAGCACGAAAGGCTTGTTCGGTTGTTGAGATGGCACGGCAGATGTTCCTGTATGACAATAAATTTGCACCGCGTCAGCCAGTTCTCTGCGATAAATATTGGGTAATGCATATGCATACATTTTTTTCATTGGTTGTCCTCGCTTAATGAGACATTTGATTCCCATTATGTGGATGCTGGCATGATTTCGGCCCCCAAAAGAGGACCAGGTCTCATACCTCCAATAGTCTTTTACTGCGCCTTTCAAAGGTTGAGTGGGTTTCATCCTGCTCGATAACATGTAAAGCCAGGTGCGGGTTTACTCAGCTGGGTACCTGCAATGCTATCCTTGGTCTTACGTGGCTCGGTACTGGCAATATAGTAGAATTCGTTATTCATTTCCCGTTGGCATATTAAAACAAGCGGTTAACTAGGTAATCAGACTATTCTACACAGATAAAATATGATGCTCATAGATCATGTAAGTCTCAGATAGAGATCAAGTCCATGATACTTGGCGCAGCCTTTCCCAATGTTAGCTTGGACTCGAAACAGCGGACTCCACAGTCAAGGACCCATAGACACTTACAATGCTTTCTCCGTCGTCGTAGACTCCTTTGCTCTCTTCATTTGCTTGTTCAACTTCTTCGCGTCAAAAGGTTTCAACAGATTGAAATTGCACAAAAGGTCTTCCGACACGGACATGCTAGCTCCGCAATTGTCGAATTCTCCGCAATACTGAACCAACGACGTCAGTCGATGCCACTGGCACGATAAACTCAAACACGAAAGACTTACATTTGGTGCAGAAAACACCGTCACCAATGACTTGTTTCCGAAGAATTCATACCCGCCCTCCACAACCATATGTGACCGGCAAACCAAGTCCAAATCGTGATGTTTGAGGAAATTCACAATCGGTGCCTTTCCAAAACACCAACTCACCCCGCGATCATCATTCGGTCCCCAATCCTTGATGTTGGCGGGGTCGCTCCAAAGAAGATCGTTCAAAAGTCCGTACTCGGGTACTTCGACTGGTCGCGATATTTTCCGAATATCGTCCATGTTCGTGAGATTCGGCGAAAGACCGCCGTGAACGCAAAAGATCTTCTCTGCGACGATGGCAGCGATAGGCAGACAGTTGAAGACATCGGTAAAGGTCTTCCAGATTTTGATGTTACAGCGTCGCTTGCATTCATCGTGGAATCCGTAGATACGGGTGATGTTGGCACATTCGTGATTACCTCGGAGGACAAAAAAGTTCTCTGGGTACTTTAGCTTGTAGCATAGGAGCAGCAGCATCGTCTCCAGACTTTGTTTGCCGCGGTCAACATAGTCTCCAAGGAAGAGATAGTTGGTGGCGGGTGGGTGTCCGCACGTATCAAATAGGCGAACGAGATCTGGGAATTGCCCATGTAGATCACCGACAATCTGAATCGGTGCGTTTAGCTCCAGGAGAACCGGTTGAGAGAGAAGTAGGTTGCGCGCATTCGAGCAAACAGCAAGGATCTCCGCATTGCTGAGACAGACGCTCTTCGATGGTTTTGAATGTCCAACTTGGAGGAGTCGTGCGATCATATCGTCCAGATTCATCGATCTTTGCATGTTCTGGCGATCTCTTGAAGAATCATCCCAGATGATGGAATCGAGGTCGAGCGAATTGCTCTTTCGCAGTATTGAGACCGGCGGCTTCTTGGTCAAATTAGCTGCCGGGGGTGATTTCCCAGCCTCGGTCTTATCCGGTATTTGACCTGCTGCATCAATGTGCTCTGGGGGGCTCATCTTCTCGGTCGGCGTAGCTTGAAACGGTGTATCTGACCCTCGACGGGTCTCATCTTTGCTGGATCGGCGTAGATGGTTGCCACTCCTTTTCAGCAGATTGAGAAGAGAAAGACCTTTGGGGGAGCTCCCTTTGATGTGTCTTTCGCGGAAATCCGCATTGTTGGGGGTGCTGCAAGTAGAAGCCATATCTGTCTTGGCTGCTGCGGCTCAGTGAGGCCGTTGCTTTTCCAAGGATGCTGGTCACTTTTTTGAGTTTTCTTGGGTGTCCCTAGGCCTTTTAATCTTGAGATTTGAAGGAGGAATCTAGTTTTTGAGCGGAGGCCTGGGGTCGGCCCAGTATTATTGACATGGGTTGATGACTGTAGGCGTCCCGTTAGCAAATCGATCAGCTCCGTCGCATGTTTGATCAGATTTCCGCTCCTCCAGAGGGGCGGGCGTTATCATGTTGCCTGCTCCTCTGTCAGCGACCCCCGGAAGCGGGGTTGTACGAGAGTCTAGCTTCCTTGGCATCTCCTTGGCGACCAGGGTTGCTTTCGAATGGACAGTTTATTGCCTCTTACTTTTCATGTGATAACACTGAATTCATATCAGCCATTTTGACTAGGGTAGTTATCAACTCCGGGAGCTATCCCTAGATCCAAAGGTTAAATTGCTCGACGATTCACGATCATGGCTAGCAGATCTGTCAATGCCAGAAATAGGACCTCTAATTTTGAAGGAAACCGAATCGGTCGGAGAGGATAACCATTGACTCTACCGTTCAGCTTGTGTGGGGCGTTCCGAATGGATGATCATTTCGGAAAGTGGAGAAAACACAAATTCCTGAGAATCCTTGCTAACTGGCCACGGCGGGGACCAGAATTCTCCACTTGATGATCACATTCGACGAGTCAGAATAGATTCGCCTCCTTTATCGATCTGCTCATTTCCAAATTGAGGTCACTTGACCCTGGAAGCAGAGAGGCTTTCACTTGGAAAGAAATAGCGTACAAAATAGTCAGTCGGATGATACACAGCCCTGTGGGTCGTGGCTATTCCCCATTTTCCAGATTGTGGCGGTTTTTTGAGTCAATCACCTCTACAGTTACTCCTCTTTCCCCCTCTTATGATCAAAAGTACCAATGTAAACAGCTGCGAAAATCCCATAGCTATCCTTGCTTTTGGGGCATCGACCACTGCTCGCCGTTCATCATACCGGGCTTCTTTTCCTCCACGCGATGAGCAATGCTAGCTCCACTGATTAAGAGATACCATTGGACAGCTATGACGACACGACTTCTCTGCCTGGCCTGGAAACCCTTGACCGTGCTACGTTTGCAAATTTCATACGCAGATTCTGTCAATCCATCGAGAGGTGGGGACATTACCTCAAGATTCTGGTGTCTTGCAAAAAATACGTGGCATTTATCTGCTAGTAGAGCTAAATGTAATCTCGGCTATCTCGCCTCTCCTAGGAAAACACAACGACTTCAGATACGACTGCGGGTTTAGCTGGTTTATCATAATATGAATCAAGGAATATTGGAGGACCAAGTATTGCCTTATTCGGCCCTGAAGACGCCATCGTGAGCTGACTCTTGGGAGATTGGTTTCCCAATCGTTGGCTGTAGTAGACATCCAGTCAGAGATCCTTCGGTAGATAGCTTGGAATTGCCCCTCGCTGGATAGAAATTACAAATAGATGGAATTATACACATTGATAAACAGAAGGATAGAAATCTGTTGCTAATTTCATGTTTATGTACCTTTCAATCCCTGAACGTCATCCCTGCACGGACATGCACGTGTACATTCTACCATTTGGAACTCGCAAAATGTATAGTATAATCAGTCAACATGGAGCTATCAAGCGAAACTCAGATCCCGCATACTTTGTGGCTTTAATGGTGCTCCGTCCATGTTCACGTAACTCGTCACCATGGCAGAGTAAGATGATGCAGGGCGGCCCTACCGCCCCAGGTCTCACTCACAGGTCATGCTCCGGCGATAAGAATTTGGCCCATCGTCCTTCCACGGTACGAGGTTATTCCAGCGTCGGTTTCATCCGCGATGGTGCGCGATTTGTGAATAAGTGACTTGATCTTTCGGTCACGTAGTCATTTTGCTGCCCCGCAAATTACGCCTTGAATAGATCTAGACGCCTAGGCACTAAAATGAACTACCTCGAATTGAGCAGCTGAGGCCATATCGGGATATGCTAAGTGCGATGGGGTATTCCTTTGTCACAATCAAACGCTGACCAGTTTCTTCCAGTCAAGGCAACCTTTCTGTCTAGACAATGTTTCGATGTCTTGCCGTAGATAATACCCCGGAAGGTCGTGTTTACCATGGAGACTTTATCCTCATCTCTGACACTTTCACCGTTAAGACGTGAGATTCACAGTGAGGGGCTGCGTCGACTTCACCAGCCTTCATTATCCACAACTAAGCCATTGACCGAGGAGACCGACTGGCTACTATGATAAGACCTGTGGAGATACCGGTACTGGTCTTACCAAAGACGGCATGAGGATATAATAACGAACAGGATCTACTGTCTCGAATTGGACCCATATTGAAAGGCATATCTTGGGGAGGATACTGTGCGAGGGTGCGTGTGAGAATTTAGGCTGCGAGGAGGCGAGTCCACGAGGACGCAGTTTTCTAGCAGGCCCAGTTCTGAGACTATATGCTGAGAGTTCAAAGCGCTGGAACAATAATATGATGACAATGTTGAAATATATGAATATGGACCATTTCATCCTTAACTGATTTCGAGCAATATCGACGGTATGTGACGGGGCATGCCTGGCACTAGGAATATAGATCTGCCCGGGCACGCGGGCCACTCGCACCAATAGATCTAGACGTCAACTCGGAAGCTTCAAATATATATCTTCAGCTTTTTCGAGGACTTTTCTTCCAGAATCCCAATTCTAAACACATCTTCAATCACAATTCCCCAAATACACACCCACCCGGTTGGAATATCGGTCATCGGCATACGCGGACTTCGAACACAACAGCGGCCTCTCATTCGCAGCCGTGGGCCCTCCACAGCAATCAACTAAACCCAAAAGGGGGCCAAATCGGATCTGTAAGATGAAACGCTCCTTCAACAGCCTTACTCTCACGGTGATTGGAACAAATCAAAAATGAGTGGGGTGATTAATATGCCAAAACGTCCCCCAAGTTCCAACACTCACCTTTCCTCCGCGAGCCTTCCTCTCCTCCGCGTTCCCCATCCCGCGTCCAGATGGCGGCGCCCGCATACCCCGATCCCGCCAGCTCCCTCGCTGCCCAGCGATCCACTGTCAACGGAGTTCCCCCACGCCGCCGTCAGACCAAGCACGTTGTACCAACAGCTCCAGCTCCAGCTCCAGCTCCAGCTCCGGCTCCAGCTCCGGCTCCGGCCGAACCCGCGTCTAACGGCCGTATACGACACGACAATGTCCAACCCACCCACACGCGCAAGAAGCCGCGCTCACTCTTACGACGCCTGAAAAGGCGCGCGATCAAGCATACCTGGTCTATCCCACTACTCTTGCTCGTCGCATTCGCCTCGCTCTACGCCCTAGACCCGACCGAGTCCAACATACTCCACCGCTTCATCTTCCTCTCCTACCGCCAGGACCCGGCCCCGGGCAGTGTCCCGGGTGCCGCAGCACAATATGGCAAGGGCCTATGGGATATCGCCTTCGTAGCCTTTTACACGATCGTATTAACCTTCACCCGCGAATTCATCATGCAAGAACTCCTGCAACCGCTCGCGCGCGTCGCGGGCATCAAATCCCGCGGCAAACAGCTGCGGTTCATGGAGCAAATGTATACGGCGATCTACTTTGGGATTTCCGGCCCAGTCGGCTTGTATGTGATGCGGCAGACGCCGGTGTGGTATTTTAACACCAGGGGCATGTATGAGTTATTTCCGCATCGGACGCACGAGGCGGCGTTCAAGTTCTATTATCTGTTCGAGGCGGCGTATTGGGCGCAGCAGGCGCTCGTGATGATCTTGGGGATGGAGAAGCCTAGGAAGGATTTCAGGGAGCTGGTCGCGCATCATATCGTTACTTTGGCGTTGATCGGGCTGAGCTATCGGTTTCATTTCACGTATATCGGTATTGCCGTGTACATCACGCATGATATCAGTGATTTCTTCCTAGCGGTACGTGACGAACTAACTGCTTTTTTTTTTCCTTTGGTCTCTGGTGGTTCCTCCTCGATTTCTAATTTGTTATGGGGCCACAGGTCTCCAAATCCTTCCACTATATCGATTCCGAACTCGTCATCCCCTTCTACGCCCTTAATGTCGGCACCTGGATCTATCTGCGGCACTACCTGAACCTGCGCATCCTCTGGTCGCTATTGACCGAGTTCCGCACCGTGGGTCCCTACGAATTAAACTGGGAGACGCAACAGTATAAATGCTGGATCTCGAATATCATCACTTTCGCTTTGCTGGCGATGCTGCAGAGTCTCAATCTCTTCTGGTTGTATTGTTTGCTGCGCAGTGCGTGGAAGTTTATCTCGACGGGGGAGAAGAAGGACGATCGGTCGGAGGATGAGTCGCAGGGAGAGGAGGTTGTGGGCAGTCAGAATGGGGCTGCGAAGGGCCATTAGGCTTTTTTGGTGAGTCTCTCCATGTGGAGAGAGGGAGACAGAGGGAGAGAGAGAAATGTTTCGAGGCAAAGCTCTTTTTGGCAGTTGGCATTGCCGACTGGGGCGCAATTGTCGACAACAAGGTTGTCGCCCTTGCATTATTGCATAACGGACTGCATGAAGCGATACGGGATACGGGTCGTCCCGAAACCATGGTTCAAAATTGAGCCGATCACCACGTTTGGAGAGTCTGGGCATGATCGACCGAGGGGAGTGCGGAGTCGGCATTGAACAGTAATGTACAGAGTACATTCATCGATCCCCACGCTTCTGTATAATACTTTGCATATCGTCTACATGTTTCTATATTAATGTCTAATGCCTAATGAAGCACATACAAACACGGCACACATCTTGTAATTGAGGTATTCGATAGCTCTCCCATTAGGGAGGCGTGTTTCCATTCATCCCGAGGACATCATCCAATCCATAATCAAGCCCGCGGCTCTCTAACGAAGCATCTAATACCGCTGTAAAAAAAGTGCAAGTATCTGCAGCAAATCGAAAGTCAAAACGCCGAGGCCCATATGTACAAAAAATATGAGAAATGATTGTAGAGCCCAACGCCGAGGTCCCCATGTATCGAAGCTCCCGAGGCTTCTCTTCCGGAAAAAAAAAAGTGCAAATGTGCAAAGACAATGGCTGGGAATGAGAGGGTGGTCATCACTATAAACAGAACAGGAAAAAATGCAGGTAAATGAATGCAGATATAGACATGTAAAAGGAGATCGCGGGTACGCAGGTAGGTAGATGGGAGGGATAGGTATTTTCAAACCAACCGCTCTTCCTGCCGTGGTACATCGTACCGCCGTGATGTTGAGCTGTCCGAGTCACTGATCGGGATGGATGGTAGCGTGGGCTGCACGGTATGACCGAATGGCTGTTGCGGTGCCTCGGTGATATCCTCTGCGGATGTTGACCGGGTAGACACGGGCTCCCAGACGTTTCCACGGGATGCCATGTGGCCATCCTCGACTTCGAGATTCTTCTCCAGCGGCTGGAGCTCGGTGATCCGGCGGTTTTCGACCAGGACGGTGGAGGAGCGGTTATCGGCGAGACGGGTGTACTGTTCGGCGGGTTCTTTGAGGGTGACGACGTAGTAGAAGCCGATGAGGAAAAAGACGAGGAGGGCGAGGGAGAAGATGGCGTTGAGGAAGAAGAAGAGGACTTCCATAACGCCGCCGACGAGTTCGGGGACGTTGAAGACGTTGGTGAAGAAGAGGAAGAAGATGGCACTGAGGAAGTTGAGGACTGTGGCGATGATGGCGAATACGTTGGCCGTTTTGTTCATGTAGGGTCTAATCACGCATGTGGCGACCAGGAAGGCTGCTTCGAAGATGAGGAGGACGATGGCTTGAGCGAGGGGGTTGGATTGTCCGAAGGCGATGACGAGGCCCTTGGCGAGGGTGTAGAGAAAGAGCGGGACCATGAAGTAATAGGCTTGCGCTCTGTAGTTGACATATAAAAAGCCCCAGCGGGTGAGGCAGACGGGGTCGGAGTAGAGAGTGTAGGCGGGGTTTTGTCGGAGAGTTCGTGATAGTCGGGCGCGTTGGAAGACCTTGAAGATTGCCCAGCAGAGCAAGACGGTCATGGTGAGCCACATGCAGATGGCGAGGACGATTTCGGCGGCCGAGTCTCGGTGGATCAATTCCCACAGACCGAGGGCACAGATTTGCGGATATCCGATCGCAGCCAGTCGATATAGACTGCCGCGCATAAAGTCCTTCCAATCGGACGATACGACCATCGTCCGCTCCATCTTTGCGCTTTTCAATTTCCGGGCCAACCGAGGGAGCACCAGCTTGAGGAACAAGATCACCAAGAGGAACGCCACTGTCACAAAGTAGAAGAACAGGTAACTCGTCATGAAGATGTTGGTCGGCTCGATGTTAATGCGGAAACCCACGCGCTCGATACCTCGAACCTCGACTTCTCCACCACCCACCGTCATATCCGTGGTGCGGGCGACCAGTGATCCCGGCACGTACGAGCGCTTCTGCATAATCACCGAATACTCATCGGTATGGGTGAGAATCGTAGAGGGAGTGCCACCCGTCGAACGCTGAAACCAAGTACAAATGGTCTGCAAGAACTGAGCGCCCACCAACCCCATCGTCCACTGCCAGAGCTGCGTCCATGATTGCACCAGTGGGCGCTGGCTCACGGCCGTCATCCCCCACATGGCCTGACTTTGCAAAAAGCCCAAGAAGAGTAACGTGCGAAAAGCGACGTGAGTTGCGATATTAGCGTGGCCGAGAATAGATACAACCACCGTGGAGAGAAGTCCTAATCCTACCAGAACGGCCATCGCCCAAGCCACGCCGGCTTGATCGACGGTCACACCGTTGTTGACCCACGCTTGGACACAGGTGACTTTGCCGCCAGTATCGGCGTCCATAATTTCCAGGCGGGCCAAGGCATCGATATCGGGGACACTATATGCAATACCTATGATCGGGGCGGATTCTCATGTCAGTAAAGCATCATTTGGGGATGATCCGGCGGGATCCGGATATTCCTTTTTTTTTTTTAAAAAATTGTCGTGAGCGACCAAGCACGAGGGTTGCCGATCAGATAAGGCTCTCTCCCCAACACGGAAATCGAAACTCACCCGGGATGATAGACAAGTCGACGCCCGAGAGGTCGATCGGGACATTGGCGATTTTCAAACCGGTATTTTTTTGCAGTGGGCATAGCGCATCGACATTCAAGGTGCATGGATCGAATGATTTGGTGATGGCTTTGTAGCCATAGACGTAGAGTTCGAGAACGATACGGATTTTGCCGGCGTAGGTGGCCTGTCCATCAAAACTGATTGACGCACTATTATTCCCCGGCGTGAAGACGATATCAAAATGGTTGACCGAAATGATTCCATCATTCGAACATGGTACGAGAGCGTGCGATTGTAGCAGCTTCTCGGCGGCAACGGGCGGGGCCAGACTGAGAGCGAAGCAGCCAGCGGCCAGCCAGCGCGGAAACCGCATGGTGGAAGTTGACGATGGGCGAGTCTAGCCCAGGACGGGCGAGAATAAAGAAAAAAGCGAGAGCGAAAGTGCCGTACGATAAAGCGAGTGGTGGTCGACAGCAATGACGGGTGATGGGTGATGGGATTATCTGGAGGTCGGTGACGGGATGTACGCCATGATGGGCTTCGGGCAGGCGGTAATAATTGGGGGTTGGGATCGGGGGCAGCGCGCGCCCGAGCAAGGCAGCAGCATCATATATAATCATATAATAATAATTACCGGGAAAAAAGGAATCAGGCTGGGGCCGTGGGGGGGTGGATTGGTGGATTGGTGGGATCAGCAAGGAACGGGCGTCTAGAGCCGAACAAATAAGACACCCTGAGACTAACGCCATACGGCCCTTTCTTCTCTGGGAATATCAATCCAAATAAAATATGCACGAGAGTCGATTATTGTCTCGTCGTATAAGACAATAAGACAATAAGACCAGTCATCGTATACTACACGAGACAGTACCATTCAACACTGCCACTTTCACCATCCCCCCGGTATGTTTCAGTGTCAGATGGAGACTCCCCAATCGCTTTGTTCGGGGGTTCTCATCGGAGCCCTGGAGAGTTCCAAAGCTGAGTTGTCAATCACGACATCACTCGGCTAGTAGATCGTACAGGTAGCGAAGATCAATGAAATCAGATTGATCCCAATGCCGAACGAACCATAATCTATCTTGTTTTTTTGTTCTCCGAATCCCCCAATTCCCGGTTTCCCATTCAGCCACACCAACCACGCACCCCGAGATATGATTTAACGATGGCTTCTCCAGCGAGGTATTCATGCATATTGCTATCCCGTTACTGAGGTATCCCACCCTTATCGAGTGACCGTATCTCCAAATCGATCGTTGCAGACCCTGAATCATTTCCCGATCGGCCTCTCTACTTGATACACTGATGTCATCCACCGCCTTTGCCAAAGATCAGCGGTCCTGCGGGCAACACAAATGCAGAACGATAAACAGTTGGTCGACGTCACCGTTGCCAGTCGTACGTAGTGGAATAACGATCATCATGCTTATAGGTTCGTACGATATTCTAAAAGCATAAACTGACATGAACGTGCAAAAGACAAAACTCTTCCCCCTCTTTCTAATTTGGCAAATCCCGCACTGCAATCCCGGAATGGGTTTAAATCCCCATGTGGCTCGACCACCAGAGGGTAATTGTAATCTTCCGTCAACGCCGCGGGCATCCGATTTGGCCGTGTTTGGTTTGGCTCCGGAGGTCTCGGGCCTTGGGGGAGCCGAACGAACCGTCAGGCTAAACAAAGCGTAGCGGGAGTTTGAGCACAAAGGGCAGTATTATGTACAGTATTAATGAGAAACCCGTCGTATCGATATTAATAGAAACATGAATAAGATACGACAACGTGCTTCCATGGAACGATCTTATCCGACCGCAGAAGAATCACCAATTGTCCCAGATAATCCACACACAACCACAGCATTCTACACCAATAAAAAAGAAATTTATCTCTGAATGATAATATGATTATCTCCAAATCTCATTATAAACGTCAGTCATGGAGTAGTCGTAATCTGATGTCGTGCTCGTCCGCAAAGCAAGTCCCTGAATGGCTGCTGCAAGGACAGAGAAAAAAAAAATGCCAGTCTCCGCTTCCTAGGCCCATGGCGCCTGCGGTGGAGCTAACTCGGCTAGTGAGCTGCATGCACATACTCCGTAGTACAATAAGCCCAATCTCGCCTCCCTTCGCCTCGAGGGTTGTCTATTGTCTACTGTCTAGCCTGGTGTAATGACCGAGCTACGGTATTTTTCTCCATCTAGAGTGATAGTGAACGCAGGATAGGGGTCTAGGGGCTAAGGTAGTGAAGGCACTTGGATAGTCTAGCCGAATCTTCAAGGGTACTTATTATTTAGTGACATTTGGTAGCTTCGCTACTCCGTACTGTACTAAATTACCAATCATATTGGTATCAGTACTGGGGGTTCAATGCCCCCGACAAGTCAGATTATAACACCGAGCGACAGCTTGAAGCTTCTGCTCAACGACTTTACAGCAGAAGAGAATTATTACCCCGGCACTCCGAGCTGGAAATGGTCACTTCATTAATTCAGTTACCAAATGTGGCTATCCCCCGCTTACTACAGTCCTCCGTACTCCGTACAGAAATAAAATGGAAATCCTCACGGTACTACGTTACCCTACGGTGCTTACCGATGTCTCTCCTGAAGCCCGGCACCTGCGGCCCCCAAGACCATTTTTACGTGCGGAGAAGAGAGACACTTGGCACGAGCCCTGACAAGCTAACAAGTTCTGACAGGTTACTTAGACGGTCATAACGCTGACTAGTCTCATGTAGGTATCTGTAGTTATTGCACGTATTGTTGATTCATTGGCCACTGAAGTTCGGTGGTTCGGTGGTGCTCGCTGCGGTGCCGCGCTTTATAGTTACTCCGTGATTTTCTCCGTTAGAGTGTTGCGTAAGCTGGTGATGGAGGTGTGACCCTGAATGACAGGCCTGTGCGAGGCTGACTAACTCGTTGAGGGGTGGACAGCCTGCTTGGGTTGAGGATTTGTTGCTCGTGCACTCTTGAAATGTATTTTGGCCAAGACTCAAGGGTGGGTTTGGATAGCCTGGTGTTTTATGTGGGAGATCGACGGAGATCTACTCTATAGGTATACACTGGATGTTTACCCAGCGCCATTCCAACTGGAACGGCATTGCTTGATTTCCAAGTAACAATAAATCACCTAAGTGTATGCATAGTAATATCTAGCAGATGCAAATGTACAATCCCAACTCCGGGTCCACATCTCTATACACCCTCCTACGAAAACCGCACACCCTGACTAGGATCCCACGTCGCCGTCTTTCCCCTCCCCGCCGCCGTCGCAGGTCCAGCATTCGCACCGGGCGGTACACCTGCCGAGTCAAATCGAATGCCCATCTCGGGCGACCACATGCCCGGCATCGGAACTGAGGGTGGGGCAACCGCGGCGCGTACTGGTTGCGGCGCGGTCAGGGGTGCGGCGGTGGCCGAGGGCCGGTGGGAATGCATCTGTACAGGGACTGGAGCAGGAGCCGCCAGGGGTTGAGGGGCTGTTTGAGCGGGGACTTGTGCCGGTGCCTGGACTGGTGGTACGCCTGAGTAGGCAGAGGGCTGATGGTGTGCATGGGTTGGCTGGGGGGAAGCCTGGTGTAGGTGAGGCTGAGAGAGGCGCAGTGAGGCCATGGCGGTCACGTTGGAAATGTCTCTGTAAGACGTGAGGATGAGTATTGGATACGCTCTTTCTGAAACGAGTAATTTGTTTCGGGGAATGGGAGAGGTTGGCTTACGCTTCCAATTGACTCGCCTCCATACGACGCTGATGCACGAAGGCTTTAGCATCGTCGCGGAAGCGGCTGACGATTTTTGCGAGGTCATTGTAGAACTTGCGGCCGACGTCAAGGTTCGAAATGATCTCCTTATACTTCAAGTATCCGTTTTCTAGTTCTTGCAGGGCGGTCTCACGTTCCTTGTTGGAGGTGTCTCCCTTGTGCGCTCGGGTGAAAGCATGGTTGGCTTCACGGACCTGCTCGGAGAGCTGCTCTTGGTCTTGTCTTTCCTGTGCAAGCATGTCGACGTCGGAATCGTACAGTCGTAGACTATCTTCGAAGAGATTCTCAAAATGGCCGGCTTGGATGGCCTGCATCGGGAACTCGCGTTCCAACCGCGCAGTCTCCTTCAACAGAGCGGGGTCTGAAGATTTTACAGTCAGTGATTGTCTGGAAACATAGTATCAGGGGAGCATATGCAGAGATAGGGTGTAACGTACGGATATCATCTGCGCGGGCTTTATCTTTCAGGGTCTGAATCCGCCGGCGTCGGCGATTTTCCATCCGATTGACCTCACTCAAACAGCTTCGCAATTTGATGGCCTCCCGTTCTACGTCTGGAGGAATCGCAGCCCTGCGGCTACTGGGCACGTAAGACTCGAGATCTCGATTTGTGCCCGTCAAGACACGGAACACGGCCTCGGAATCACGTAGCTTACGCTCGACCAGGTCGTCACTGCTCTGAGCAGAGGTGAAATAGCCGTTGATCTCTTTCAACGAGTTGTAGATCTTTGGCGCAGCAGCCTCGGAAGTCTCTCGTGCCCATCGCTCGGTGCCATACTTTCGTCGTGCTGCATTATCCTCTGCCTTTTCAGTTGCTAGTAGCTCGACACCTTCGTTGTATATGGATCGGTCGTTGAACTTGACTTTGGCCGTGTCCTCGACCGACCGGCGCAGGCGATTCAAGCCATCTTGCTGCCGCATCTCCTCTGCATGAGAGACTACAGTTCCTGGAACACCGAGAGGCTTTTCCAGAGCCTGTAGCGAGCCTGGGAGGTTGAGTGATGACAGCAAACTAGTAATTCTGTTAGCTCGAGTTCCATCTCAGTTCCTGCAGACCAGAAATCCCAGACATACTCTCTCAACTTGTCAGTCATAGACTCTAATTCCCCAATCAGGGTCTCATTGACCAGTCTGTCTCTGCGATCCGAGTAGATGCTTGCCGCAATATGCACAGCATACGGTACCAACTTCGAAAACAGGGGCTGACCTAATGGACCATTCTCTCCAAGCATCGAAATAGCATCAGTCACCTGCGATGGCGCCTTAGAAGCCACCATGCAGGCCCGCTCCAAAGTCTTGAGCTCGGACTTTGGAGGCACGGGACTCAGATATATAATATCGTTATCTTTCTCGGCGCGCTTCAAATCATCCGCAACACGGCTCTTCAACCCGTTCAAATCACCGAGCACTGTCTTGCTAATCCACCGCGACTCCTTCAAACCCTCATTAACGCAGTTCAAGCTGTCGCGTAACCGCGCAACCTCTTCTCCATACTTGCGCTTCTCTAAGCAATCCAGCGACTGCCGGTATTGCGCCGCGGCAGCAAAGTGATGGTGTTTAGCCGACATGTGGTGGATCCACTCTGTGCTGATGGCGTTGGACTTGACAGCAAAATCACCCGCATCGGCATAAAAGTCGGAAACCTTTGCCGCAAGCCGAGCGATTGAGGCATCTTTCAGTCCATCCTTAACAGCCTTTTGCCAGAAGCACTCCTGTCCTTGTGCTAGCAGGAGCTGCTCCAGGCTCCGCAGTGTCATCTCGTCCATATCTTCCGGCGGGGAGGAGCGAAGATCGGGGATTATGTCTGTTCGAAGGTGGGCCAGAACTCCGGCTGCTTGGCAGAGATAGTTACATGCCTGCTTGAGACCATCCGCACTTGTCCGGTTCAGTGCGTATGCAAGTTGTGAGTATAGGGCGGCAAGGTTGAAGAGGATATTCGCCAGCTCGAAACGTAGGTTGTTCTGGGATACTGTGTTCCGCAACCAGTCAGCATAATGCTCGAGGGATGAAAGACAACCCCACTAAGCTCTCACTCACCAGGCCGCGCAGAATTAAACCCCAAAGCGGGATACCACGAAAAGTCAACCCCAACCTATAACACAAAATACCAGTCAACCACGAAACCACCAAATCAAATCATCGGAGACAGCGGGAGAATCGCGCACATCAATTGGGAATTTCCCACCAAGCCACTTCAACTGCGCCGCATACGTGACCAACCGACTAATACCACTAATATGCGGTTCTTGAACATTAACAGCTTCGCTTCGCAGACGATCAATGATCATCAGATCGTCCGCGAACATGTCCGGGCGCTGGTCATATTTGGACGAGATATACTGCGTGATCGCATCGGATAGCGAGACGGTGTGAGACCGGCGGAACGGGAGTTGTAAGATATTGCTAGACAAGAGAAGATGGGTATAGGGTTAGGTTTGTATTTGATGAAGCTTGCCATAGCGGTGATTGACTCACGATGTCATTGTCGAGATAGGCGGGGTGAGGGGAAGAGGTCAGAGGCGGAGTTGGTCTGGGCGAAAAACGAGAGTTCGTTTGTTGACCGCGAGACGTTGCTGCAACCCCACCGGGCAACGGGATGACGTGTGGATAGATAGCCTAAGGCAGCCACTCGGCATGGCGCACGAGATCTACGGACACGAGGTAGATCGGCACAGAACGTGGGCTATTGTTCATTCTGTTCTACTTTGAATGCTACAGATTATACTCTCTACAAGAAGGATAGTTCTTTGCAGCCCCAGCGGCAATCTCGTATTTGCTGATGAGCAACCATGGCTCATCTACGTAGGTATGTACTTGAACAAAAAAAAAGGCGTATCTCTAGGGAACAAGTACGAATGTGGCAGATAAGAACGACCCCTTCATTAGGGTGGTCGATATCTCATCATGCCGGCCGAGGCCCCCAACATGTCCTTCAGTTGGGCAACTGGTCAATTCGAGCCTTGATATACTCGAAAAGACTGAGAAGGATCATGTTGTTGACCCCGGTCCGAACCAGAATGATGGAGATGCCTTTGTACATGCTGGATTTGGCGACAGCCACGGAGGCCTCGCCGATCTCCTTCGTCTTTCCGAGCAGCACGCTCTGCGCTCGGGTCTTGCGGGTGTCGAGGGGATAAGTCTATAGTAACGAATATGACGATTAGTATGCTCTCACCGATGATTCTCTCTTGACCATTGATCGGGATGATAGGAAGACTTACGCAGAACCAAGGGATGGTGCTGCAGATTGCCCCGGCAATCGCGGGTGCGCCGAGAGGGGACTGGTCAGATCCGATCTCGTGGGCGGCCACCTGCTTCACGGTCTCGTAGATCCCGAAGTACATGGCCGTGCCCACCGTGTCACGCAGAGCGTGCAGGTGGAAGCCAGTGTACAGACCACGGACACCGTGTCGCTTGATGATCTGCTGGATGGCCTCGACAGTGCCGATGCGAGGCTTGCGGCGGAGGGATGGGTCACGAGCAGCCCCAGGAGCTGCTTGAGCTCGGTTGGAAACCAGGACGGAGGTCTGTACCACATTCTTGGCGAGCTCAAAGGGACCTGAAAGTTGGTCACATTGGACGTGAGTATTTCAAATAGACCAAGGCGAGTGTTTAAAATGGATTTCTTACATGCAATCGGGGCGGCCACCAAACCAGCAAAGGCACCAGCAAGCGAGAAGGTCAGAACGCCAGCCACAGTCGGGATGCTTCCGGACTTGTCGGCAATGGGATATGTGCCGGTGATACTCTTGACAATGTCGGCAATACCCTCCTTGGCATAGTTGTAAGAGGTGAAGTTCAACACGCGGACCGCGGTCACACTCGCCAGCGGAGGAAGAGCACCTGAGAAAGTGATCAGTATATCAGACTATTCATGCAACTTTCGAGTACCAGGGGATTTTCCAGAAAGTTCGATTAGAGGTATATGAGACGAAAGCGGCATCAGACGAGAGAGACAGACTTGCAATGAAGAGGACTAAAAAGGTGAATGAATAACAAGGTCAGTACATACCTGCGACATAACCACGTGGTCCTTCAGTCCGCCAGAGATACCGGGCACACTGGAAGATGTTCTTGAAGTTGTGGCTAGCGAACACATTTTTAAATCAGCTCAATCGCTCGAATATAAGATATTCAAGGGTAGACTCACGTTTGCATGCGCGTCTTCACATTTTCCAGAGGAGTCTGCAAGACAAGGCGATCAAAGTCAATATTAAGCGTGAGGACAGCCCGCCGACACCGTAGAAACCGGGGACGCTCCAGATCCTGAGAGGATGATTTGCACTCACCACCGCCAGAGTTGCGCAGACGGTCGAGGTCGCCGAAGCCACCTGGGTCTTGTACTTCTTCAAGAGTCTGTTGCGAGTGGATTCATCCATGATCCAGGCGTTGCTGGTGGGCATGATGGCGGGTGTGGGGTTGGAAGTTGGAGAGAAAGGAGGAGCATGTTCAGTTCGTTTGCCAACAGTCATGCCTTAAGAAGTTTCCATTGGACGGGGCAATGACAGGTTCTGGACAACGGCGTGTGTTCTTTCCTTCCCGATCTATTCAGCTTCTATAGGTTTCAGGGCACAACTCTCAGTACTCGACGATGCGATCGTTGACCGTGACAGGCTGGGGAACCTAATGGAACGCAAAGCGGCCTCTCAGAAGCACTCGGAGTAGACCGTTCGGCGTCCCACAATTCACCATCTACTAGACTGGTAGCAGTCTGGAGGTCTGGATCGATTGATACAGATATGACCCCAAAGGATCTATAATCTGTGCTTCGATTGTTGTCTCGGACGTTGTCTTTCGGGCAGTTCAGGCGACGGGATGTTCTCGGCTATGGAGGGCGGAACGAAGCACGGCAAGTGGATGGAGGACCCCTCCGCGGCGACAGCACAGGTAGCGCAACCTCTGTCGAAGCAATTGATTGACCGTCGGGAATCAATAGGAGCAATCTCAGACGAGTTCCTCTGTACCAGACAGAAGGCAGTCGAAGTCGGATTGGTGTGATTCACTGCGGTGTCTCTCCCTTTACGAATGGGGGGGTTGATGGTTGATCTCAGGAAGCTGAAAAGCCGATCGGTTAGCGTCCGACCTTCATCCAGTGGCCCGTCCTTCCCCGTGACCCACTTCACTGCAGAGACCAGCGAATCCCCCAAAAAAGAAGACAACCTACTGAAGCCCAGTGCCCAAATTCCCAGATACAACGAACCCACTCACAAGAGCAGGGAGATGAAGAGGGAGAAGAGGGCTGCCAAAATGGCATGTGGACCGAGCTTAGCAGTCGTTCTCGAATGGGTTTAGGGCCTGACCAAGTGACGTCGACGTGAAGTTGCACGGGAGACCCCACCAAAGTCGCCATAAGACGGTGTCCATAGCTGTCTCCAAGCATGGTATGTGTTGAGGTGATCAAGATTGAAAGACTACTTCTATGGCTGCAGACTGCGACATTTGATCCTGGCCAACACCATACTTTTGACGGTCTGCTACGCTTCATCGAGCTTCCATTGAGGCCCAATGTCGAGAGAAAAGGGACCATGACAGTGGTACATACTTCCCCCCGGTCGCACTCCGCATTCGCCAACCGGTTTTGGCCATCTACCCCCAGACGATCGGCCGTAATGCAAACTACTCTGCATGATCAAGAAGAGAGAAAAAAAGACAGGTCACTATGGGAACAACTCGCCCGCCTCCATCAACGAGTAGCGAGTCGATCGAAGCTGTCAAAGGGAAAGCCAAAAAGCGCATTGAGTAATCCGTACTGGAGCGATCTTTCCAGAAACAGCTGTAGGCCGATAAGGGCCAGCCCGACCATGGGAGACAGGCCAGAATCCATCTGATCTCCATTTTCAGAGCTGTTTCTCCTATCTCTTGCGGGAAGACTGTCCTCCGATCGTGCAATGATAGCTCTCGCAGGGATATGATCCCTGGCCACCGATCATATTTTGCGTTCGCAGCCCGCCAATGGAGGATGCCGAGCCAAACCTTAGGAGGAATGACCGGCATGGGACTTGCTTTTGATTATGGTAATATTGTGGGGATTGCTCCAGGCTCTCGTGAATGGATTATGAACGAACGAGGTGCTGGTTTGGAAACAGCCCGCCGATCATGTAATCGGTCGGGGCTTGCATGGCTTCCCCAGACGAGCTATGAAGCTGGGTAGGTGGTTGGGCCAAATGGCCTGGATGGCAGTCGCCTGCTTCAGAATCAACCTGATTCCCATAAATACCTAGCATATTTTATAGAGTGACACTGCGTGAGAAAGCCCCCGCTGTGATTATAGATATAGCATACCTCCTGCACCTGCTTTATTACCATCCTTGGAACGAGGAATGTGGGGAGGCTGGGTGTTTCAGTCCAGTGTCAGGTCGAAAAAAGGGAGTTGGATTACATTGATATCGGTAATATTATACTATGATCATTGACCGTAGCCCACAGAGACTGAGTATGGATCGTCGCCTGCAACTCGCTCACCATTGACACGTGCACGTGATAATCGCCAGTTGAAGGACACATGCCTTTTTGTACGTGATAGCTTCCGAACTTCATATAGCCTATCACTTATGATTTCCAAATATGAAACAAAGAACGACGATCTCCGGGGAATTAGTATTATGCACCACCGATTTTGTGCAACTTGGAGGAACCAATTCGTTCAGCCGCCCTCGGGCCCAGCTTCCTCGGGACCTCGGCCTCTCCCCGCAAACCCCAGCTCTTTCTCCCCACTCGTGACATAAATGGACCTCCTATATAGGCTCCCTGTTCGGACAAACTCCTAATCCACGACTAGTTTCTCCAAAAAAAAAATACACCTGAGCCCTCCTATACACTATACTCACATCCGACACAATGGTCAAGAAGCAAACGAGTCCCGCCTACGTCCTGGGCGTGGGCATGACCAAGTTCATTAAGCCGCGCGGCAAGGTCGACTACAATGAGCTCGGCTACGAGGCTGGTATCAAGGCTATGCTGGATGCCAAAATTACCTACGACGATGTAGACCAGGGTGTTGCCTGCTATGTCTATGGTGATAGTACCTGTGGACAACGCGTCTTCTACCAGTTCGGTCTGACCAACATCCCTATCTACAATGTTAACAACAATTGCTCCACCGGTAGCACTGGTCTGGCCATGGCTCGCACGATGGTTTCGCACGGCGCTGCGGACTGTGTTCTCGTTGTTGGTTTCGAGAAGATGAACCCTGGTAGCTTGCAGTCGATGTACAATGACCGCGCCAACCCAACTGGTCTGTTTGGTATGATGATGGCCGAGACCCGCGGCGTCACCAATGCCCCTGGTGCTGCGCAGATGTTCGGTAATGCCGGCCGTGAATACAAAGAGAAGTTAGTTGATACGCTCTATAATTATTGTTTTCACTATCAGCTCTACGAGTTATACTAACACGGATATCCCCTAGATACGGCGCAACGAACGAGGACTTTGCCGAGATCGCCCGCATCAACCACGAACACTCCAAGCGCAACCCCTATTCGCAATTCCAGGACGAATACACCCTCGAGCAAATCATGAAAGCTCCCATGATTCACGAGCCCCTCACCAAGCTCCAATGCTGCCCCACCTCCGACGGCGGTGCCGCCGCCGTCATCGTCTCGCAGGAGTTCCTCGATGCCCGCCCACACCTGAAGGCGCAAGCCATCCAGATCGCCGGTCAATGCCTCGCTTCCGACACCGACCAGGTGTACAACCAGAGCGCCATCGACCTGATGGGTTTCGGCATGACCCGCTACGCTACCCGCGCTGCCGCCGCAGAGGCTGGTATCAACGTCAAGGACATCAAGGTGTGCGAGCTGCACGACTGCTTCTCGGCGAACGAAATGATTACCATCGATGCCTTGGAGCTGTGTGAGCCTGGCAAGGCGCATGAGATGGTTCGTCGTGGCGATATAACCTACGGCGGAAAGATGGTGATCAACCCCTCCGGCGGTCTTATTTCCAAGGGTCACCCTCTGGGTGCGACTGGTATCGCTCAGTGTGCCGAGTTAGTTTGGCACTTGCGTGGCTGGGCTAACAACCGCTTGATTGCCGGTACTGATGCGGCTCTGCAGCACAACCTGGGGCTGGGCGGCGCTGTCGTAGTCACTGTGTACAAGCGTGCTGATGGAAAGGTGGCTGCGGCCGTTCCTTCGGACGTTGTTGGCAAGCTCAACGGTCTTGGATATAACCCTGCCGTCGAGGCTCGTGGGTTCACTGCTGAGCAGGCCAAGTCGGTTGTTAGCAAGAAGCACAGCAGCCAGTGGGCTGTTGCTGATGCTCAGGACCGGGTTCTTGCCCGTTTCTAAGAAGTTTGTTTTGTTTTCTTTGTGCAAATTGTATATAGTATAGCATGATAATGATTCAATCCAATTATTCCCCGATTAGACTGAAGGATGGACCCAAATTTGTACACGGATATTAGACCTGTATGAACACATTTATACAAGGACGAATAATGTACAAAGAATAGACACGATCCGGCTTCTCCTGCCAGATCATGAATGCGTAGCCTCCCAATCATCAGGAAGCTTATAATACTGTGGAACCTGGTACTGTCCCCGACAAGTCCCAGGATTCTGACACTGCAGTCCACATCGTCCATATAAACGACAATAACAATCCTGCGCACTCGGACAAGCATCCTTATTCAACTGCGCAAGATCTACCGCGCCATCAGCATCCACCTCGGCAAACAAAATATGCCACAGATACGACAAAACTCGACCAGCGACACGATCATCGTGCGGCGCAGCCTGATCACCCCGAGACGCAGGTCTCCCGTCTCCATCAACGCCCCCATCCAACAACCACTGCCTCAACGCAACATACTCCTCCCTCGTATGCTGCCAGATTCGCCCGCGCGAAACAACAAACTGCGCACAACACTGCGAGCGCACCGCATCCGTCCGCCCAAGATGTAACCTGCCCTTTAACGAAGACCCATCTCCACCAAATATCGCCGCCAATGCCCGTGGTAGTGCAACATCTGAAGCGGCGCGCGCACTCCACGGCGCTACTGCAGACTGCAGCCTCATCTCGAGACTACCCTGCGACGGAGCAGAAGGTAAACACGTGCTGGTACTCCAATCACAACGCAGATTGTGATATCCTGACACCTGCAGCGCACCCTTGACATCCAACACCTCCAGTAAAGCCTTATTATCATAGTCCGGCGCATCGTTATGCCAAGCCCACCGCGAACCGTGCACAAATACCGCACCCGCGGCCGGGATCTCCGCGTAATTGTCGATCAGGAATGTGAGATATGCCATAGCCTCGTGGCCGCGGTTCGCGGGGACCTGGAGATACTCCGAGGGTTTATCGGGCGAGGCATCGACATCGTATATGCAGAGGTGGTAGCGGTCCGCAAGAGAAGAGAGCCACGATGTATCACCATCTGCGTCGACGTGAGAGACGACTAAGGCGGGTTTCTTGGTAGTCAAGAGGTTTGGGCATTTGCCGCGGACTTGGGGGAGAGTATGCGCGGTCGTTTGGTAGCGAATTTTTGCCCAGGCGAAGGTGGGAGGAATGCTCGTGGGACTATTTAGGAAGAGGATCGTGAAGAGGATGGCGCAGAAGAAGATAAATTGGATTAGGGACCGTTGGACTCTGCGGGCCATTTTTTATTCCATCAGTATAGACTTGTTTTTTTGCTTTTCCTGTTCAACAGGAACAGGAAAAAAAAAGCTAAAAAGAGCCAATAGAGCTCTACGAAGGCTGTCATGTCGTAATTATTTTTTTGCTCCGGAAGTGACCGGGGAAGAGCATGTGGATCGATGCCTAAGGCATGATTACAGGCTAGATCGCGCCTTGAAGCTTGTCTCGTTATCAGAAGTGACTCACTGACTTGGACTGCGCGGGCCGTGGTCTGAACAGCGCATGCATAGGCTAAAGCTCATATCGATTAAAAGCTTGTTGCGAGTCTGTCATCCGGGAGACATTTTCAGGCCCCTATGCCAATGGCAGACGTTCCATCCAGCTTCGGCACCCCCGAGGCGCTCAGTCCCCTCATATGCCGCTCAGAAAGTGACCCCCGCCCTGTAGTGGTGATGACGTGTGGGATAGCAGGTATGCTAAACAATCCAGTTTGATTATATAGTCCCAGAGAGGCTGGTTCGTTGGGGGTTCCAAACATGCTAACGTGGCACAGGGTCCGGCAAGTCGTTCATATCCAAATGGATTCAAACCAACCATCCATCTTTTCATCGTCTATCTATCGATTCATATATCTACGGCCATCATGGCCTTTACGGAGTGGATTATCCGAAAGAAAAATATAACGACTATCAAGAAGAAGCTGCCGCTGCACTGCGAAGTGAATTAGCCCAACTCGTTCAACAAGGATCCCGGGATGCCATCCTAGACTTTGCATTTGCGTTCCAGGAAACTCGTGACGAATGGAAAGATCTGATTGAAGGATCCGGGGGTCGTTGGGTATTGGTTTATCTAGATGTTGATGCTGATGAATTACGGCGACGGGTCAAGGCCAGGAATCAGTTGGCCGTTAAGGATGGTGATTCGGCATTTTTGGTGACGGAGGAGACTTTGGAGAGTTTTATTGCTGGATTTGAGAGGCCTGTGGGAGAGGGTGAGGTTGTTTTACGCCTTAATGATTAATTTGTTTGGCGGCGTTGCCAGATCGAGGTGTCTGCATGGCACCGAGCACTTAGATTATTGGTCTCGCGAGAGAAATGGGGTTCACCCTAATCATGAATAAACGCAGCCTGTTTGCTTTGCTGGATGTACTTATCATTTACGGATTTAACTGACTACCCAATATGCCCTCGACTCGATTTTGATTCATACCTTGCCGAGGGATATGTTGCTCTGACGACCTGGTCAATTAACATGATATCTTGGACGGCATGACTACAGACAATTAGTCAAGAATCCCACGGACTTGTAACTGTTGTCTACGGCCTGACTCATGCGGACCTTTATGACAAGGTTGAAGAGGCTGGTGCGAAGTGTGGAGAGTTCTTCTAAAAGAGCCTGGTCTGAGTATCTGGCCAATTGTGGAAAGTGCCTGATTGAATATTGTCAAAGTACAATCATAAAAGCACCATAACCATATATTCTATAACAATCGAGAATGAATTCAAAAGAACAAGAATTCTATTTCATTATAGTTGACAGTTTGCTGAGTACAAATTCCTCGCCTTTACATGAGCCCTCATATCATCTAAATCACGTGATATGATGACATAATCTGCTCCTAACGCAGGCACTAAAAACTCTTGCCGCACAGGCTTCTCCCTTTCCTTTCTTCAACATATTCACGGTCTCCAACATACCCTTGTGCTTGGACTCAATTCCATCCGCAAATTTCAGAGTGAGACCCAGAGCGATTGAGGCTCGTTATAATCTCGATGCCTGCCTTTTGGATGGGTTCTGCCGTTCCTAATTGAGGCTATCGGGTTCGCTTTGAGCACACACCTTACCCCTCAGGGGCCAAGGGATTTCCTGTTGAGGGATCTGAGGCACCTGGGCATTTGGATATGTCGCGATCTGTGATGGGAAATGTGGTACATGGTTTCGACAATGTGTTATCGCAATCACCCCCCGCAGGAAAGCCAACCGGATGAGTGTCTGGTGGCTGTCTGCACCAACTACTTCCTCGGAGCTTCGACTGTGGACTTGCGGAAATTGATGTCTTTTCCTTGCAATTGCATGGTCGCTGCTACCAGAAATACGATGCAATAAAAGACAGCTATCGTCAGCAACTACTAACAGATTAGGAATTCCCCTCCTCCCCCAGCCTCGCTGCGTAGAAAACACTGTTATTCACAGACTCCCCATCCTCCACCTGGCACTTTCGAAGTCTCGTCTCCTTCAGCTCTCCATGATATTCGAGGTCAAATTTGTGCCGATAGTGAGCTTTCACAGTTTGACAAAATGTCTTTCTGGAAACTCCCTCGTGTTGCGTCCGCCCCCTCTCATATGGGGCTGTGCGTGTCAAAGTAGGGAGATACATTCCTTCCCATATTGGAAGACGTGTTTCAGACGATTATCGCCTCGTGAGGGGACGCGATTAGACCAGCACACGTCGTGGTCTGCGTGTCTGATTCCGATTTTGTGGAATGTGGACGTTGACGATTCTGCAGAATGTGGACGATATGAGGATCTACACCTTGCTTGGCCCTGGCCACCTGCTTAGTACAATAAGATACATATACATTCAATCACAATATTTTGATCAATGTTCAGTCTAATAGCATTTAGCACTAGTAGATGTCTAGAAGAGTAGTTCTTGGTTTTCTAGCCCTTGTTCGCCGTATCTTTCGTGGTGGTCGCGATTTGGTTCCACCTTCGGACCTCACTCTATTCATTCGAAGATACAAGAAAGGTACTGGAACCCGGACAATATTCCTTTAAAATTCCGTGGAATGCAAAGGGCCCACTGCTAATTTCTTCGAGATCTTGCAAGTGGTCTGCGCCTTGGTCCCTGCAGGGCCTGACTGAATTATTTTCATCCCTTGTTTCAAATCACTGTTCATGTCAACCATTCGAGTGTCCATTTTGAGCTGCAAATGGATTAGATGCATATCTTCGTATCAGATAAGTTGCCATTGTACTTACTTCGGCTCACACGAGTGCATATGTAGTGAGACCGCACGAGCTTCTGTTATGTACCTATCGGGGCTGGAATACCTCGCGTCGCAGTCAGTATGTATCCTGGGGACTCGTCATCCAAATGAGATCTTTCACCCTGTATTCCGTATCGCGCTTCATTCTTGTCCTGTAGGGACCAAGAGAAAGAAGGGGCTTGGATATAAATCTCGCATAATCGCTCCTCTTGGCTCCCTACCCTCGTCTCATCCGCCTTTTCTAGACAGGACACACTCTTTTTACAACCTGTACAAGATCATTCATTTGGCTACCATTTTTGACATTATATTCATCACACGCATTATCCTCAGCATAATCAACATGGCCCGCTTCAGTCTTTCTTTCTTCTCCGTCTTCCTTGTTCTGGCAGCGTTCGCCATGTCAATGCCCACCAAGCGCGAACAGAGTCCGGGCTTGGGACTTGGCAATCTTTTCACCCCGTTGCAGGTTAGTGCTCATGATCTCATATTCACCAATTATCCATGCTGATACAAGCCCTACTAGGATGCGGTCAAGTCCGTTGAGAGCTTGGGCAACAAGGACGCCAACAACCAGAAGAGCCAAGCCCAGAGTGCCCAACCCCCGAAGCAGGTCCCTACCCCGGTGCAACAGAAGGTCGATGAGAAGCAGGCAATTGCTGAGACACCCGCTCCCACACCTACTGAGAAGGGGCTTTACTCTGGTAATTTCCAGACACCCACAACTACCCACACTTCCCACGCTACTTCCCAGCCCAACGAGCTGGGCAAGATTCCTATAGTTGGCGGTCTCCTCGGTGGTACTGGTCTTGGCATTTAATCGATCAGAGCGTTGTTTGTGAGATGAACGAGTTGATGATTGGGTGGGGGAGTTGGATAAAGGATACTTTGATAGCTTAAGTTCATTCGAAAGGTCGTTGTTTTTTTTTCAATATGTACTTTTTATCAATGTTGATGGAAAACATGTTCTCATTAATGGAAATGTCACAAAGGTCAATGGGAAGTGGATTCTCTTCTTTCATGGTCATGTCATTTTAGATTGCGATAGGTGCCAGGTCATAACAATAGCATAGTGCTCTAGGAAATTGCGATCCACTATTCTGTTCTTAATGGGCAGCTCTCGACAATTTCGCAGCTTAACGTAGTCCGCGCATATATAACAAATATCAACTTTTTGGCTGGTTCGCTTGCTGCTGCCCCTGGTAGAGACCAGTATAGTACCCTGCAAAATACCAAGACATCATGAGATTCCTCAGATTTTCATCTTGGACTAGATATGAGTCAGCCTATTTATCAGTGAAGTACTAGAGGGAGAGGGCGTACCGTGGGGAAGCACTGCGCCTGGCATAGGCATAGCTCCTACGGGAAAGGTTGGGCCTGGGGCAGTTGTAGCACCACTTCCTTCAGCGTCTGGAGGCTTTGGTTTAGTAAAAGATTCATTGACCTGAATAAAAAGTCAGTGATCAGGGGAACAAAAGTGACGATTCTTGAGATACATGCATACCTGAGTGAAATTCGCAGCCGTTTGGTCGACAGCCTCGCCCGTCTCAGCCTCCATTGCATCGCCCTGAGCATGCACATCTTCTCCATCAAGATCGTTCACTTCTTCTTCAAGACCCGCTGCTTCAGCTTCTCTCAGAACATCCTCAATATTCTCCCCCTTGGCATGTATGCTGTGATAGAGCTGTCATCAACAAGGTCAGTCGGATAGTGATCACGTGAGTAGATGATTTGGCCTACCTTGTACTCCTCAACAGCATCATCCCAGGACTGCACTAGGGCAGAGTCATCCCAGATCTCCTCATGAGTCAGGGACTGATCATGTTTAGACTTCCCCATGGCCGCCCATAGTCCTCTCAAGGCGGAGGTGGAATAGGGTCTGGCTTGGTTGGTTGTTCGGCGGCCTGTGGAGAGACTCACCGCCTTGGATGCAGGTCAGCGAAAAAAAAAAGTTTCCCGCAATGATCGTGCAACCACCAGACTTCAATTCACATCAACCAGACTAAAAATGGCTCCTGATAAGAAGGGAAGCAAGCGCAAGGGTATGTCCAATCTTAAGAATCTTTTAAGATTGACCATGAGGATCCTAACCCTGATTTAGCTGCGCCCGTTGCCAGCGATTCTCCCGCGAAAAAAACCAAGAAGGTCGAGGCCAAAGCCGCCAAGGTCGCCGAAGATGCCACTCCCAAGTCCATTCTGAAGAAGAAGGAGAATGGTACTGCTAAGGCTAAGGAGACCAAGTCTGCGTCTACTGCGAAGGCCAATGGTCCCGCCGCTCGTGAGGTCAAGCCCCGCAAGCGTGCCGCCGATTTCCTCAGCGACGAGGAGACTGAGAAGCCTGCCCCTGCTACTGCGAAGAAGCCCGTCAGCAAGAAGACCAAGAAGGACGAGACCGTCTCTGCACAGCCTGCGAAGAAGTCTGCCGCCGCCAAAGTCGCCAAGCCCACACCGAAGCCCAAGAAGGTAGAGGAGGTGCCAGAGGAGTCTGACGACGAGGACTTCCAGATTGACGCTTCCGTATCCGAAGATAGCGAAGAGGAGATTGATGACGCTGAGGATGATCAGACTGCTGCCCTCATCAAGGGTTTTGAGAGCAGCGGTGACGAAGACGAGTCCGGTGACGAGGGCTACAACTCCAAAATGCCCATCCCCAAGATCCCCGATACCAGCAAGGCAGAGAAGAAGATGAAGAAGTTGCAACAAAAGGGTGATTCCAAGGATGAGCCTGGCACTGTCTATGTCGGGTGAGTTTTTTTTTTAAACAGTCTTGCTTCGTTCTCATCGCATATGCTAATACCCTCGCTCTCCAGACGCATTCCCCACGGTTTCTACGAGCACCAAATGCGTGCCTACTTCTCCCAGTTTGGCGAGATCACCAAGCTCCGCCTCTCCCGCAACCGCCTGACCGGCCGCTCCAAGCACTATGCCTTCATCGAATTCGCCTCCACCACCGTTGCCAAGATTGTCGCCGAGACCATGGACAATTACCTGATGTACAGCCACATCCTGAAGTGCAAGTTCGTTCCCGCGGAGCAGCTGCACCCCGAGGTCTGGAAGGGCGCCAACCGCCGTTTCAAGCGGACCCCGTGGAACCAGATTGAGCGCAAGCGCCTGTTGAAGGGCAAGACCCGTGAAGAGTGGTCGAAGCGCATCGAGCAGGAGCAGCGCAAGCGTCTGGCCAAGGCTGACAAGCTGAAGGCTCTTGGCTACCAGATCGATTTGCCTCAGCTCAAGGCCGTCGAGGACGTGCCCATCCGAGTCCCCGAGGTGGAGGAGCCCAAGGCTGTCGAGGCTGCTGCTACCGAGGAGGCCGTCGAGGAGCCTGTGAAGGCCATCGAGGCCGCCGCCACCACTGATGATACCCCTAAGAAGACCACCAAGATGGGCAAGAAGACGGAGGAGACTCCCAAGCAGGAGGTTGCGGCAGAGTCCCCGGCAGCCAAGTCCCCTGCTACCAAGACCAAGAAGACGGCTAAGAAGACTGGCAAGTCCAAGGCTAAGGCGTAATGGGTGTATAAAATTGTTTTACGGTGTTCGTTTGTTTCTGTTCATAGCCAAGTCATGCATTATTTTGGACTATTGAGTAACTTCAACGCGGGTGCCGAAACCCAAATTTAGACATTGTAGCCCATGAAATCTTTTAAAAGGTAGCATGATCTTACTGTCAAGGAGTTCTAAAGGTAAACATCATCGTAAATGGGGATTATTTTTCAAATTTGATCAGGGCAAGTATATCATCACCTGACCCACCTCGTCCCAACGCGACCTAGCTCCACGGTCACCTGACCGCTCACCCCATCACATAAAAAAAAAGACCCACGGCAAAATCTCTTTCCCTTTTTTCTTTCCCTCCAACTCCTCGCTCAAAGAATCGCATTCAAAGCTCACACACAAAGAAGATTCCTCTTCTTTTACGCATTCGCTTTGGGAGAAAGTCCCCGGACATCCTGCGCTCTTTTCAGAGTTCTTCAAGTCAGGCAATGCGGAAACGCGCCGCCATAGAAGCAATTTGATAGCGGCTTACGCCCTACTCCTACTGGCTCTTGTGCTCGCCGTCCGACAGTGTTACGCTGGTTACAATGGGGCGTGCGGCCTGGGGTTGGAGGGGAGAAGGGGGGACTTCGGTCTTCCCTTGTATCGGGTTGCCTTTCGTCGTGGTTCGATAGTCATGCGATTGCCCCTTGTTCCTCGTGGATGGGGGGTAACTCAATGGGGCTCATTCTTGAGGCGAGGAGTTCCTGTCTTTCTTTCTTTTCCCGAGTCTGTAGCTTATGGCAAAGCGGTGATGGACTTTGGTCCTTGCAGAAGCCCTGTCGAAGGGGCCGGACTTTTTTACTCAGAAAGATTCTTCCAGGAGAAGCCTTGTGCTTGTCTCTTGCCATGAGCTCAATATTCGCGTGATGATATAACAATCATAGAGTCAAGCCCCGAGATCCCCACAGGGGGTCCTTGACGAGAAACGATTTTTCATATATCTGATGAATACCTTGACTGCTCTTTGGGTCAGCACGGTGCTGGTGTCAAGTGTCAATGGCTTTGGGATTGTCTAGAAGAATTGAATTCGAGCTCTCTCGGATTCCAGAGACTCGGACGAGTCGATGCAGATGCATGAGGTCTCATCCGGGGTTCTTGGGTCCTGAAAGCGCCCGAATTTGCTTCCTGTAGACTCACCCGAGCGATGTCATGTCCTTTATACCAGTTTTGTTATTGGCTGTGTTGTTCTTGCCTTCCGTAGTCCCTAAAGGATTAGATTTGATGAATATGAAACTGTTTGCCGATACATACCTGCGCGCTCGTTGCCTCTGTAATCTTTTTCTTCTGCTCTCTCGAATTTGTCTTAGCACATGACTGCTTTGATGGTTTGTACAATCTCGTTAGGCGCGATAAATTTGAGCCTTGTGAAGGAACGCCAGATCACAGTGCAACCTACCCCCTTTCCTCGGGGAATTTGAAGCCTGTTGGTGGCTCGACCGCATCTACTCGGATTCCCATGATGTAGTACCCAGCGGCATACTGCCTTCATGAGATCTAGCATACCAGGGCTGATACGACCCTGAATCAACGGCGCCCCAGCTTTCAATCATGGCCGACCTTATACTTTTCTTCTCTGCCAAGCACCTGTTCCTCGGGCAGCTCTTTCTCGCCAAATTTAGCCCGTCATAAATTCGAGAGACTTGGTAGAACCAATGCACCTCAAAGACTTGGAACAAAGGACATCAATGCAATGGCTATGCGATACTTATTATACCTGGCACTCGACGCCCCATTTTATAATACAAGACACCCAGCCCCTTCATAGAACGGTCATATCACGCGTCCATATCCATTATAAAACGGACATGGTGTACTAGCATTTCCCCTTGCTTTTCTCACTGAGCCTTCTTCGACTCAACACCCACCGGTACAGCATCCTTCTTGCTAACAAGCTGCACGAGGATTGCTCCAATAATCTCTCCCAGGAACGCAACAGCCGTCGCGCACACGTTATTCCATACCTGAACGCTGACGGAACCCAGTGGCGCGCGTGGGAACGACAATACCCACTCCACGTAGTACGGGAACCAGTCTGCCGGCAGTGCGAAAACGGGGGTCTTGGAGTACCAGAACTGCAGGAAGATTTTGAGTCCGTTTGTGCTGAGCCACCGGGCGCTTTTGACGCTCCAGTCGAAAGAGGTTTTTTGGGCGGAGATGGTTTTGTCTGTGGAGGAGCGGGTGGTTAGAAAGAGCTTCAATCGTAGATTATAGTCTAGGCGGGGTAATAGGAGCATGTTCGTGGGCTTGGAGATGTTGGTTGTAGGGTACGGGATACGTACTCATCGCCTCGTATTCCTCCAGACTCTTGTCATGTCTCCGGCGCAGCTTCGCCCACTTTGCGAACTCGTCTTGCGAGCTGGTGCCGTTCATTTCGCGCTTCAGCTGGACGACTTCGATCTTCATGCGTTGCTGTTCGCGTGCATTGCGGGATGTCGATGTGGGCAGTTGTAGGTAGAGTTGCCATAGCTAGGTAGAAAGTGAAGCGTGTCAGCTTGGAGATTGCGCTTGCGACGTGATGATGCGTGCAAGGGTTGTAAAGCTGGGCACGGAGCTGGATCAGGAAGCGACATACCAGGCTATCGATTGTAGAAGCGCCGATCGTGTTGACTAGGTAGATTGCAATGTGCACGAACAAGATCGTGAGCACGAGGGACAACATGATGGCGGGGGTGGTTGGCCGGTAGGCCCGGGGTGTATCCGGGTCTGGCGTGAAAGTCAAGGTTAAGTAGTGGGAATGTGGCCAGCGGATACACCTGCAAAATGGAAGCTGTGCTGGCGCGGCTCAAGAGCAGCTGTCGTCGAGGTTTGTGGACGTTGAAGGTTTCGAGGTGGGAAAAATGACGTGCGGAGGGCGATCTGGCTGGAATACGGAGTTTCGCAGCTGCTTTCCGCCTCCACTTTGGTCCTTCGCACTATGGGAGAGGCTCTCTCCACAAAAGCATATCTTTCGCGAAAAGATAATACGACGAAAAAAGGATGCTAGAATAATGATCGGCGCTTGATACTACCATCCCATACCCAATCACTCATCCATGACGACCCCCGAAGATGCCTTTCAACTGCTCGCCGGTGTCTTCGCTTCTCGGGGCGATGATATCCTCGAGATCGAGATCATCCCGCCGAGTCTAGGCTCCCCATTTCTCCAAGATGGGTGTTTCATCGGCATCACGAAGAAGACTCTGGTGCAAGCCTATACGGTCGCACGACAACTCTTCTTTAAAAATCTCATGTCCATGGCGGAGGATGAGCTGCTCGCCAATCTCCTGAACAAGAATCACAGCGCGGATACAGTGACAGATCATGTTATCACCGAGATTATGCTGCTCTTCGACTGCGAACATTTAACAGCGTGTAATTGGCGCAAGGGACGACTGTTGGCTGCTCTCGCGCGTGACCCTGGTGCTCTAGATCGACCCTCCCAGCTGCTTCAGGTCTTGAGGACGGAGCTTACGCTATTGCAGAGCTATCAATGCTCACCACTGCACCGACATACCAAATCGCCCACCTTGTGGTCGCATCGACTGTGGGTGCTGAAACAGCTCCTTAAACTCGAAGATCAATGCCCTGAGTCTCTGCTAGATATGGAACGCCATGAGCTGGCCATCGTCCTGCGCGCTGCAGAGCTTCACCCAAAGAACTACTATGCATTCACCTATGTGCGCCAGCTCCACGCTCTCCTCGCAAAAGCCTCGGTTGAGACCAAGGATGCTTCAAGTTGGGCAGCCGTACTGGCGAGAAAGCAAGTGAATCCCGTTCTAGACTGGTGTCTCGCCAATCCTCGCGATATCTCTGGCTGGGCTTTTGGGATGTATTTGCTCGGTCATGTCCCGGACCGACAGCTCCGAGGCGATGCCGTTGGTAGGGTGCTTCGTTTTGCGCGGGACGTGGGATGGGAAGGGGAGAGTTTGTGGACATTTATTGACCTGACAGTGCGCCAATTTGATCTCGAGGACGTGATGGATGATGTATTCATCCACGATCAAGAGAGGCAAGATCCTGTATCCAGCACAGAATCCCAAATCTCTCCAACGAAGTGGCCGTGGCGAGCCCGGCTAGCCAGGGCGAAAGGCTATTGGGTTGTCAATAGATCCAGCCATGATACATAGTACTTGATAGCACTGTATAGCAAATTACTCTCTGTTCCCATCTTCTTCCACCTCCCTTCCCACCAGCAATAGCCGATGTATGGGAATGCCCCAGGGTCCCAATAACGGACTCCGCGATCCTTTTCATTAGGACATAATTTACCAAGAACACGGAGCAGGAGAATATAGAATAAACGCCGTAGTGACAACTGAGAACGCCTCGCTAGACACCGGCCCCCGACAGAAACATTCCGGGGGGCATTTTTAGAAGCCGGTGGGTATGATCTATGTACTTATTTTCTTTCCATCCAGATAGAGCGTCGTCACCCTCGTAGCATTGCGCCTGCGCTTTCACTCCCCGAAGAGTGTCCATCGCGCAATTTTCCCTCGCGCTCAGCACCTCCACCTTGCCAAGTGTATCCGATTTCAAGAGGATTGACGAGACGAATCGGGGACGGGACTGGAAAAGGTGGCGACAAGGGTATCGAACATTAAAGGAGGAGAAGTATTATCACTTCTTTTTCCCTGCTGCGGCTTCGGCGGCTCGTTTTTCATCAGCTGTGCGAGGAATTAACGAGTTAGTCTTTGTCCGCGTACAATTAAGAAGCCACGAACGAGGCCGATGGCACATGGCACATACCCTTCCTCTGCTTCTCGCGCATGATAGCAGCAGCATCCTCCTTGGCCCTTTGGAACTCAGTTCCAGACAAGGTGTTCTTGGATTTCTAGATAGAAGAGCGAAACCCGTCAGCCACTGTCGCATTCGCTGTAATCAGTATAGGGCGATTGGGTATAACTTACCGACGCGGCCGCCTTCTTCTGGGCCTTGGCCCGATCAGTGTCGCGCTGGTTACCACGGGTCATGGTGGGAGTTTCGAACGGAGCTAAATAGTAGTATCACAATAGAAAAGAAAGCGAGAACGAGGGAGAGGTGGATTAGCGCAAAGTTGCTCGAGATAACCAGGAAGAGGAAAGAAAAACGTAGAAGAGAGGGGCGGGGCGCTTTCCCCGGCGTTAAAACCGCGCATTTCGGCGAATCAGGGCCGGGCCGAGTCTTTGGTTTTCTGGCCCTTTCTTGTATGGTTCGAGGAGTACCCTTTCAGCCTCATCGTGTGGATTCGAGGGAAACCCCCAATAATTGAGGACTAGCGGGATCTCAGGTGATGCATTGGACTTGTTGATGCTCGTCATTTGCAGTCGTGAGGAGTTGGTGCATGTCCGCTGGATGGTTGGCGTGCCGCCGGGATTGGGCGCGTAATCCGGCGCATGGTTTCGATCGGGTGCGATCCTTGGTGAAGTTAGTCTTTTTGCATAGACCAAAGATTCCTGGAGACAGATGAGCCGAGAGTTTCGGGTTACAAGGGACTAGCGATGCTCCGGGCCACCACTTTGCAAGTGTCGGGACGAGATCGATAGAGTAGCTTGTCCGGCATTTCATACTGGGAGTTGTATACTCTGCCGAGCGCAACCCTCAGCCAATCGATTAAGCGCCTACCAACGGGGCTACTTTGAGACTACGGTAGTTTCGTGACCTCAATGATCGAGGACTCCCAGCCTATCCCTTGGAAACCCTGAAGAATAGCCCAGAATCGAAGCCATCTCAACCTTGATTTAGGCGGAGATCCCCCTGGTCCAAATCGGTTTAGCGAGCAGCTCCGTTTGGTTGCCTGCCAATGAACATCCTCAGGACTGTTTTGAAACGATCACTGCCTGACAGTTTCGCTATCAGGTTTGTCTCCTGGTCTTTCCTCGAGCTTGACGATTCTAGGAGGTTGCTCACTGTAGTTCGCTGCCTTAAAATACCCCAAACAACCTAATTGACCTTGCCTCTGTCCAGTCTCTTTGTCAGACTTCTAACTCTGGCATCTTCCCTTTTCAGTCACCTTCTATTGTTTCAGATTCGGCTATTCATAGGCTGCATCGTCTCATTGCAGACTGTTCGGCGCCTGTAGACCGTGCCGGATGGGAATGAATGAATAGAAACGAGATGAATCACTCAACCCTCCTTTCCCTCCTTATTATTCGGTCTATTTCTGCAAGGTCTCTCTTTCTTCTCTTCTTTTCTCTTCGATTCTCGAGTTGATCTCGCATTGTCTATTATTTCTTTCTTTCCGGGACTCGGTGTCCTGCTGGCCAGTGACTTTCTTCCCCTCCCTTTTTAATTGCCTCCAGCCCAACTGGTGGTCTTGTGCCCAGCACCACAACGCACACATATCAACACATCAGCATAGACTACTTGAGCCTTTTGCAGTGTTACTCTTGACTTGACACCTCTTAATCTTTTCTCCGTTGCATCCTTTCTCACCCAATAAAAGTCATGATGTCGAAGCTCAAGGAGTCCTTGGCTGGTCCAGGGTATGTGATTCTCAACACCATCCGCGCGCTCAACATCATCGTCTTCATCGACATTATTGCCTCTTGTGCAGTCATGTTGGTCAAGATCAACATGTACAATGGGTTCTTCTTCTTCCAAGCCGTCACCCATGCAGTCATGGCCATCATCAGCAGTAAGTACCTAGCGAATGCTTCTCTCCTCCCCTTACGGCGATATATTGAATTACATACTGATGATCATGAATAGTCGGCCTTATCATTTCCGAACTCCCCTTCTTCCGGGGGTTCTTCAACCGCCGGTTTCCCATGTTCGGCGAAGAGGCTGGCTTCTATGCTCTGGCAGCCATCATGATGATTCTTGGCGTCGCCGTACTGGGCAACCTGAACAGCGAGTCCATGAGCCAAAAGAATCTCGGCCTGGCATTCTGGAGAATCATCATTTCGGCCGGTATCCTCGCCATGGTCGTCAGTCTCGTGAATGTCCTAGCTGTAAGTCAACTCCCCAACTACTCTTTCCATCTCTCAAAGACGTGTACTAATTCTGTACAGACCCTTATCTTCACAAACCACACGCAGGGCCTCAGCGCCCGCCACGTCCGACAATACGGGGCTGTCGCCCCGCAAAAGGTGGTGAGTCGGGCCAGCAGTAACCGCTCCTTCCAAGCCAGTCTGAATATGAAGCGTGAAGACGACTCGCTCCCAAGCTACACCCCGCCGTCAGCCACCAAACGCTTCACCAAGCGTCTGACGGGGCGGTTCCCCATTAAAATTTCCAATCCCATGAATCCCACCAGCAATGGCAAGAGCTTGAATGCTCCACCCATTAACGATGCCGCATCTTCTCGGTACTCGCGTGATTCGGCGGGCGTTGCTATGCCGGACCCGGCGCATCATCCTATGTACCACCATGGTGGCTCGAATATGGTTTGAGGGTCGTCTTGAGGAAGGGCGTTGGGCAGCGAGGTGGCGTTTTTGGGATATTGCATGAATGGGTGTTCGATTCTTATCTTCTTCGTTTCTTTGGATTCGAATTTCGTTGTATTGATTAGCCGGCGCTTTGATTGTGATAAATGAGACCCACGGTATTGACTTTAGGTTTTGTGGTATATGTAGTCGTTTATCATTCCATAAAGACCTCGAATTACTATTGCTTCAAGCGATAATCAAGAAAACAGATATTGTTTAGTCATGGATTGGGGGAAGCATTGATAGACACTGTGAAGAACCACACGGGAAGTATACAACGCGCTGCCAACTCATCTCTGCCGCCCCCAGGTCGACCGCTTTTGGGCCCGAGTGCAAGCTGGTCGCATTACCTGGTCTCTTTTTCTCAGCCCCCCCCCCCCACCTCACACTTCAGCCTCTCATCTGCATTCCTTCGATGAGATAAGAGGTCTCCCTTTTGCTGGCTTCAAACATGGCTGGTATCGGGGTCTCTTGGGGGACGTAAGTAATTTTCCAGTCCGGCACCTCCGCACCACGACTCCGCACTCTTACTCCGATGCACTCTATCTAACAATTCTCGCACAGTGTCAAGTCCCTTCTCATCTTCTTTGGTCCAGTCCTCCTCCCTCGCTTGATCACAGCCTACCGCAGCCTCCGCGTATCAATCGCAAGCCGACCTCCTCCACGCCCAATCCCCGCCGGCGCCAATCGCGCATTGAACCTCTTCTTCGCCAGCATTGCCCTCTTCCTCATCCTTAGCCTCCCATTTAACCCGCACGCCCCCGAAGCCAACATCTTCTCCCTTACCCGCTCGCGTATCCACACTCCCATTGATGTGATCTTCCACCGTCTATCGCGCCTCCGGCCCGACAGCGTCTTGACGGAGGCTGACTTGCGGCTGCGCGAGAAACTCACTTCCCTCGGAGCCCGCAAGGTCTACCTGACTTTCGGCAGGGATGCATTGATCTCGTGCCAATACTGTTCCTTGGAGGATCTCAACACCTACCTGCTCTACTACCTCCCGTTCCACATCCTCCTGCCACACCTGGTACACCTCTTGATCCTCGGTGTGGCCACGTCCGCTCCCTTCGCAGGCCGCGAAGCCGCCCGCTGGCGTACCAAGTTCACGCTCGCCGGCCTGGCGCTGGCAGCACTGGACATCTGGATCGTGGTACGGTACGATGCAATCTCATCGGCGTCCCCCGCCGTGCAGGCGGGCCAAGTACCACCCATCGGCCTCTACAACCTACTTTCGCTTCTCCGGCCACTGGCATTCACCGTGTGTGACGTGGTCTGTGCGATCATCATCTACCTCTCCTCCACCAACCGCTTCTTCTTCAAGCCCCCCTCGCAAGCGGATCAGTTGGACCAGGCGGTGTCCGCCGCGCTGACCATGCTGACGGGCGCTAACAACAAGCTCCATGCGGCGAGCGTGACCCGCAATGCGGTCGTCCGGGATAAGGCGCTCAAAGCGCGCGATGATGTCTACTGGCAGAAGATGGTGGCGGTCGAGAACCCCACTCGAGGCTCCGGAGGAGCCGAGCAGATTGAGGGTGTGGAGCGGGTGGACGTGGTCAATAACATTTGGGAAGAGGAGGAAGTAGCTCGGGCCATGTCGCGGGCGATGGCTGGACAGGGAGGAGTTGATTTGGCGCAATTGGGCATGAATGCGAATGAGTTTGTCCGCGGTGTCACGGAGGGTTTGGATTGAAGCGGAGAGTCGCACGGATTATAATCAGTACACATATAAGGTATAGAATAGCATCCCATGGGGAGTATAGTAGGATGTCTTGAAAATAAACTATATTTGTGCATATATATGATACGGCGCAGGCATGGCTATCACTATCAAGTCGATTGGCTCGAAGTAAAATCGAAAATACCGTTCTAGAAAAAAGTCGCGACCTCCAATTCCAGTGTCTGCAAGAGAGCATGCTCGGTCCCTTGTTCTGGTGTTTGGTACGGTACCACACGGCAGTAGCCAACTATACCACACACCTCCCCAAACTCAATCCATAGAATCAACACACCACCACAATCAACAACCCTCCGAATATAAAGAGTTTGACACATTATCCTTATTCTGGATAGCCCTCTCCCCCCTCGATGAAAATTCCCGCCACCGCGATTCGACGAAGCGGTGTCGTCGATCATCGTTGAGAAGGTCTTGAAACGAGACTCACCGTTTTCCCCCTCTCTCTCTCTGCTTCTCCCCTCAAGACCTCACCGATTTTCATCTCAGTTCCTCCTAAAAAAAAGGCTTCGTGCATATTGCAGAAATATCTTTTTCCTCGCTTTGACCACGCGGCGGATCCGCCTATGAGGCTTCCAGACTTTCGAGACCCGTCCCGCTCCTCTCAGCTTAATTAAGCTCCGCCAACCAGCCCTCGCTCGTTTTCCCCCGCATCCCCACACGCAAAAGAGAAGCTCTCCTCCTCCCCCGCACCCCCCTGCACTTCTTCGCGACCCTTCGGTCTCGCTCTCTCTCATGGCCAAAGAGACCATAGAGACCATCGTGCCAACTCCGCCGGCCTCGGAGCTCAATGTCTATGTGTCCAGCCCCAGCGGCCCGCGGCCAATCAAGGAGACCGCGTTCCGCGAGTGGGTGGTCACCAACCAAATCGGTATGCATTGAACACGCTCCCCCTCAAGATCCCCCGTCGCGACAGATGGCGACCCTCGAGACGACAAGGGAAGACTCTCTGCTTGACAGGCAGCACTTGTCATCGCAGAGAGGTCGATTCTTTTGATTTCCCTCTTTCTTTGTTGATCTATTTCCACTTTCTGCCCGTGTTGAGGTAGCCGCCTCGGCACCGTATCACCAAAGTTCTCGATCCAGCTTACTCTTGCCATCCTTGGCATTGCGTCCGTATAGGTACCTCCTTGACCATTTTGGCTATGTTGCTGGCTCTTTATAACCTCTACCCATCTCTACGCCCCTATAACCAGCCTTTCTTCGAACTCTCCTATTACGACCCCGCCTCCAACACATATATCCAGGGTTGGCATGATTTGTACTTTGTCGTTAGCGCGGCCCTAGCGCTCACCGCAATTCGCGCCATTGTCATTGAATGGGTTATTCAGCCGATTGGCCGCTCATTGGGATTGAAGCGTAAGGCGGCGCTTCGCTTGGCCGAGCAGGGTTGGCAGGTTCTGTACTATGGCTTCATTTGGGCCATTGGTCTGGTATGTCTTTGGGAAGACGGGATTTCGTTGTAAATGCGATGGATGCATTTCTGACATGTTCTGGGTTCGTCCTGTGTAGTACCTGTGGAAGAACTCCTACTACTGGTTCGATTTCGGCGCCATTTGGAATGAGTGGCCGGCGCGCCCGCTCGGCGGTCTCATGAAGTGGTATATTCTGGTGGAATTGGCGTTCTTGCTGCAGCAGATCTTTGTCATTCATGTGGAGGAGAAGCGCAAGGATCACTATCAGATGTTGTCGCACCACGTTGTTACCAGCATGCTGCTCGGCTCGGCCTATATCTACGGCTTCCACAATGTATCCAATGTGGTACTGTGCCTGATGGACATTGTCGACGTTCTACTTCCCGTACGTGTGATCTGCCACTTTCTCGTTGAAGCGGGCATTGATATTTACTAACTCTCGCAATAGTCAGCCAAGATTCTCAAGTACCTCAAGTTCCAGAACGCCTGCAACGTCGCCTTCGGTATCTTCATGGCCACCTGGGTCGTCACCCGCCACATCCTGTATAACATTGTGTGGTGGTCGACTTACAAGGCCATCCCGCAAACAATGGCCTACGGCTGCTACTCGGGCAGTACCGCAAAGATGATCAGCACGAACGGTTACCCGAATGCCATTGCGTACATGTTCGGACCCTTCCTGGGCGTGGAGAACCCAATTTGCATGAACCCCACGATCAAGTGGATATTCCTCGGCTTCCTGCTGTCCATTCAGCTTCTCTCCGTCGTTTGGTTCACCATGATCGTCCGCGTCGCATACCGCGTCGTCTGCAGCGGAGCTGCCGAGGATACCCGCAGCGACGAGGAAGATGAGATCGAGACCGACGACACCCCCGCTACTAATGGCACCGTGCGGCTGGCCGCCAAGGAGGGCGTTACTACTGCCCCCATCGCCGTTAATGAAAACGCTCCTGGCCTGGACCGCCGGCGGTCAAACGGTTCCGCCTCTGTGTGTGCCCGAGGCCGTGGCCGAGTACCCTTTGCACAAAGTGACCGCAAGGCCTTTTTGGGACGGATTGGATGTGACAAGCCTACCTAAGATAGCCTGGAGCAGAATTTCCAGGGGTTTTCTTGGTTGTTGTTTTATTTTCTTTCTCCGTCCTGGCGCATTATAACGAATTATGACGAATCCCGTATTTACTGGCATGCCGTGATGTCTGTCTATTTTTTCCCCTTGTTCAACTTGGTACCCATTACCGCCCTCATACTATCCACTATCCCATCTGCCATTCCGCAGTACGCAATACGAATATGCATATGCATAAAATACTCATACCCCAGCTAGAACCGGGAACAGTACTGCTGATGGGAATGAAGTGTCTCGAAATAACGATTTGCGCTTTTCACCTCTGCCCGAGTACCATCATTCTTCTCCTGCTCCGAGCCCTCCGAGTCTCCCAGCCAGGTCCACTTATATCCCTGCACTTGTGCTTTTTATTCTATTCTTTTCGTAATTGGGGTGGAGGGTCTTTTCAATTTGTTGGGCGGCAGGGTCTTCTTCTGCTCGCTTTTTTCGTGTTTCTATTGACCGGGGTTTGGAGGTCTGGGGCTTGGTTTTTGTGGCTGTCTCTTTTTTTAAAGTGTGTTCTAGAGGTCCAGCAATTAATACCCAATGGATGCATTTGGAATTTTAGTTCTATGAGATACGCTCTCTGGTCTCACTATACAATAAGGGGATTACTACCGGGGGGTCAAAATATGATAAGGGGGGTCGAAATATGAAGGGGGGGGGGGGTCAATTTAGTAATCCCCTACAATCATACTGTGCCCTCAGGGCTATCCCTTTGGTACCCATATCCCAGCCATTCTATACATATACTACTATCAAATCCATTCTAGTATATCATCAAATATCCTAATCCCTGTTAAAAATATTTTCAATGAATTCTCGGTAAAGTCCCTCCCGAAGCCTCTCCAAAATCCTCATCCGCCCTCTTGCCCTGCAAGAACATAGAAGCCTTCAGTAAACATAGAAAGCCCAAACCTTGACCTTAATCACATCCTGGCTTTCACGCCGAAAGGCTTGCCTTTCAGAATCTTTCCAGAATATAATCGATAACGCATTGCTTACTTTCCTGTAACTGGGTTAAGTTACTAGTTGTTACCAAAGGGTTTGTTCTAGAATACCTCGAGAGAGAAAGACTTGGAGTAAATTTGAAGCAGCCATATCTAAGCAATATTATTGTTGAATACTCGCGAATCATTCAAGCCACATTCATAGATCAAGATTGATCCAAGCGATACTAGGCCCTGATTACAGCCAAGGCCGGCCAGCAAATCTTTCCCTTGCACTGATGTCTGTCACTCTCGAATAGGCATCGTGACATCCTTTCGCCAGCCCGATGTTCTTGAACCAAATCAAACCACGAGAGCTATCTTAATCATAGAAGCTCATTTACTAACCGCTTCATCTGGGATAGGCAAACTGGCTTCTGGTCACTAGCCAAGCATGCGTCCACCCGTCCTGTTTCAAGTAATAATTTAACCATTTTCGGATAACCAGCTTGTAAGGCGCAGAATATTGGAGTCTCAGCAAGATCATCTCTGGCGTTAACATCTACCTGCCCAGTTTCCAGCAAGAAGGCCACTAATTCTTCATTCCTTTTAGAAACGGCCCAATGGAGAAACGTTTGAGTCTTTTGATCCTTGGGAGCCTCGTCCTTTCGACCAGCGTCAAACAATTGCTTTGCCACTCCAAAATGTCCATTTTGCATAGCATAATCGAACGGAGTTCGTTTTCTCCAACCCAGTGTTTTGTTTATATCCACCTGTCCTGTCTCAAGTAGTACCCTCACCACTCCCTCGTGGCCATTTTTTGATGCCCATCCTAGCCACATCTGTGTCATCCACACCTATCGGTCCAAATGTCGCTAACAGTAACTCCACGATGGACTCATGGCCGTATTGTGAAGCAGTTCGAAATAAATCCGGGACAAATAATTTGCGCGCTGTAGAAGCACGTCCACTTTGGATTGATAATTGAGCCGTAAGCCACATTTCCATGGCCGGCGGCCCAATGCAGTGCCCAGCCACCGCATCGATAATCCAATCGATATAAGTGTCGATTCAGGGTATTATACAGTCTTCTATCGGTTCGGCATAACGAGTTGATGTGTTTTCGATAACCCAGGAACTCCGCAACTAGGAAGTAAATCTCCAAGGGCAAATCTGCAAAAGATATCTTCGAGGAGTGTAGCATTGCACTCAAGGTTGCTAGCCTGATTTTAGCTGTAATATGGGTACCGGGAATGTGTTGCCTACGTACACTTAGACAGCATGATTTCCAGACGATCTTGGTGTTCTTTTTCTGTTTTAGTGCTTTACACCGTCGCTGATGTTGCTGCAAGGCATTAAGAGGGGTTTACCTTCGCACGAAAGAGCTCTCAACTTGTACTTTGTACTAAGCCTATTCTGGGCAGCCATGCCCCGCTTCTATGAATGGCAACCTAAAGTTTGCTAATACAAAATCTGTGGTATTGTCATTATTACATAAAACCCTACCCAGGGTGCTTCCCGGTCGTAAAATGCTGTAATCCAACGTTTTTTGCCTCTTAATCCCTCCGAAACACTTGATTCCGTACAGGTTAAGATGTTCGCACGAACTCTCAATCCAAATAATTATAAATTTGATATTCCTCACGCAGAGTGAATTCTTCTCTTCACCATATGAGAAGAGTACTCGGTATATGATCGAAGACTTACGTAGGAGACTTTAGATTAGATCGTATACCCGCTGTTGATAGAAGAGGGGAACTACTGTCTAAATTGGGCTTAGTATACCTAACGACACCTGTCGTTACCTTCCATACTAGGAAACAAAGAGATAATGTATATACGTACTGCACGGAGTTCCTGCAGAAGAAGGCACAGAAGATTTAGCTGTAACTTTCTGTTCTGTAACTCTGATTGTTATAGTAATATCGCCCCAGAAATTCTTCTCCAATGCCTCCAGGATCCTAACACATAGTTAGTATACCGTGCTCGCCGGGCAAGGTTGATTATGCATGGACGTTACTCTAATAATCAAGAAATGATCATGCCAGTATGATGTAGCCATGCGAGATTCAACATCTCATCGAAGATTCGAAGTCAATATACGACTTTGCTACATTGCCAAGGCCTAGAAAGGGTTTGATGTCCTAGAATCAATGTAGTTCCTAGAGTAGTTCCTGGATGTCCCCGATACAAAATTTTACGGCTGACACTGCCTCAAACTTAGATATGGTTTCCCTCCTGAATCGCAGCAAGAATAGACCTTGCAGCAATGACCCGACCCTCGCCATCAGCTGAGCAACATTTAGGCAAATTCCTCGATTTACTCTTCATCGCCTCGGCGTCCGGGCCGAGCAAGGCATCAACGAGTATAGAGCTTAGCTCATCGGCTTTCCATCGAGGCTTTGCCGATTTGTTTCCCCAGCGACCGATGCCGAGATACTCTGCCCGGTTTGCAAAGTCGTAGCAGTCGGCCCACGGCGGTAACACCACCTGCGGCACACCAGCACTTCGAAAAGACCTATAAGTTTTCTTTCTGGGTTGAGATTCTGGGCAGAGACCTTACCACAGTGCTTCGTGAAACGAACTTGATCCTCCGTGGTTGACACTGAGAACAACGCGGCCGGTTTTGAGGGGGTCCACCGCCAGCCAATCCACAACCCTGACTTGGTCTGCTTCAATTTCGCGTTGGAGAATTGTGTAGACCTCGGATTGTGTGGTAGCACCATCTTGCTCTTCTTTCGGCTTAGGCAGCTTCCAAAGAACTTGTAACCACTGCTCAGAACCCCAGGCTATAAAGACACGTGATAACATCGTGCGCAGCGCCAGCACCATCTCCTTTGCGGCATCCTCTGAGTATGAGACGAGTGTTCCGAGGCAGACAAGCACAGTCACTCCACGGGCAAGCCATACCAGCATCTCGGGATCCTGCTCGTTGATTGGCAGGGAATCCAGTAATATCGGCTCACAACTGATCACTCGCAAGCCATGTAACTGAGGGTTCATGTCCAACGGCAGTTCAATCTCTGGCCTGTTCGAGATCATAACGTGGGCATTCTCATCCGGCGGATTGAAGCAGTCGACCACGCTCATCGCTTTGGTCTCCACAAGTAGCTTCGACGTATTTTGCAGTTTCTGCCATTCGCTTGTTGGTGGCCAGGGCGAATCCAGCATAAAGGCAGAAGAAGATTTTAAAGGGAATCAGGTACCATGGGACTGGAAATGAATAACCAGCACATGGGCTTCTCGGTTTAAACCTGTGAGTCCTCCACAAAATCAGAATGTAGGGTTTGAGATCAGCTTACAAAGGATATTTTCACAGAATAGCCCCATTTGGCTGGGTAGCTGCCAGGGCATCTTTCAGCGTGTTTGGAGAGAGGACCATGTGCTTGACTCCCGTTGTGAGACAGGCGGCCATCGCAGGCGGTAGAGCGTTGTCAAAACGACAACATCCGGCTTCACGGTGCTGATGATTCCGATAGCGGAGCTTAGTACCGCAACATACTCGGGGCCAGTGTATGGATTCATCATTGTTACTGTCAAGTAGTTGGTTAACTTCAGTATATCCTTAAAGCCCGCCCCGAGCTTCAGCTGATATAGATCCTTGGTCTCTGGATTCCGCCTCAGCGTTGCCTCTAAGAGTCTCACGCCGTCGAGTTTGTGAAAAATAATCGGCCTAGCGTTTAAATTGACTCGCAGCGCCTGCTCAGAGATGGTTCGGACTCTTCTTTCAAGAACGCCAAAGGAGGCATAATGTACCTCAACGTCTCCATCTAAGAGCAGCAGTGAGTGCGCTACTGCTAAGAACGTATTTGAATGACCGGGCTCGGCATTGCTAAACAAGAGAACACGCTTCGTAAGCGCCATTGTCCAGGTGCAGCCGAGCGGCGCCTGTGTAACACTGATGTAGAGGGTGGAAGGAGAATAGAAGCCGTCCAACTTTTAGATCTGTGACAATTTTAGAGTTTATAAGAATAGCTTCAAGACAAGAGACAAGACAGTCATGAGTGATTAATAGACTCGCCTGGTGCGCTGTGAACTTCACGTTTATTGTTGACCTATTTTGGTTGCCTTGGCCCCATAATCTCCGCTAGCCCGCACCGGTGGCGCCTGTACTTTAGTTAAAAAAGCCTTGGAAGCCGGGGAGGTTTCTCAGCCAGAGATCAGTGTTTGGTTAAGAACTTTCACTCTATCAATTTGTACTTCCCTTTAAGCACTTCTGGTGGGATTCGTGGACCGTCGGCTTATTTCCTCTTGAGGTTTCCTGGCAGTTCTTTGTCAGAAGGGTGTTAAGCTTTAGGGATGTGAGAGGAGAGTAGCGATGTACCGCCAGTTTTCGTAAAGTAGCTTCACTATACTAGACGAGGCTAATTCTCTGGACCCTGTCCCGGCGGGTGTAGATCGTGTAGCTCGGCTGGGGATATTGCTAGAACCACTCTTGGACTGGCCCACTATTAGAGCGTAGCAGCTTTTGGCTATTTGGGTCATCTCCAAGAGTCTTTCATCGCATGACCACACAACATCCACCATTTGACACTTTACTAGGGTAGACGGGTCGAAATATGGTGAAATAGTAGACGTATACCCGCGCTCCTCCCTTGGCTAATGCTGCAGTATACCGTGAGTGGGTCGAGAGGGCGAATTGAGACCCTTTTATATTTTAACAACAACCCGATGGTTTCGTACTCGATTTAGAGGCTACGTGATAGCTAGCTCTACCTAGCATTATGAATGTAAGGTTTTAGATCCTTATATTCTAGGGCGTTTATGAAAGAGGGGAGATAGAATAGCCTTCCCAAATAGGCCAAAACATGAACAGAAGCCGATATATACCTGCCGCTTGCGAGGACCTGACAGCCAGCTCGATTTTGCCAACTTTAGACAACTCTCACATCGTCTACAGAAATCCAATCGAAATAGAAATAGTATTACAAGCATTTCCCAGACCATCTCCATTGATTGGTATTAAATGATTCTATGTTTTGAAGTTGATCCAACGAACTGGGTTCTATGGGGTTCGATTTCACTTCTAGGATTACTAACTCCTTAAGCGACCAAGGAGGTGCACGCACCGTACCACCCCCCTCCCACCTTGCAGAGAGGCTGGTGCGCCTTCTCAAGATTGGAGAACATTGCAGAAAGAATGAGCGATGCAAAAACCCGATTGCCTGACTAAGTTGAGATGTTCAAGCACGCATCGGGCCCCGACTTTGACACAGCCAAAACGAAGTGATCCTACTCCCCCGATATTTCAAGCAGGTACAAAACATATTCTGCTGACCCCGGTGAGTATCTAGATTATCTGGATCCAGAGCCTGCGTATCAATGATGCTCAGGCGCAACGTAAAGGCGAGAAACATACAATACACTTCCACTGTTATCAGTGGAAGATCACGTGCCAAGCCTTTTCGGGGAGTGTTATGTTTGGCACATTTGCAGAATTCTGAGTCACATGACTAATCTTGTCGCATTTTCGACCGCCACAAGGAAAGCTCCCGTTATCGCGTCAACTTCAACTGCCTGGTTCTGAACTGCTGTCTGATCAGACCTCGCGCAGACCAAACTTCATTCCGAACATCTTCAACATTGAAACTCTCCCTACTGAATATCCGAGCTTTTACGACCAAGTGATCCGAAAAGCGCTTTGATCCTGGTGGCGCAAGAAGACGGGCTCTCTCCAGACTTCAAATTCCGCTACTGAATCCTCTCGCCACTCTCAAGCCCCCTTCAATATGCTTCCGACGATCACACAAGACTCGCAGCTGGCGACCGCCATTGCCAATGTCGTTCGACCGAAACTGGTAGAAATCGGCTGGAGCACCGATGACGGACAGGAGTCGGCTCTCATCGAATACATCGTTCTGATGCTTGTCAACGGCAGGACTCAGGAACAACTGGCAACAGAGCTGTCGAACGACTTCCTCGGACTGGAGGAGGGTGACACACAGGCCCTTGAGTTTTCAAATTGGCTCTTCGGTCAAGTTGAGACTCTTGATCAACAAATCAACGGCGTACCCGCGGCGAACAACCCTGCTTCCGAGCACGTACTATCCGCCAACGCTCAAGACTTTACCCCTCAAGGAAATGGAATGGACTCAGAGATGGGTGATGTGGGTGATTCTATGTGAGTTCACATGCTCTAGCTACGGGATATTATCGTACATCCTACTGACCAGCCTTTTTTCACAGCCCTACTGGTCCCAAGGCTATGCGCAACGGCCGACAGGCTGGTCGCGGACGAATGCTGAACCAGATCAACCGTAATTTGGACCGGCCAGGTGACGGTGCACTCCACCGCGTTCGTGGACACCAAGGAAATGCGCGAGTTGGAGGACACGGTCAGAATCAAATGAAGGGCAACCGAGGTGGCCGTGGTGGTCGACACATGGGTGGCATGGGAATGCAGGGCAATATGGGTGGTGGCATGATGCAGATGAGCCCCGAAAATCAGATGCAAATCATGTCCATGCTAGAAGAGCAGGCACGCATGATGTCTCAACTTATGCCTGGTTTTGTTCCTCCCGCCGTCAACCCCGCCTTCCAGAATGGTGGTCAACAAGGCCGCTCACTTTTCGACCGTGTCGAGCCGCAAGGCCGGCGCGGTGGACGCTTCCAAGGACGCGGAGGACACCAGCAACGAAACAAGGGCGCAGATAATGCCGACGTCGACATGGATACTGGGATGGACGGCGAGCAGGATGAGAGCAACCCCAACAACATCTGCCGGTTCAACCTCCGCTGCACTCGCAAAGACTGCCCCTTCGCTCACCAATCCCCCGTTGCTCCCGAGGGTACATCCATTGATGTATCAGATGTCTGCTCATACGGCGCCGCTTGCAAGAACCGCAAATGCACCGGTCGCCACCCCTCTCCAGCCGTCAAGTCCGCTCACCAAGCCGAAGAGATGTGCAGATTCTTCCCCAACTGCACTAACCCACACTGCCACTTTAAGCACCCCGACATGCCGCTGTGCCGCAATGGTGCCGACTGCAAGACTGAAGGCTGCAAGTTCACACATGTCCAGATTGCTTGCAAGTTCAACCCCTGCATGAACCCTCGCTGTACATATAAGCATGCTGAGGGCCAACGCGGTAACTTCGGCGACAAGGTTTGGACAGCAGGCGGATCGACTAGCGAACGAAAATTTGTCGAAGATGAGAATGCACCAGAGGAATTGGTCAAGCCCGAGACGGGCGATGCCTCGCAAAGCCAAGAGCTTACCGCGTGACTACGCCTTAACTGACGGGTGTCGAAAATAAAATGAATTGGACGGGCGCAAGAAAGAGTTTGTTCCGTACCGGAGCACCGTTGTACACAATCTGACCTGTGATAATGAATGGTGATTAGGGAGGGCGTTCATGATGATTTGCTTGATGGACCGAGACGATGGGGTCCTTTTGCCTGTAAATAGATATTCCCCGATACTCATGAAAGAAAGCGAACGCACAATCAATTCTGCGTCGCGCGGTATTTTCAGAAATTTCTCAATTATCTCGATTCTCTTGTTTAGTCGTATGACTTTGTAAACCATCCAGCTCATGCCATGGCGCCTACGCGTAGCTTAAGTAAGTCGGCCTCGGCCGCGGGGACTTGCACCCGGAGACACTCGAGTCCTCCGCATTCCCCACCCATCCGAATGACCTCGATACACTGCCATTGAGATGCGGCTACTGTGTGCCTCCAATGGACTCCGATCCAGGCACAGGCTACTAGCATCCGCGATCCGATGCCAGCAACGCGGTTACAAAGCCGCCGTGATAGGTGCCGGTATCACTGGCCTGACGGCCGCCTGGCAGCTCGCTCAAGACTCTCAGTGCTCCAAAATCACGATATACGAGAAGTCGTCTCGTCTTGGTGGCTGGCTGCAGTCTGAAACGATTCCAGTAGAAGGTGGAGAAGTTGTGTTTGAGTATGGACCTCGCACTCTGAGAAGTGCAATGCCGGCATCTCTGCCTCTGCTGTACTTGGTAATTACGCGTTGATGGCCGGTCATTCTACACCAATTGAAGATACAAACTAATTGTTTTTGATTCAAGACCTCGAATCTAGGTCTCTTTGACGAACTCATCACCACCTCCAGGCGAAGTCCCGCAGCGCTGAATCGATACATCTACTATCCCGATCACTTAGTCCGTCTTCCATCACCGGATCCCAGTCTGTCATTCATCCAAAATGTCCAAAATATCTTCAAGACCGTTATGAATGAGCCTCTATTTGAGGGATTGATACCCGCTATTCTCTTCGAAAACACCAAACCCTCGCGCCTACCAGAGCTCTGGGATAAAGACGAGTCTATCGCCCAGTTCATTACTCGGCGATTCAACCACAAGGTCGCGGATAATCTGGTTTCAGCAGTGATGCACGGAATCTATGCCGGTGACATTGATCAAATGAGCGCGCAGACGATTCTGGGCGGCATCCGCAACCTGGAGGATGGTGGCGTCTTGAACAGCCTGTTTGTGAATGCGTTGTTGGGGAAGAAGACGAGATCGATGGATGATTTCTTGGCTATAGATGCAATTACCAAGACGCCTGAATCTGTGAATCGCACGGAACACATTTTCAGAGTTGTCAAAAAGGCTAGCACCTTTACCTTCAAACGGGGAACACAGCAGCTTGTGGAGGGTTTGATTGACTCGTTGAGGGCGTCCAAAAAAGTCAACGTGGTAATCAACTCAAATATCACGTCCATGGACCCGCCAGATAACCCTGGTCATCAAGTAAAGGTGAATTTCCGCAGTCTGGCTGTTACTTTATGTGAGCATCTCGCTAACCCGCTTCAGATCTATACTGGGGCAAATGAAGTTCAATCCTACGATCATGTAATCTCTGCAGTCTCTGCACCTGCGCTGGCCAGCATTCTGGATCCCAAAGCTCGCTTCAAGATGTCTCAAGTTGTGGACCTAGAGAAGGGAAGATTTTCATACAAACTGGAAGTGCAGAGTCATTCTAAACCCGTCACGGAGACTCTTAGACGACTACAACTACACTGTGGTGCGACCACTGTGATGGTAGTCAACTTGTACTACCAAAATCCCAACCTCCTGCCCGTGGATGGCTTTGGCTACTTGATCCCCCGCTCCGTCCCCTACGAGCAAAACCCCGAGTGTGGTCTAGGCGTGATATTTGCCTCAGCGTCCAGTGTTGGCGAAAGCCCCGTCGCTCCATACCCAACCGTCTCACAAGATTCTGCCCCTGGTACCAAGATTACAATCATGTTCGGCGGCCACTACTGGGACGGATGGAAGAAGGAAGACTATCCAGACCACAAGACCGCCGTGCGAATGGCGCGAAGCATGCTCGAAAGACACATCGGCATCACTGACGCCCCGGCAGTCGTGCGGACCCGGTTGCAAGAAAACGCTATCCCTCAGTATAAACCAGGTCACCTGAGAAATATGTACCAGTTGTCCCTTGCAGCCAAGAATGATTATTATGGCCGGCTTGTTTTGGCCGGTAACTCGTTTAATGGTGTTGGAGTGGGTGATTGTGTCAGACAGGGTATTCTTGCGGCTACTTATGGCATTGGTCGACATGAGCTAAACGCTGGCCCTGGACTTTGGTGTCCGTGGAAGGAGTTTGATTACCAAAATTGGGATTTGAAGGGCGGCATTACTACTGCGCCTGTGCGACTATTTGAGTCGAAAGTTTAAATACTTCTGGTTATACCCCAACGCCATCATCCACCTCCTCTCTCTTTACTCCTTTTAGGTTTCTCTTGGTGTCAGGCTTTCTAGCGGGCTTGAAATTGGGTTGGTGGGGTTGCATTTTATAATAGAACAAGTCGTTGTACCATTTTCGCATTGAATTTCTATGCTAAATATATAATACCAGAGATGGCTGGCACATACCAGACCCTGAACCTCACTATTCCAAAGGGGCGATTGCCTCGGAACATACAGTGATAGTTTCCACAAAATCAACGAATTCCTTGACTTCCATCTTTATAATGTAGGAAAGATACCGAGTCACCTGGAGACTCCCTATATTTGAGACATGCAGGCGGGATTCGTGGGGAGGTATTGCCTCTAGGGTGTGGTGGAAATAGTGTTGACACGACCCACGAACATGAAGCCAGATTGCTCAAAGCAGATTGCCAATCAAAACATACATGATTTGATAGCGCTGGGAGTCGTGGTCCTCAGTATCGACGATCCGATATACTTGAGATGGCACCGACAGCCTGCTGGAGTTTCCTTTAAGTAGTTTTGCAGAGTGCAATGGCCGTTGATCGAGAGAGGTAGGTGACGAAAAGCGCAGGTAGCCACGAGATCAGGCCTTCCCCAGGCAATCATTCTCCTTCTTGTCGCCATTAGAGTCAAACCCGAGCGCGTCCAGTTGACGAATCAGCTCAGGAATCTTGATGAGCTTATCAAGCTGCTCGGGCAGGAGGACTTCGCCCTCATTCTTCTTGTCGCGCAGGTCTCGGGCCTGTCGAAGCTTCTTCTTGAGATTACGAGCTTTCTTCTCCTTCTCAGCTTCGATATCGACAGGGTCTTGTGCCGGCTGCTCCGCTTTCTTGGCAGCTGGCACGCGCCAGTTGTCCGAGTCGGCTCCCTTCTTCTCAGTGATAGGCTCAGAGCCCTCGGTCTCCTTTGCCTTGCGTCTAGCTTCTCGGCGCTTGGCGTTTTTGTTGCTAGCGGTCGTGCTGGCGGCCTGGGCAGCTTTGTCGTCTTCACTGCTCATGATTTCCGCACCTGGCACCCCACCTTTCCCACGGGTTTTCCACGCTGCGGCTGCGCGGTTTCTGTAGAGCTCAACATCCTCTGGAGGCTTGTAGCCGGGTTTTACGCGGATTTCTCGACGTTTAGAGCCATCTGCTCGCACTGAAGAAGGGATGTAGCGCTCGCCAGTTGTGGCGTCGGTGGTAATGCCGGCGGAGGAAACGTTGGAGGACATGGTGGTTATTGTTGGAGTCGAGAGATGCAGGAAAGGTTGAGGAAAATAGTGATTCTCGAATGAGAGTAGATTTGCGACCCGACCAGGCACGAGGCCGCAAAGAAACCCAAGTAGAATCGAATTCCAGTGAGGTGTGCAGTGCAATTGCAATCGTAAAATGGTTTGTGGTGATTCACAAGTAGCAAATGGGGAAACCACCGGAGGACCGCGGGCCAATCAGCGAGCCGGGAATTCCCGTGCTTTTCGTCCTGGCGAACTTCCGACTTCCACTTCCAAACCTCATCTTTAACTCTCGTCCTCGACTCAAACCCCCCGTCGTGTCAACCCCCTCACCTCCGTCACAATGGCCGGCGTATGTTCTCTCTCCCCCGATTTGGCTCTTCAAGCTATACACTACAAACTGAGTGGTTCCTGACTGACCGTGGTCGCATTCACAGATCTCCAACGCTATCTACCAGCATGTCTTCCCACCCCCGACCTGAAGGTCGCAATTGCTCGCCTGGAATCTAACCGTGGAACTTTTCGAATCTTTTAGGAGCATCATCCGCCGGAATGCCGTCTTCCTGACCACCATCTTCGCCGGTGCCTTCGCTTTCGAGCTGTGCGTTACATTCGACTCTCCCCTTCATGTCATACCACCGGTCTAACCCAATCATTGCGATACAGCTCCTTCGACACCGCCTCCAACAAGATCTGGGACACTTGGAACGCCGGCGTATGTTCTGCAGACCCAATACCCTTTTACCCGACTTTCTCCTCAGCCGCCGCGACTGTCGAATGGCCGCGGCCCGCATCGGGCTTCTTTGCTAACTGTTATTCTTCTACAGCGTCAATGGAAGGACATCAAGCCCCGCTACCTGGTTCAGGGGGATGAGGATGAGGAGTAAAGGAGTTCATGAGCTCTTGATTGCGACGGTATAGACCTACCGTGATAAAGGGGGCCTTTCGGTAGTGGAAAAGCGCATAGCGGAACTCGCTATCACCCTGTTATTGTACTCATTCTAGCTGTGGGCTTGTATGTGATAGAAAAGGGAATTCTGTATTTGGCACGATCATTTAAATTTTTCCCTTGCGTGGGGTGTGGATGTGTTGATAGTAAATGCAGTGATGACTGATGATGCCTCGGAGCCTGGCTCGCTGTGGCGTCAGGAGCGAGACCGCTCCGTCGATGTCATCGCAGAAAATACCTAAAGGATCGACTCCGGTAGTCTCATTCTCTCTTCTTGAATTGTATCTTTCTATTCTTTCCTATTTCTTGTAGAAATTAGACACAGCCTTGCTCTCTATTAATTCTCAAATTAATACCGCAAACGTGCTGGTCTGCCTGTTGTCGATTTCATCGGTCCACACCTCGCCTGTCTTCCTTCCCCCACTACGATTTGCTGTGATCGAGAAACCGGAGACAACCACCCATCCTCCACAACTCGGCGAGGAAAACTAAAGCTTCTTCGTATCGCTGAAAGCTCAGCCCCGGCTGCATATTTCTCACAGCTTCAGTACACTCGCTCGTCGTGAACAGGACTACCTCGAACGCCGTTCCAAACGCGCCAACGGGCCCTCCGTTCCTCACACGCCAGTGACAGCCGAGTGGCACCCTGCCCGTTACCTCCGTCCGACACCCAAGCCATGCACATGCTCGCAGAATGTGAGAGAATCCTCGGTGATGGTCTTCTACGATTGCCTTCGCAGCACAACTATCGCTATGGCCCGAAGGCTGAACGGGACCTGCTAGAGCTTCTCTTCCAGTCGCTCGTGGGGCACAACAACGAGCTCATAGCCCATCTATTCCCGAATGGTACACCGACGGGTTCATGGAAATTGGCCGAAGCTCAAGGTGCTCGCGAAGGAGCCGAGTATAGCGAGGCAGCGCGAGGCAAGAGATGTGGGCACATTTTCCGAGCGGGAGAGGCGACTTATCGCTGCGTAACGTGTGCTGCTGATGATACCTGCGTGCTGTGCAGCCGATGCTTTGACTCGTCAGATCATACAGGCCATCAGTATCAGATTTCGCTCTCGTCGGGTAACTGTGGCTGCTGCGACTGCGGCGACGATGAAGCCTGGCGGCTACCGCTTTTCTGCGCGATACATACCGATAGTGGAAATGTAAAGGGCAAAGAGCGGGCAGAGCGAGAGCTGCCACCAGATTTGGTGGCGACTATTCGATTGACTATTTCCCGTGTCCTAGACTACTTTTGTGATGTCATCTCTTGTTCGCCAGAGAATCTGCGCCTCGCGAAGACTATCGAAGGTATCAAGCAAGACGAAGAGGCTTCTCGACTGCGCCCAGGCTGGTATGGTGCGGGCGACGAGGAGGAAGAAGAGCCCGAGTTCGCTCTGATGCTTTGGAACGACGAGAAGCATACTATTCGAGACGTGGCTCATCAGGTCACCCGTGCCTGTCGTGAGCGAGACAGCTTCGGTGTTGCCCGCGCTCATGAAACCAACGATATTGGTCGAAGTGTGATCAAGTACTCGAAGGATCTGCAACGGCTGCTGGGGGTGTCCAAAATCATTGAGGAGATCAAGGTGACCGTTTCTGTTCGCTCTGCGCGTGACACGTTCCGGGAGCAAATGTGCGGTGCGATCGTTGAGTGGCTGGCAGATATTGCTGGTTGCAGTATTCTTGATGACAACGAGATCTTCCGCCAGATTATTTGCGAAGAATTGCTCAGCCCATGGCGAAAGGGGAGTGGTGCTTACAACGCAGATATCGGTATGAAGGGTATCGATGACCACCAGGGGACAGAGAATCAACTTCCCGGTCGCACTGTGATGCTCACCCTCCCTCCCCACGGCCAGATAGTTCTTGCGACCACTGACGAAGAAGAGGACGAAGAGGGGGATGATGGCAATGAACAAGATGAAGATGAAGACTACGTCGAAGCTCACGATGACGCAGACGATGAAGACGATGATATGGATATGGAACTCGCTCGCCTACAAGCCGAAGCAGATGGTGACGATGATGAGGAGATGGATATGGGCAATGAAGAAGAACTTGCCTTGGCCGAACAAATCCTCGCAGGGCTGACTCGCGCACAGCTCGCTCCTCGCCCAGCTCCACAGCCCATCCCACAAGAGCCTGCTCAGCAGGATGAATCCGGTGCTGTTGATTCCAATGAGGCCGAGAGCCAGCCATCCGCTTCCGACAGCTATGTCTCTATTCCAAAAACCCCTTCGGGGGTGATTAGGCCTCCCCCCGCAAGAACTGAAGGTCACTGGCAAGTACGACCTCCCATGCCGGCTGTCGGTGAGAAGGTTGCTCCTTATGAAGATCTCTGGCAACGTACTCGTCTCGACTGGCTGGTTCTCTTCGACCTGCGTTTGTGGAAGAAGACTCGCACGGATCTGCGGGATCTCTACATCAGCACCGTGGTCAATGTGCCTCAGTTCAAGCGTATTATGGGCCTTCGGCTTTCTGCATTGTATACAGCTCTAGCGCAGCTATATCTCATTGCCGACCGAGAACCAGATCACTCCATCGTTAATCTTTCCCTTCAACTTCTCACGACGCCTTCTATCACCGAGGAGATCGTTCTTCGCGGCAATTTTCTGACCAAGGTCATGGCGATTCTCTACACCTTCCTTACGACAAGACAGGTGGGCGAGCCCCAAGCGGTTAACCCGAATGCCACGTTGGCATTCGATGCCGGTTCCGTTACGAACCGGCGACTATACCATTTCTTCCTTGATCTACGGTACCTTCTTCAATCAGAGTACGTCCAACATCGCGTGCGGACCGAGGAACAATATCTGCCTCAGTTCCTGGATTTGGTAAAGCTTTCCCAGGGTATTTGCCCCAACGTACGTGCCGTTGGCGAGCATGTTGAATACGAGACGGATGCGTGGATAAGTGCCTCGATCTTGATGCGAGAAATCAACCGCCTTTGTCGACAATTCTGCGAATCCTTCCGGGACCCGGAGATCGATAATGGTCAGAACCTGTTGCGCGCTATCAAGACGACCACTATGACCGCAATCATCCACTCCGCAGGCGTGGAGCGGAAGCGCTTCGATCAAGCAGAGATTAAGGAGGAAGTCAAGTTCAAGACTTTGCCTCCGTTCGATTTCGAGATGGGGACATCTGGTCAAGTCCCTTGCCACCGCGTGGTCGAATTTGCGGTTGAGAAGGGATCAATCAGTTTCCACCATGCAATTCACTATACCTTGTCATGGTTGATTGAGTGTGGCCGTGGGGTGAGCAGCGAGGTCATGCGAAGTGTTCTCTTTGAAGCTGCCCAGAATGCTAGGGCAGAACTCCACGCTGCCAAGGTCGCCGGCAAACCAATCGACGAAAACCTTCTCGCGCTCGGCCCAGAGGACCTTCTTCTCACTATGTTCGACTACCCTCTGAGAGTCTGTGCTTGGCTCGCCCAGATGAAGGCTGCCATGTGGGTTCGCAATGGTCTGAGCCTCCGGCATCAGGCTTCGCAATACCGTGGTGTCTCTTCGCGGGACTTTGCCTACTACCGTGACATCTTCCTGTTGCAGACAGCAATGGTGACTTGTGACCCTAGTAGAGTCCTTGCATCTATCGCTCATCGTTTCGGCATGGTTGATTGGATGTCTCGGAACTACATGCCTCGCAGTGGTTTCGAGGACACTCAGATTGTCGACGTCGCCGAGGAGTTTGTCCACTTGCTGGTCATCCTGCTGACGGATCGCACCTCCTTGACGGCTATCGATGATAGCACCCATCTGACCAAGGAGAACATCAGCCGTGATATTGCTCATGTTCTGTGCTTCAAGCCCCTGTCTTTCTCCGATCTGTCTACCCGCCTGAGCGATAAGCTGCTGGATTCTGATATGTTCCAAGACGTTCTTGAGGAAGTCGCCAACTTCCGCCCTCCAGAGGGCCTGAGCGATTCCGGGACATTTGAGTTGAAGTCGGAGTACTTTGATCTTGTGGATCCGTACAGCGCGCACTATACCAAGAATCAGCGAGATGAAGCGGAGAACATTTACAAGGAATGGATGGCTAAGAAGACCGGGAAAAAGGCATCCGACATTGTGTATGAGCCGAAACTTCGACCCATCAGTTCAGGTGTGTTTTCTGATCTGCCACGCTTCACGGGGACTATGCTCTTCGCACAGCTTGTACACCAGTGCCTTGAGTATGTCATTTCATTCAAGGAATGTACCCCCGCCATCCCGCCAACTCGCGTGGA